GCCTTATTTCAGACTCAGCAATGGCACCCAAAAAGGACCCCGCCGAGATACTGGGTCCGGGCAACCGCGATCCAACACGCGACCGTGTTGGATCTGAAAGAGAATCGACAAACGAGGGATCTCGTCAAAAGATCGACATCAACCATGCTCTGCTCCTCGAGTGTATCGAAGACTCGGGGATAGCCGTACGTGTTTACTCATATATCAGAACTTCCGCGCTTATGCTGATCCTATCCTGTAGCCGGACTTCGCCTCAATGGCACATCGGCGTGGAATCTCGAAAGACGCAATGAGAATGCGATATAATCGATTGCGTGCAAGCATATACGCCGCAACCACTGTCCCCGATGACTCCCCAGACACCTCCCAGGACACTCAGAGGGACAAAGCCAAAATCGCTGATGAGGAGAATTGCACACCCGAGGATAGGGTCTCAGATAATCAACACTAGTCTACCAGTGACCAGTCCGGGCTTCTTCTCCCGCTTTTAACGCGTTCGAAGAAGACGAGAGAGTATTCTTGGTGTCAGTGTCTTACTCTGGACCCTTTAGAAGCAGATTACGGACACCAATCTATCCACTGGATCCGGTGATACCCTACATCAACACTTGATAATACAACATCAAAAGGTCTTCTGCTTTCTCTGGTCTTCATTCTTCTCTTTCTCTTCATCTTCACCGGGATTCAACACATCCACCGTCGCTTCCTTCACAGCCATTAGCTTCCCCAATATCCAAGCCAGACTTCAATGTAAACTTCAACATGGCTCCCAAGGAAGACTCAGCCAAAGTATCCGATCCAAGGAAACGCGATCAAACACGGTCGCGTGCTGGTGATGAAGGGGACGCGAAGAACGAGCGACCTCGTCACAAGATTGATATCGACCACGCCCTACTACTCGAGTGCATTGAAGACTCGGGGATAAATGTATGTGTTCATTTCTATATCAGAGTTCCATGCTGACTCTATCCTTTAGCCGGATTTCGCCTCGATGGCGCATTGACGAGGCATCACCAAAGATGCAATGCGGATGAGATACAACGAATTTCGCGCGAGCATTTACGCCGCAACTACCGTCCCCGATGACTCCAAAGATACCCCCAACGATGCTCAGAAGGGGAAAGCCAAGAGCGGTGACTAGTAATAAATCACTGACACTGAGGTTTCGGGTGGTGATTTCTAGTCTGCGAGTGGGCGTGGCAAGTCTTTTCCCCGGTCACGTCGCGGAGAAGATACTTGGACAAGGTATCTTGCTCTTGCGGGTGGTGAGACAGATCATATACACTGATCTGGTCGCTTAATTCGAGGCTGCCCTGATTCTTCACTGCAAAATGCAAGATTCCCACCACAGTGATTACTTAGAGGTCGGGCGGTACCACGGATAAGACGTTTCATAGTTGGAACTCCCCGAGGGTATCCTTTTATTCCAAGCCGCATACCGCAAGCCGGTGCACAGGCCGATTCCAAGCTTAATCAAATCATTGTACCTGTCGTATTCAGATTCTCTGTGCTCTAGTGTACTAGGTAGTACCTAGGTATGTATGCTAGAAGCTATCCAAATAGTAGACGAGGTCCCAAATTGACTGGGCTCGGAACTTAATTCCACCTCTGCCGGATATATATTTCACGGCTGTCGATGGTGCCTCCAATGTTCGCATGCAATTTACCATCGTACCCACAACTCAAACTTTCCCTGCGAAACATGGAGCCCATCCTTAGGTAGCTGTGGCAGGAAATATTCTGGATCAATTGAAACTCACATTTCTACGATTCCCGAGGTTCTGACATCTTGAGATCATGAGGGCAAACGATGTAGAGCTGAGGGTAGATACGAGCCACATACCTTAGATTGATGGGTCTGATTTCTTGTAGATATTGTATATTCCAAGCTTTAATCCACCGATAACTCATAAATGCCATCCATGGATTGATGCGGTAGAAATCCAGGATCCGCGGTTGCAGGTGGGTCTGCGGGAGATCTGCACCCGAAATGTGGGGATGCGGCAAGTATGTCCACGGGTACTACATTGCAGTTCCTATATAATGAAGTGAAGGGGATATATCTCCAACAGATCCCAAATGGCCTAGTGGTTGACAGTCCACAACTGCAGTAGAGTATAGGATATTTCTCGTCATGCGTTCCGAATGTTTCCCTGGGCGACCCGATCCGAAACTTGTGCTGCAGCAGGCCGGTGGTATGGGGCGGGTTCGAAACCGTCTTCATGCTACGATCTGACCTTTTTTTTTTGGCCTTTTATTTCACTCTCTCTTGCCTTTTGTCTCCATACTTCATGTCCCATGCTCCTGTAAAAGAATTGGTTCATCTACCCGAAGCTTTAGGAGAACCCTGGGAACGTTTTGTGATGCTTGAAATCAACACTTCTATCCGTCGACTCAGTGCAAATGCCGATGTCTGCGGCGCGAGACTGATGTATTGTCCATACACGTACAAACCCAATCACGACCAAACGATTGCAAACCTCATCCCGTCACATCTTCCACCCCTCGCTATCGCCACCGGTGACCCCACGAGACCCAAGTATGGCCACGACTATAGATGGTGACTCGGCGGGGCGAGCGCGTTTGAGGCAGAGTTTGTCTGCAGAGCCAGACCCTTCAACATCGCGCGTGTGAGGTATGGAAATCCCAATTCGGTTCGCAAGAGAGACAACAGTATTGTCTTGCGCTTCAAACGCCGCTCTGCCTCTTCGTGATACCTCCTGACCCCTTCGGACGCTGCTCGCCCTGTCTCAGGGGCTCTGTCACCTCAAATAGACGTCGCTGCTGGGCTATTGTCGGCTTCATCGCCTTCTGAAACCATGGCTATCAGGTAACCGATCGGTGGGAGACCCGGAGTGTGGCCCCGCTGGAGTTTCTATGCGGCCTTGGAAACACCCCGCCAACCGATGACGCGAAGCGTCAACTCATGCAAGCTTATGAGCAAACTGGATAACTTGACACTTATGGTGTGCAGAGCCTCAAGCCGGATACCAAGCTGACTGTTGTTGCATACAGAGTCAGACGCTCGTGTTGACCAAATGAAAACAACCACCGATCGCCTCTCAAACCTGTTAGCATACTTGCACTCCGAACGAAGGATGGTTCAATCAACCTGCTCGCACTGATGGCATCAAAAATGATACCTCAATGACCCCCAAGCCGAGCTAACCCCATATTGAAATGATTACAGCCGATCGGCAATCATTAAACACCTAGAAATTTGAGAGTGCGTGGAGGGAGAAGCCATTGAAGGCAATCGGCATCTCCTCATTACAGGCTTCATACTGACACTAAATACAATCCTCTGAGAGCATGAACGTTACGCAGACCCCACTAGCTCGAGTATTGGGTATCTCCCCGGGCGCGTGGCGGGTGCAGCAGAATCCTACCCAGCGATGTCCGCAGAAATGGAACCACGCTTCTTATCTTGTGCCGTTGAGATGCTCGGATAAGACTCTGAAAGCTAATATCGCAAGATTCCTGCGAGAAAAACACCATTTGACTCTACAGTGTCAATTGAATGCAGCTCTCAACCGAGCGACATCCATAACCGAGAGGTGCATTGGCGCGCACCAGAGGAAACGCTGAGTGGATCAGTACAAGTTGCGACATTCCCTTCATGGCCGAAAGGTGGTCAACTGCCATTTATCCGTGACATGGTGTCAAAAGGGCGGGCGCATCGCCAAACGAGCGACAAAACTATGCAGCCCCTAGGAGCACTGGCCTTGAACCCCACATGCCAAGCGGACGGGAGTCCGGGCGTTAGCCGGGGCCGTCGCAGGGTCTTGTTTTGCCTTTGGCCTTCTCGGGACGGCAACTTCAAGTATAGGGTGGCAAGTGATACCTCGACGCTGAATGTGAAAACCAATTGGTTTATACAACTTCCTGGAAAGATTGTACTTTTTTTACGGGGCGCTTGCATGGGACTTTGGGGTGATTTGAGAATGTGTGTTCGGGTATTAGGCAGTGCTGGTCGTTACTGGGACCCTAGTATGATTTACTCCGTACTCCGTACTCCGTAGTTTGCTCTGGATAATTTCTAAAATTATCACTAATTAGTTGCATTAGTTGAGGTTACATTTTCCCAGTACACAATGCTTAGCTGGATGGTACTCGAGATGATTGTTTTCCCTCCGCAAGGAATTTTGGAAATACGACCAAGCTCCCGAGGTCCGAACGAAGTATGCTGCACTGTGGCGAGTACAAACAAGAAAACAACCACCGCGTCATCGAGACAGATTCAGCTTGGGGCACACAAGGAAATGCAATTCCGGACCAAAGCGGACAAGCGTAGCAAACCTCGCTAATTGCAGCTAATTGCCACTAATGGCCATCTATTTTAAGAAAGTGGGCTAATTAAGGAACAATCAACCCTGTCAAGCGTCGACCTGCAGATCCCCTCATCTCTGCATCACCTCTCGGCGGTAACACGCACCTCCCATTGGCTGCTGGTGTTTACAATGACAATGCATGGAATTGTCAGGCGCAGCTGGCACAAAGCTCCCTCGAAGTCATGCATCTCGGGAGAACTAAATTGTCCCGGCGGTTGTGAACACCAAGCTTTATATCCAAACGCCATCCACAATGAGGGAAACATTCTCTGATTCTCTTCATCGGCCCGGGGGGAGGATCTGCTGTTCATTCCTGTTCCGCTCTGCGACCTGCTTTTCTGAATCATTGGTCATTGACCCCTCCATCGCCTCCCGAGACCCTGGCTTGTCGTGATCCTGCTCGTCCAATCCGAGGCCGCCCTTCGTGTTGGTTCTGGGATACTGCAGAACGCGGGAGATCCCCAGCCGTGAAGGCCGCCAGAAATCTTGTTGATCCCGCTGCGGAGTCGCGGACTCACCGGTCTTCGTCACTCGTTTGCCGGTTCTTATTAGAACGCTTCCCTCCGAGATCTGCTGTCGCTCCTGTGTTCTCAAACGAATGTTCCCCTTCATTTTTGCGGGAGGGCGATCTCTGTACATTACAATTCCCAGATATACAATTATCCAGACATGGCTGGCATCGTCAACGGACCTCTGTCCATCTTTCGGAAAACAGATTCCCCCAAGCCGCTTCATGCTCGCTGGGGCGATGTCTCCATCTCCGTTCCTACAGATGGCTCTTGGAATCAATACGACAACCCCCATCGACCTGTGAAAGAACGTTCTGCCTACGGGCCAGGCTATGTCCCTGACACCTCACCTCAAGATCGGACACCTCGTCCACTGAAAGAAGAGGTAGACGACGACGACACCAGAAGCGTATGCAGCACATCATCCACTGCATCGCGCCGCAGCTCACTATCTCTCTCGGGCTTGAAGCCGAGCCGGCTCTCTGTGCGCCTCGCCTCACGCCCAAAGGCGTCTGGAAGTGAATCCCGAACAGATAGAGACGCCCGGTATTCCAATCAAAGCCGAACCGACTTCGCATATCGCCCCATTCACCAAGACTACACGTCTGAAGTGACCGAAACCCCCAAACACGGCAGCAATCGCTTCAAATACATCCCGACCAGCGGTCGCTATCTACAGGATTCTGGCGCTTTGCCCCCACGCAGCCAGTCTGTTAGCTCTCATCACAGTGCGCATTCATACCGCGATTCATACGCCGAATCTATTGACGAAAACCGCTTTGACCGGGGGTACGGCCCAAGCAGTCGTTTCAGCACTTATGAGGACGATCGAGGTCTCCACCCTAGTTTTGCAGAGGGCTCGGATGGTTCGCGGCGAAACTATGGTTTGCCTCCTCGTCGGAGAACGTCGCCATTTGTTCCGGCCGATCGGAATAGAGCTTCTTTGAAACCTGCTACTATGGCAATGGTGCCTGATCCTGATGAGCTTTATGAGTGAATTTTTTTATGTTGGATGGAGCCTGCTACATGGGAGGACTTTTGTTTCCTGTCTCGTATTTCAGCATGTTTCTACGGCGTTGGCATCTGTGGCGTTTCTGGTCATTAGGCTCGCCTCATCTGGGGCCAGAATGAACACCTTTCTACACTTTATTTACCGTTTTTGACTGGGTTTGATGATGTAGATGGTGTAGAGATAGATCTTTATCGGGTCCGTAATGGCTGTTCAGCGAGTCATGGCCTTCAAGACATGCTCCGCGAGGCCGTCTGAAGCCACTTCTGCATTAATTCCAATGAGAAATTACTTATTGGTGGACTCACCTCCCAGATGGCAATGAGACTCGGTCAATTGTGGCCAATCCTCTGCTGCTCAACGCCCCGGCATCTTATCATACTGACGACATGGTAGAACTTAGGCGGACATCCGCGAGTATGCTCGGAGTATTCTGTGCACGAAATCCCTCGATTCATTTCAATTGATCGCAAATCATTAGGCATACGGTCATCTCACACGTCTGAGAAGAATGGCAGACGCAGTGGTTCAACTTCGGTGCGGTGTCAAGGTAATGGTATCCCCCAGCCCATCCAACGTCTACTGACTTTGCATTAGAACGACTCATGGGGAAAGAAAGGCAAGGAATCGATCGTCGCTCAGCTCTGGTCGAAATCTCCGAACAACGACCCGATCGATGAATCCAAACATTACTCTGAGGTAGGATGATCCGTGGGCACTCAATGGCCGATCAGTGGAAGGAATGCTAACTCTGCATCAGATGTGGCTGGGCACTTATCCTTCGAACCCATCCTATCTGCTTTCCACCGGGGAGCATCTCGGGGAGTATATCGAGAAGAACCCTCACCTTGTCGGTAAGTCGGTGCACGATCGGTGGGGAGCGGAGATTCCATTCTTGCCCAAGGTTTGTCTGCATTTTACAATCTATGAAACACACACTGATTTATTGAAACCAGATTCTATCTTTCAGCAAAGCGCTGCCTCTTCAAATCCACCCAGACCTCACACTCGCGGCGCAGCTACACAAGGAAGACCCGAAAAAGTATGGCGACACCATGCACAAGCCGGAAATTGCAATCGCGCTGTCCAAATTTGAGCTTTTCGCCGGTTGGAAGCCGTTGGACCACATCGAAACACTATTCAGGCTCAATCATCTGGGAAAATACAAGCCCCAAGGAACCGAGTTCAACGACGAGGCTCTGCGCCAAGTCTGCAAGGCTCTACTGAATGCACCACCTAAGGAAGTGGTTCAGACAACGAAGGATCTCCAGGCCATCCCAGAGTCTCACTTTGGAGCCCATTCCTACATCCCAAGTCTCCTCGGCCGGCTCGCGAAGCAATACGGTGAAGACGACAACGGTAACCTCGTCGCCGCCCTGCTGATGAACTATTTGACGCTTGGGCCTGGCGACTCCGTCTTCGTGCCTGCAGACAGCATTCACGCCTACTTGGAAGGTGACATCGTGGAATGCATGGCGCGGTCAGACAACGTCATCAACACCGGGTTCTGCCCAGCCGCTGATCGCGACAGCGTCGAGCTATTCGGGGAGGCATTGAGCTTTACGCCACACAAGGCGGACGATGCGCTTCTGCCGCGTCGCAAGAGTGATAAAGGCATGAAAGGGAAGACGGACGTCTATGCCCCGCCCATCAGCGAGTTCGCGGTCCTGTGTACCACGCTCGGCGCGGGGGAGACGGAAACCCACAAGGCTATCTTGGGCCCTAGCCTGATGGTCATCACAAAGGGGTCTGGACAGATAAAGATTCCCGGCAATCAAACCATCGAACTAAGTGAGGGGTGGGTGTTCTTTGTTGGGCAAGGTGTGGCCTTGGACTTTGCCACGGACAAGGGCATTGCGATTTATCGGGCGTATGCGGAGTGAGGTCTCAGCTGAGGGACAATCTCAAAATTGTAGAAATCAAATCATTTTGTCTGCCAGCTTTCGTTCTCCATTTCCTGATGCGGCAGGAGTCAACAGAACAGCTCATCGAAGCTAGCCCTAAATCAAATCAGGGTGTTCTATATCCTAGTTAGTGTCATCAGTCGCCAATCTCGAGAGCGCTTCCATCGAGCCAGTCAGCGATCAGGTAGATTGTTGGTGACGCCGGATTACCTCGTTTGATTTGTCGACTGCAGCCGTGTTAATTTAGAACGAATGGCGCCTTTGTGACGGTCTGGCCCGCCGGACGCACTCGGGGATGCAGGCGACGAGGACCAAATCGAACTAAATTGAGCTAATGCTGGCTAATGCTGGCTAATTAGGTCGATTTGGGGGATCTATTCATAGCTAATTGATACTATCTTTGTTTTCCCCGCGAGTCGCTCAAAATATCCCTTGAAACAGGGACCGAGAGTAAGGATGCGACTAAGCTTCGGGCCTTCGTTTCAGGGTCTTTCAAGCTTATATAGCTATATTGTCGCTGGGCTAAACCTCCCACCCGTTCAAGGCTTCAAGAGTCCTGTTGGGGATCACAGTCAAGCACTGGAATTGGGGTTTTAGTCTATCGGATCTCTTAGTACATCCGACTCATCGGGCGATGTCAAGGACCCTTGCACCTCGATCCGACAACCCACGTACACCCGTGATTATCATTGGAGCCATTGCCGGTGGTCTCATATTCCTTGCTAGTAAGTGTGCCCGCACCCATCCCTCCGAGCGTAGCTAATAACCCCAGTGGCTGGAAGCTTGTTATACCTCTTTTCGCGCAAGGAACGGGCCCGGAGGCGAAATGCCCAAGACTCGCCTGTTCATCCACCAGCCTATAAGGAGGAGTTAAGCTCGCCAAGAAGTGTCCAACCCCGGCCGCTCTCCTCCTTCGCTCCAGACTACAGTCGCCAAGCGTCTCAATTGTCTCGGAACGAACAGCCCCCACCGTACCCCACGCTGCCGATGTACGATCCGTCACAATATCAACCGATACGGCCAACTTCGATGGTCGGCGACAGTCGTACTTATTACCAACCCGGCCCCTCCTCCCGGCTAAGTGCAGTTCACTATGATCATCGGCTGTCGACCTATCATTCCATGTCCTTAACCGGATCTCCACATGTGAATGCAAACACCCGAGAGGCTCGAGAGGAGACTCGAGAACGAGAACCAGAACACCAGGGTCGAGAGAGGAGTCGCTCGGAGCCCCTGCTAGGCCCGAAGCCGAAGCCCCCTAAACCCGTTCTGTCGCGGCTGATCACCAATTTCCGTTGATGCTTTTCACGACTCACGATCTTTTGTTTTCGGTGGTTTTTTGTTGGAAAATACGGAGTATTCTCGGGCTTATTTGCCAGTAAAATATGTTAATACATTCAGTGTCTGATTTTTCCGTGTTCCGTACGGAGTAGACTCGGATCTCTGCGATCTCAACGCAACACCTGGTCCGTGATGCGGATCATCGTCCAACTCTTCCTGTTTCGTGCTTCCAGCGCTTATGAGCAATCTATTCAAACGCCTCCCACGAGAGTGGCGGGGAGATCATCAGCCAAGACGTGTTCAACTTCCTCGTCACGAATCGATGTCTCATTCCTCTGTACGGAGGACGACGGAGGACGGAGTATTTGGTGAATATTGATCCTGCAACTCCACTGTGGGCAACTCGACAGAGGGGAGAAGAGGCACTGAGACAGCGTTCGCTCGCCAATCTCGGATCCACCCCCTCTTCTAATCCCTGTCGTTCACTCTCTCTTTCTCATGTTTCTTACCCTATCTGCGACACATCAGACGACACCTAGCAGGGATGTTCGAGTCCAGAGCTGAGCGAATTCGCTCAGAAGTGCTCCAAAGTACTAGTATATTCACATTCTTCCAGCATTGATCTGGTAGATCCGACAAGCGCAACGCCAAGACGACCAAAATGCAGAGACAGACACTATGTGCCAGGGGACTCGCGTCCAAACGGCCAACGCAAGTTGACTGCGCCGCGACATCCCAATTTCTATCACCCTAACTGAAAACGACTGGGGGACAGGGGTCCTGGAAATCCACTACCCCTCCTGCCTGCATCCTTTGCGCACACTGCAGCTCTGGGAGCCTCTCATTTACGCTGGCCCGCTTGGATCGTCCAGCCAGCTGCTCTAGCTGCCGTTCGCTTGACTTGTTTACCCTGAACCGCCGTTGTTTTTTTTTTCGAGGCAACGTCGTCCTAATGCCCCCTTTACGCCGAGGGCCAGCAGAGGGGTGACCCAGGCTGCCGGGCTCTCTCCCGGGTCTCTAATCGCTCGCTGGGTCTGTTGGCTCCCAACTCCAACTCGTCAAGCAATCTTGGAGAAGATCTTCACTCTTCTCGGTCAAACACCGTCTATGCAGTCGAGGACTGACTAGTCTTCATGGACTGTTGATATAACTTCACGCGGTTAGAGACCTGCCCCTGTCATCTTTCTTTGTTCTCGAGTTCCCATTTGAGTCGTATCTCATGCTCTCGGTGGGGAGGTGAATCAGGTTTGGGATGAACACCGCGTGAGTGATTTTCGGGACATACCCTGAACGCGTCGACCCCTCCAGGCCACATGCGAGATCTTGCGAATGCCATGGCGACCTTCATGAAGAAGTTTAAGAGAAAGCGCAGACTGTCCACCGAGCTACACTCTCGCTGGGGAGACGTTTCGATCACCTATCCAACCGAAGGTTCTTGGAACCAGTGGGATCAACCCTCTGTACTCGTTGCCAATGCACCACAGAGAGCTTTGCCCACTGCGCAGCACGACCAAGGACAGCGACATGTCTCGGCTGGCTCAGTTCACGGGCAAAGTCCCAGTTCCTCGATCAGACGATCGCGAAGTACTGGCCCAGAGTGTCCACCATCATCATCCTCCCCATCTTTTCCAACAGGGCATTTCAACCAAAATATCCGGCATCGCGATCCAGAAGAGCGCCGTCCATTCCAAGGTCTGGGCATCGCCGACCTCCGCCGCGACAGTACACATGCATCGAGCATCATCAATGACGATAGCTCCAGCTCTTCCTGCGACGAAGATGACGAGTACCGCGACGTCCTAGGTCCCGTGGGATTAAGCCCTCGCATCTACGAACTGGGAGATACGTCGCACACACGCGACAATACCGAAGACTATGACATCCCTGCGAAATCCCCGCCTCTCTCCGTCACTTCGCGTATGCGTCGCTGTAGCGTCCAAAGCTGTGCCACAGAGCCTGTGGCTTCTCTCTCGGGTACCAACTCGCGTCGCACCAGCTATACTGCTGCATCCTCCATTTCGGCTCCCTCCATGCCTCCGTCCACGCCTCGGTATGCCCAGCATACTCCGAAACCACTATTTACCGAGAAGAGATATCCGCCTCGTCCAGCGACTCGTGAGCCCGAGCCCGCGACTCGCCAAGAGATGGTTCCTTCCTATGACGAGCTCTATGGCTGATACACAAGGCGAGAATAGAGTTGTCTTACTTGGGGTGGACTTATTGGAACCTTTTCCTTCTATCGAAGATTAATCTTGCATTTCGGCGGCTTTTGTGTCTTTGTTTTTCATATATTTGGCGATGCAGAAGAAAATTGAGCAGCATTTCATCCTACGTCGTATTCTGTCCTCCGTATTCCGTATTCTGTATCTGAATAGAGCAAATGCCCTACGCGAATGAAATATGTCCATACGAAATATACCAAATATACCAAACTTACCGTACTCCCATACGCCGTGACGAAGTGAGGGGGCTGCATATGCAGCGTCTGTCACAATCACACACCAATCAAGCGCCCACATCCATCACACTCACAATTCAGCAAATAAACCGGGCGATCACTCCGTCTGTCCTCCGCCCGAGGATGACCAGGATGACATTACCCAGCCTGTAGGCAGTGCTCTCTAAGCGCCCAACAACGGGAAGCACTGTGCTTGATTCGATTCCTCCTCCAGCATTAGCTGTGCTGCAGGTGCACATCCCTGGTCTGGGAGCTCGACTCGACTCCACTAAGTCATCACGGACAGAACAGTGGCCTGCTCGCAGTGAAAAAAAGAAGCTTTCCCGCAGCCCGATTGAATTGACATCTTACCGTTGCTCATGCAAACTTGACTGTATCTCCGGCACTCTGCCTTTGCTTCGCACCCTTTTCGTAAAATCAGATGCGAACGCGCTGTTCGCTCGAATCATGACCGGGTGCCGTGGTTCATTCTTCGGGATGGTAGCGTTCCTAGCGATTTGGTTGTTCAGTCCTGCGATTCTGGCACTGAGGACCACGTCTGGCTCGCCTTGTGCAGGTGTCTGTGGAACAACGACGAATACCACCTCCGATGAGATCACTTGTCTGGATCGGTCGTATAATGGAACTTCGACGGGCAAGAACTTCGAGAACTGCATCTCTTGCCAGTTGGATAGTGAATTCCACGATGCCAACACTGGGGAATCGGATGTGAACTGGGGCCTTTGTATGTGGCACCGAAAACCAGGTGCAAGACCGCTGCTGACAGGTTCCACCAGATAACTTGCGCTACGCTTTCTCCACTTGCGTCTTTGGGTTCCCGGACTCGATTTCCAATGTCTCCTCTCCTTGTCCGGTCGCGTGTGATGGTGTTCGCACCGCACTCGAGACAGATATCGAGGAGCCGAGTACCTCGAATCTGGATGCTTGGTGCGACACTCCCACATTCGCGGATAATGTTGTCAACACCTGCGAGTTCTGCTACAATCTCACCACTACCCAAGTCTACATGGCCAACTGTACGTGCTCCGTAGATCATGGATCCCCAATCACGCATCATCTCCGACCGCATCACTAACCTTTCGCAGTCCTCGAGTCCATCCGCTATAACTGCCACTTCAAGACAGTCACTGGCAAGAGATTCAACATCGATCCAACCAGGATCTTCACCCAATCCCTTCTCCCGTCCAGTCTCTCCCTCACGACACCAGGCGCCAGCTCCTCGAACCTCAACCTGGGCGTGGTAATCGCCGTTCCAATCGTCGGCTTCCTTCTCATCCTCGTCACACTGACGATATGCTGCTTTTTCTTCATCCGTCACCGTCGCAGGAAGGCGCGTCGGACCCGCCAGTCAGGCCATACCATTTATAACAACTGGAATTCTCCTTCGAATGGCCAGCAGGCTTGGGCTGAGCAGCATGCCGCAGGTGCGTACGGCTATGGTGCTGGTCTGGGATTCATGGACAATGATGGCCGTGGTCAGGAATTGCCATACGGTCACGGCAGTCCAGACCAGCAATATCAGCAGCATCAGTACCAGCAGCATTTCCAGGGGCAGGATAAGTCGGGCTTCTCGAACCAGATCACTGAACAGCCGAGTCAGGTCCCTGTCCACTCCCAGGTTCTGGATCCTGACTCGAAGCGTCCGCAGCAGTGGGAGTGATTGTAAAAGCCGTTGGTGGCTCGGTCTTTCAATGTCGATGGGACATAGATCCAAAAGCTGTTGACGCTATGCAACTGTTGTTTGTCTTGAATTGAGCTTAATGAAGGCGGTGGCTCATATCATTGTTGGCGTTTGTGTTTTGAATTTCGATTGAAACCTTCCCTTGCACCCAATATCCCGACATCTTGTCATGTCTGCATGTCCTTGGAGTATATAGTCAATGGTAGTTGCATGAGACTTCCCTTGTCCTATCCAACCCCGAGTCCCAAAGCCGAGAAACCGTCGGGTCCTATAAGGCTGAATGCCAAGTTAGTGCGGAGTGCTCGACCCCAAGCATCAGAAGCAGACACCAGGGGCAGACAGGCCTATTTATCTGCACTGCATCCTCTCTGTACAAACAACACCCATCTCCCAAAATAGCACATCAAGCCGCCCAGCAACGCCAGCAACGGGACAAGCGAAACCTACACATGTCAGAATGCCCTGTAAGACGAGTTGATCGGCTGGGCTCACCCCCCTCCGGCCGAGAGTCGGGCCAATTGCAAATAGGCAACGCTGTTCTGCGCGCGTTTCAGCACGCACTGCCAAGGGTCCAGCGCACTTATGGCGGTCAGGGTGTCGATCCTGGAGATATTTTTGGATCGCGGGCTTTCCTGCTTATTGTGCTTACACGCGTCCGTGCTTGGCCGGTGAGGAATTGTCTGTGGTGAATAGAGAAGAATGCTGGAGTCAATACCGTGATAATGTGCACGGAGTAGAAATTATTAGATAGTTTTTCGTGGTGATCTGGCTGGATTGTAGTGACGGATACGATGAAGCGGTAGAAACGGAGATCTACATGATGTTCCGTCTTTGAACTTCTCCAACCACCAGACAGAGCACCATGTCGAACCTCAATCAAGAACAACTCAAAGTCCTCGAACAGTCTCGCCAGCGACTTGTCCAACTCACCCACTCCCTGGGCTCTCTCATCGGAAGTCTAAATTCAAGCGACCCTCTCCCACCATGGTAAGCTCAGCGCGCTCCAAAGACAAACCCACCTAACACCACCAGGTCCTCCCTCCAGTCCCAAGCAAGCATCATCTCCAACAACCTCATAAGCGTCTCTGAACAACTCTCCGACAACCGCGACCTCCTCTCCACCCTAGTCGCCTACCCGGGCCCCGAATACCCAGGCCGCACCCAAGCCAGTACCCTCGAGCAACTACTCCGCACAAAGCTCGACCCCCGCGTCGAAGACTGGGTCGCGCGCGGTCGCACAGCAGGCACTGAAACACCCGCCTCCGATACCCTCAGCGACGCGCAGCTCGCGCAACTATGGGAATGGGCACCGCTGGAAGCGAATCAGGAAGCGAGACGGAGGAATTGGGGCGGGAACTTCACGCTTGAGGAACGCGAGGCTGGAATCGAGAATGTTGTTACGGGATTGAAGAGACAGCTTGAGGACGATGATGGGTCCGAGGAGGAGAGCGAGGAAGATGAGGATGAGATGGATGTTGTTGGTGTTCATCGCAAGCCTGGGGCTGCGGGACTGGAGTTTGATATTGCGCCTCATCATCCGCACTCTGTGCAGCCGTTTGTGCCGCTGGATCTGATTCTGCGGCATATGAGTACTGGGCGCATGCCGTAGTTTACGTTTATATTGGGTTGGAGCTACGGATGGGATTCGTGGGAAGGTTGTTTGGTCCTTGTGGATCCGTGTGGCATTAAAATGAATATAAGCAGACCGGGAGAAAGAATGAAGCTAAATAGTCCTGTTTAACCGCGTCGGCGGGTGGTGGGTGTCTTCGCACCGGGTCGGGGCGAGGCTCCAGTGGAGGCTCCGGAAGCCTGAGCGACAGGTGTCTTCTCCGCGACCTTGGCGGGAGCCTGCTTCTTTGCGGGGGCAGGGGTGTTCCAGTACCAGAGCATTTGGATGGCAAGAATCACGTTGAGGGTAAATCCGCCGATGAAGCCATAGAGAATGGCCTTGTCGTCGACTTCCTGGAGCGTAGTGAAGATGCGCGACATAGATCCAACGAGGTAGTTGAACACCTAGTGATTGATTAGCGTGTGAAACGAGAAAATTTGGCGACCAAAAACTTACGGTAAAAGCGCTGAGCTGTCCAGTACCGCCCTCGCGCCAGATAGTGTAAATTTGAGGCGCCTTGCTAGCAACACCCAGAGCACCAGCACCAGCCTGCAGATACGCCATAGTCTGCGCATCAACCAGAGTTTGATCGAACAGCAAAGCGTAAATGCTAGCCGCCACAACAGCCACGAAAGTCGCCGCCGCCGCGGTCCGGCCCGCAAAGTGCAGCACCAAGACCCCGATCGCGATATCCTGCACGGCAATCAAAGCCGTCTCGCCATATGTGCTGAATGGGAACTGGTTGCGCACACTGTAGGAGAGCGTGATGAGCAAGCTGGCGGTTTCGAGAGCGTACGAGATAAAGGAGACACCGGCGGAGGAGCGCGATCCGATGAGCTTCAGGATTTGAGGAACCTTGACGATGGCACTAGCGCCGACGATGGCGATGCCCAGAGCCTTGGAGATGGCCAGGGTTGTGCAGGCGGGGTCCTTGGTCACGTCGAGATCGAGGAGGAGCGCGTTGTGGCATGGTGCTCCGATCAGTGAGATCACGGCATCGTGGACGGGCTCGGGGATGACCGAGACGACCTGGGCCAGGTATGGCTGGAGGGGTGTGATGACGCTGTTCTGTAGGGTATCCATTGCTGTGTTCTTGATGCAGGGAACAATAAACATTCAAAGTTTCCCGAATGTTCGTTGGTTACGCTAACTGTCTTCGGTTAGCGCATTCTGGGTAGACTGCCGAGGTCAAGACGATCTACACTGTCGCTTCGTGACTCCCGTCGCTGGTGTTCAAGGTTGAATACTAGGATAGTCGATCCATGGTATTCTCGGTTCTGATTTAGCTGTGGGTCTTTTTTGGGGTTTATTCGTCCTTAATGAGATCAGAAGTACGCAAAACCTGGAACCTGGACATTGTCACAGAAATATATTTCCACACGTGGTCCTTCATATTTCTATCATCTGGGCATCAGTGGATGAAACTTTGGAATATTCCAAGGTTGAAACTTTAACCTGGGCATGGTTGATCTGGTACTAGGTAGAATTTTGAGATTCGTGAATATGAGAATGCAGTCGTCCAAGGTCCATTGAACATCAGATTTTGACGAAAGGATTCTACTACCAGATTATTTTCTTGCATTGAGATAATTCTTGGATGTACTTCCATGGCTTGCTTTGCAGGTATATCAAGAAGTTGAGTAGACACCGAGTCAGGAGTCCTAATATCCATAAATGACATGGCATGGCACTTTTTTTCTCCAGGATTCGTGGTTTACAATGTATACGGACTCGGGATGTTCTGCCCAGGTGAACATCGTGTACTGGATTGAGCGCGCGGTACAAGGGCAAATCGATACAATTTGATGGTGGTGATATCAACTGTGGAGGGTCAGGACAACAGTGGACTATTGCGAGTGCAGGCATGGCTCAGTATACATGCAGCACACGAGCTCAGAAAGCATCTGTGTAGAATCACCTAGGCACCAACGGCGACGGTTGTAAGCTATGACTTTCCCTCAGCCTTGGATGCCGTCAAATAGGATCTAATATCACTTGCACAATATGTTGAGATGCACCATCAGGAAGAATTTCAGTAGATGTAGCACAATGAATTATGGTGGAAGGGTCAAATGGCTCATACTTCTGAGCGTTAATCTACTGATATTCAGGCCTGGGGCCCTGAGCTCGCTGTGTTGCGCAGTTATGCTCAGGCTTGATGTGGGTGTAGACCAGATGATCCATGTCCTCAACTACAAATGCGAGACTCCAGATCATGAAGCCCGCATGATCAGGTGTGTACGGAGGCTCAAGACCAGAGAGTCAGGATCTGAAAAAACCTAATAGGAAGCGTAAGCGAAAGCGCCAGTCAGAGCTCAGGATCAGAGGCGCTCAGGATCTGAGAATCCCGAATAGGAAATTTCTCCAAAGGTGGAAGGTGCACCTGGAGGAAATGCTCGTTCCTTCCTACTTTGAATTCCCAATCTGGTTAGCTGGTTGATCCTGGGTTCCTCCCCCAGGGTATAAAAGGACCCTCTTCTCTTCTCTTCCTCTTCCTCTTCTCTCCCTCCCCACTTCTTCTCTCCACTTCTTCTCTCCACCTCGCGTGCAGCCAATGCTTCATGGCGGTCCACCCTCTTGGCCATGCAGCCCCACCACAGCCCTGCTCAGCCCTATCGTGCATGCATACATACCTGTCTACCACATGACAACTTTGTTTACCTTCCTCACCTTGGTATGTACCTTCTACTTAGGTACCCTCTTCCAAGGTTGTCTCCTTGACTGACCAATATCAAGATGATCCTTCCAAGGTTGACCCTCTCTCACCTCATGTCTACTATGACATGTCCATTATGACACCATGTGTCCACGTCTGCTTGGCCCACTGCTGCTAAGCCTTCATGTAGGTTGGCCCTCTGACTGGTTGCCTATACATGGCATCGCACTCATCACATCTTAGGATGTCTTCCATCAATTGACTATGCCCCACTGGCATTCCTCCTCTTGTCCAAGCTTCCTTTAGCTTGAGGTCTCTTGGCCCTCTATATCTTGGCCATCACCATCGTCTTTATCTTGATCTTTATCTTCGTCTTTATCTTCGTCTTTATCTTCGTCTTTATCTTCAACTTCGTCTTCAACTTCGTCTTCAACTTCGTCTTCAACTTCGTCTTCAACTTCGTCTTCAACTTCGTCTTCAACTTCGTCTTCAACTTCGTCTTCAACTTCGTCTTCAACTTCGTCTTCAACTTCGTCTTCAACTTCGTCTTCAACTTCGTCTTCATCATTATCTTCAACTTCAACTTCAACTTCGTCTTCAACTTCGTCTTCTTCATCTTCGAGTTTATTATCGCCTTCATCTTCATCTTCGTCTTCATCTTCGTCTTCATCCTCGACTTCGACTTTATCTTCGTCTTGGTTTCCATCTTCGTCCATGTTTCTGCCTTTGGCCATATTTGCAATTTCAACGATGCCTTCATCTTTGGTTCTTATCTCCGAGGTTGTCTATGTTCTTATGTTGGTCTTCATGTCTGTGTTTGTATTCATCTTGGTCTCTGTGTTCATCTTGATGTGTCTGGGTCTTCGGCCTTGTCTCGCTGTGTTTGTTGTTTGCATGTTCATCTCGCCCAACTTGGGTATGCTGGAGTCAACCAGCTTGACAGGTATGTCTTTCTTGGGTCCATTTGTTCTTTCCAGCTAACCACACTATCAAGCAGTCTGCATCGCGCAAAGAAAAAGAAAGAAAAAAAGGAAAAGAAAAAGAAAAAAAAAAAGAAAAAAAAAAAGAAAAGGGCAACGGCATCAGTTGCAGCAACTCCTCAAGGCATGATGAGCCCCTATTGTCCAATTTGTGGTGGCTAATTGACTTTGCAGGAGACACCATTGTCCATCTTTGGACCCTCTGGTGGATGCTTCGGTTTCCATCTTCTCGCCTCAAGTCGCTCAATCTTCTGTCTGCATCCAACAATCTGTGAACTATGCTGTGGCGGGCTTCAGCTTCAGGACAATCAGCATTTCGGTTCACACCCGACAACATCAACTTTCGAATGTCCGCTTCCAACTTGTCTGCTCTGTTTGATTCTGGCTCGTATTTTTCGATTGATTTCCTCTGTTTGGTTTATGCTCGGTTCTTGTCTTTGCTTAATTCACACATTGAACAACGGATCCACGCATCCACGTTCATTCCACGGTGAGCTATGCCGTGGCGGGCTTCGGCTTCAGGACAATCGGCATGGCTCACATTCGACTTCGACTTCGTTTCGGTTTCGTTTTCGGTTTCCACGTTCGATCTTCGGTTTCCTGTTCACCATCTGTGGGCTATGCCGTGGCGGGCTAAGGCCTCAGGTCAATCGGCATGGCTTACATTCGATCTCAACTTCGTTTCGTTTCCGTCTTCGCGTTCGATCTTCGTTTCGGTTTCGTTTTCGGTTTCCACGTTCGATCTTCGGTTTCCTGTTCACCATCTGTGGGCTATGCCGTGGCGGGCTAAGGCTTCAGGTCAATCGGCATAGTTCACATTCGATCTCAACTTCGTTTCGGTTTCGGTTTCCACGTTCGATCTTTGCTTTCCTGCTCGCCATGTGTGGGCTATGTCGTGGCGGGCTAAGGCCTCAGGTCAATCGGCATTGCTCACATTCGATCTCAACTTCGCTTTCGCATTCATGTTCGATTTGCGTTCTCACGTTCGATCTTTGCTTTCCTGCTCGCCATTTGTGGGCTGTGTCGTGGCGGGCTAAGGCTTCAGGTCAATCGGCATGGCTCACATTCGATCTCAACTTCGCTTCCGCATTCACCATATAGTGAGTTGTGCTGTGGCGGGCCTTCGGGCTTCAGGACAATCAGCATATCTCACTTCGAAATTCCACTTTACATTCCGATTCAATTTCCGTATTCGCGTTCATCCTTCGTTTCCGCATTTACCATATAGTGGGCCATGTCGTGGCGGGCTTAGGCTTCAGGACAATCGACATAGCTCACATTCGATTTCCGTTTCGAACTTCAGTTTCCGTATTCACATTCGATTTTCGTTTCCTTATTCGCCCACTGTGGGCTGTGCCGTGGCGGGCTAAGGCCTCAGGTCAATCGGCATGGCTCACTTCGAAATTCCACTTTACGTCTCGATTCGATTTCCGTGTCCACGTTCGATCTCCATTTTCAACATACAGCCAACTGTGAGCTGTGCTGTGGCGGGCCTCTTGGCTTCAGGACAATCAGCATGGCTCACTTCGAGATTTCACTTTGCTTTGTGTTTCACCAATGAACCATATGACCCTTTCGAACGACCGACCTCCGCACTCCCCTTCGGCAGCCCACGATGAGTTGTGCCGTGGCGGGCCTTTGGGCTTCAGGACAATCGAAATACCTCACTCCGAACTTCCACTTTACCTTCCATGATTTACGCATATGATCTCTTCGATCAATCGACCTTGACATTCAACGTACTATGAGCGATGCCGTGGCGCGTCTATCGGCTTCATGACGACCGGCATACCTCTCATGAACGACCTGGGCTCACATATTGGGAAAAGACAATCTCAAGACCATCAGAGATGACATTGGCATTGGATAGGAGGAGCTCGTGGGCGCAAATTTGTGGAAGAAGTCCCACTGCAGGGCCCTGAAACTGTTCTTGGCAGCGATCACCTACGCGTTGGTGGAGAGATCATCCAATCGCTCTCAGTCACTTTATGAACAAAATCCAAGTCACTTTCCACACATATTTTTCTTCGCGTAGGGTAAAACAGCAACATCACGTATACTCCATAGTCGACGTAGTCGAAATGCAAGTGGTACGACAATCGAGCGGAAGTGGCCCGTGCACCGGGGAAATTCAACTTCTCTCGTCCACATTTCTTCTCTCAGACAGACACGCCATGATCCCTCTGCGGCCTTCCCTCCTACGGAGGCCTCGAGAGGCGCTTCTATGCTCACGTCTGATAAAGTCTACCCCCTCACCAACTATTCGGGGATTCCTTTCATCTGCAAACCGGCAGACCGGCATCGCGGATGAGTCCCCTTCGGTATTTCACAAGTCATATTTCTCAGCCAATCGATTATATGAAGGCCCTGGCGCTAAAGGAAGCTTTGTATCCTCGCTTGCGCCGTCAGATGCGAGCAAGAACTTCGATTTCAAGTCTCAGTCTCCTACCGATCCCCCCGCAAGTCAAACCGACGGGTCCACAACAATTGGGACAGAAGCAAGCCCCGAGTTACCGCACCGCAGACGCAAGCGCCTGAGAGAGGCGGGACATAGTAATGGACAGCCAGAGCCCAGCATCCCGCTGGATGCGTCCGCGCAGCTGTCGAACTTCTCTTCCGCACTCCCCACCACCTCCCTCCGTCGCAAGTTCGCGGCCTACCTCGCCCTGACGAAACCTCGTTTATCCTTCCTGATCCTCCTCACCACGACCTCCGCGTACGGAATGTACCCGATCTCATCCTTGCTCACACTCGATCCGGCCATGACCCCGCTTCCTACCCTCTCAACATCGACTTTGACCTTCATTTATCTCACCGCGGGCACATTCCTGTCATGCTGCAGCGCCAACACGCTGAACATGATGTTCGAACCGAAGTACGATGCGCTGATGTCCCGCACCCGTAATCGTCCGCTCGTTCGTGGCCTCGTTTCGCGCCGGGGTGCTCTGCTTTTCGCTATCGGAACTGCTGTGACTGGACTGTCGCTTCTCTATGTCGGCACGAACCCAACAACAACGGCCTTGTCCGCCGCCAACATCTTCCTCTACGCTTTCGTTTACACCCCACTCAAGCGGATCCACGTTGTGAACACCTGGGTCGGCGCTATCGTCGGTGGTATCCCGCCCCTGATGGGATGGGTTGCGGCAGCAGGCCAGACCGCTACACTTGGTCACGATAGCTGGCGCGATATGCTGTTCAGCGAAGGCAGTATTGGTGGGTGGCTACTCGGTGGAATCCTGTTTGCTTGGCAATTCCCCCACTTCAACGCTCTCTCACACCTTATTCGCGATGAGTACAAGGCCGCCGGATACCGGATGATGGCTTGGGTGAACCCTGCTCGCAATGCGCGGGTTTCGCTTCGCTACTCTCTTCTGATGTTCCCCATCTCCATTGGTCTGTGGTGGTACGATGTTGTTGGCGCTGGCTTCCTCGTTCCTAGCACTTTCGCCAACGGCTGGCTAGTGCGCGAGGCTTACCGCTTCTGGCAGCACCAAGGTGCGAACGGAACCGCACGTGGCCTTTTCTGGGCGAGTATCTGGCAGTTGCCCATTCTTCTTGTTGGTGGCCTTGTCACCAAGAAGGGTCTTTGGGATGGTGTCTGGAGGAGTATCTTCGGACACCCTGACGAGGATGATGATGAATACTTGTACTATGAGGACGAAGAAGAGTTCGAGGCGGAGAAGTCCAGACCTTATGCCTCTTCGTCGTCCCGCTCATCGTCGACTCGGACAAGTTCTTTGTCCACTACTTGAGGCTTCCACATGAGGCGTCGTGCTATTGACTTGGATGCCAGCCTCTTTCAACGAAGAATTCGCACCACATTGGCTCATTGCATTAGATCTTTTGTCATATTTTTCTTGGTTTCAACATTTGTCTTATACAGCGGTTTGGAGTGGCGTTTTTTGACTTTGTACAACACCATTCCCATATGGGACCCATACAGTCTTATCCATCCATTTTCTCATTCTCTCCAAGGGCTTCTTCATTTCTTCTCGGTCGATGTGTTGTCTGGCTACGATTTTGTCCAAGGCGAATCTTTACAGTCAATGTATCTCAACCGTGGAGAAGGGAGACATCCCAGATGTCAATACATTCATGCTAACGGTGTCCAACAAATAACACAACACTATCCATGAGCACCCATTCCAATCAATCCATCCCATTCCCATCATTTCCATTGAGCCATATTGGCCCAGTCCGTCAATCCGTCAAACCGTCAAACGGTTGATTCCATCAAGAAACCAATTTAAGCAACACCAGCAGCCTTGACGAGGAACTGCGCAGCAGTCTTCGCATCAGAGCCATAGGTCAGGTGAGCCATAACGTTAACACCGTTCTCGCAGACAGGGTCACCGATGGCGCAGAATTCCTTGCGCTTGTCGTTGGAGAGGTGAGCCACGGCCTGGGCCTTGAATGGGTCACCGAACAGAACGGCACCGGAGATTTGACCAGCAGAGAGCTTCTGGGCAGCGTTGTGAACGACCATGGCTCCCTGGGAGTATCCTCCGACCACGACCTTGGTGTTGGGGCACTGGCTGAGAGCCTGCTTGACAAGCTTGGCCATGGCGGGGCCACCGGCGGCACCGAGCTCAGCGTTACCCTGTTATATGGGTTAGCATGTGGATTGACCTTGGATTGGATGGTGGGATAACTTACACCAACGCTGGCGGGGTAGGTCACTCCCTGGACGGTAACCTTGTTACCGGTGAGAGACTTGAGTTGAGTGGCGACCTCGGGGCCGACGACGGTTCCCATGTTGCCGGGCTCGGTGGTACCGCGAGCGAAGATGAAGGTCAGCTCCTTGCAGGCGCCCTTGGAGGTAACTTCGTTGGCAGTCATGCCGCCTTGAGGTAATGGTTAGCTTTGGATCATTTCGAATGCTGTTCTCACAGTTGCAAGAATGGGATATTACTTACCAAGCTGACGCTTCTCGAGGTCTTCTTCGTCACGACGGCCGAGACCGCCGCCGGAAAGAAGGGAGCTGAGACCACCACTGCCGCCGGAGCCGGCACTGGGGATCAGAGACTGGAGGGCACTCAGGCCACCGGTGGAAGAGCCGGAAGAGCCTCCGAGGCCAGAAAGCAGGGAGCCGAAACCACCGCTGCCGCTGGAGCCGGCGCTGGGGATCAGAGACTCAAGAGCACTCAAGCCACCGGTGGAAGAGCCGGACGAGCCGCCCAGACCGGAGAGAAGAGAGCTGAGACCACCGCTGCCGGAGCCGGAGCTGGGAATGAGAGACTCAAGAGAGCTCAGACCAGGCAGCTGGCGCTTGTCGGTCTTAGAGGCACCGTTCTCTTGGAGCGTCTTGATGTCCTTCTCGAGGAGATCGGAGATGCTGGGCAGATCGGAGGGAAGGCCAGGGAGGCCTTCGAGGTGAGGGAGACCACTGAAGTGGGGAAGGCTGGGGAAACCGCTGGCACCCTGGCCCTGGGGAATGAGGGACTTCAGGGCATCGAGACCGCCAGTTCCACTGCCGGGAAGGTCCCGGTTTTCGATGGTGGGGGTGGGAGCCGACAGGGCAGCGCCAGCCAGGGCAAGAACAACAGCAGCCTTCATTTCAACGGTGAGATGAAATGATTGGAAAACAAAGAACGACTTCTAGAGACCGGCTCTAAAGGATGTGAACGAAAGAATGGGAAGGCTGCGATGGAATGAGTTGGAATGGCTCAATGATCCTCTAGCTGGGAGGGACCAGTGGCTCTTATATCTAGGCTTTTCGGCACTTTCATGGCCATCGTGCATTCTACCGAGGCACGGCATTGATCGTGACACCATTTTGATCAATCCACGGCTCTATAGATTAATTTGCGCAGTGAAACGGGGGACCCTGTTTCATGATTGTGTGCAGAGAATTCGTATAGTTCAGTCCAGGTACGAGCTCCGAGATCGCCTCATATTGCGGACACCAAAAAATGATCTTCGTGTCCGTTCCTGACCCAAAAAACGGCATCGCGCACGGCTAGGCCTCGGGGATCGGCAAGCTCAATTCTGGACGTTGAGCAGAAGGACTAGTACGAAGTACGCCGTCCGAAGTATAGCCGTTCAATCTCAAACACCAAATCTGACGTATCGTTCTAGACGTCGAAGCACTCTATTGCAATCGGATCTATCCAATCCAATATGAAACAGGTACAGTGAATCGATGACTTTGGAATGCAGGGTTTAAGATAAATGAACTGCACGATGGAGTGTTCTCAAAAATGGGTTCGCACCAAATTGGGCAGTTTAGCCGTTGGGGCGCAAAATGGGGATGCGCTATAGTGCGCCATTCTCCACTGTCCGCTGGGCACGTCCAATGTCCGGGGCTCTAGCTCGGATCCTTCAGTATACACCCTGCAGGGTTTGATTAGATGCCGTTGGATGTGTATCAGGTTCAGCCCTGGGACCCGAAGCCCTAATTTTCCTACTTCCAAGGTTGCTGGCTAGTAGATCATGGGTAACTCTGGTAGAGGTGATTTAGGGAATCTCGGATATAGTACAAATATGATACAAGGATATACGGGAGATCTAGACAGAGCCCGCTCATTTCCTGAGTTTCAGGTGATAGGTCTCCAACGCCTGTTCGGTCATTTGGCTGGGAGAGCCGACCATCAGATCATCACCACCCTTGCCGGTCTTCGGGAAGGCAATCACGTCACGGACGGATTCTTTGCCCAGCATGACCGCAACGAGGCGGTCAAAGCCTAGTGCCAGGCCTGCGTGAGGTGGACAGCCGGAACGCAAGGCATCGAGGAGGTGGGAAAAGTCTGTCAGCCGCTCAGCCGGCATCTGCAATATATCTCGGAAGATGAATTCCTGCACCGCGGCATTGTGGATACGGCGACTGCCCCCGCCCAGCTCAACGCCGTTGACGACAAGATCATAGTGGTCTGCGACTACCTTGGTGGGATCGGTGAGGAGGAGGTCAACATCAGCCGGGGTCTTGGGCGCGGTGAAGGGGTGGTGGGTGGAGGATAAGCCTGCTGTACCACCCTGGCCAGGCTCGGAATCCGAGGAGGGAGAGAAGAGGGGGAAATCGACGACCCAGAGGAAGTCGAAGCCAGTCGCGGCAGGCTTGAAACCAGATGAGACAGAGGTGGCATAGAGGGCGCGGCGCAGATCGCCGATTGGAGTCGAGCCTCCAGAGAAGGGAGCGCGGGGGCGGGCTTGAAGGATGATCAAGTCACCGTGATCAGGTTCAAGTAGTTCCTCAGCCTGCTCAGCAGCTTCGAAGCCGAAGGGCTGAAGTCCGCAGAGTGGCTGCTTACCATTGTAGATGAAGACACCGGGCCCGCCATCCGGGTTATTATTGAAAGGTGCCCCAGCTGGCGAGTCCAAGAAATCAGTAATGAACTTATGGGTCTCGGCGGGATCGTTGTCGTTGCCTTCGATCTTGAATGCCTCCACGATAGGGTTCTCCAAGTCGGAGATCTTCCCGACCAAATCCACTGGGAGAGCATGATCCAAGCGGATGATCTCCATCCCGTATCTGGTATCCGGCTTGTCGGAGCCATATCTGGCCATGACCTCCTGGTACGAGACTTTGCGGAACGGACCCGTTGGCGCAGGATCCTTCATCAGCTCGGACCAAAGTCGACGGATCACGCCCTCGACGGTACGCATAACATCGTCGCCAGTTGCAAATGACATTTCCAAATCAAGCTACAACATCATTAGCACAGTTCTATCTCTGGATGAGGAGATTCATACCTGAGTAAATTCTGGCTGCCGATCCGCTCTCAGATCCTCATCCCGGAAACACTTGGCAAACTGATAATACCGTGGTAGTCCGCTGGCCATAAGAATCTGCTTATATTGTTGCGGACTCTGTGGCAGCGCGTAGGCCAATCCCTCTCGCCGCGTGGGCACAATGAATTCACGTGCGCCTTCAGGCGTAGACTTGAACAGCAGGGGTGTCTCAATCTCCACAAACGGAGGCTGCGACTTCTCTAATTCCTCTTTGCAAAGGTTGTGTGCCTTGGCACGGAATCTGAGCGCCTCGCGTAGCTCTGCATCTGATCGAAGTTGCAGATATCGCTGCTCGGGCGGGAAGACGGTTTCCGGTGTCATGATGATATCTTTGGGGAATTCGTTGAGGGCGTGGATCTCTTCGAGCGCAAGTTCCCATGTGTCTTCTGGGCTAACTGGTTCAGAGCCTTTGGCCTTCTTCTTTTGTACTGTCCCGCGCACAGCGACGGGGCTGTTGGCGTTCAGACTCTTAAGTGTTTCGAAGCCATTGTTTTTCGCGAGGGCGACGATTTGTACGCTATGCTGGAGGGTCGTGTCGGCTAGGCGGACGAATGATAGTTTCTTTGAAAGGTCGACACGGGTCCCCAGGTAGCCATGGAGAACTACTTCGGTGTTTGGCTCTGCTTTTGCGAAGAATGTCTCGAAATCATGTGTAGCCGGGGGGAAGGCCACTGGAATAGTATCAGCAACTGACATGAATTGATGCAACAAAGACCACACTGCCCGTCGGGGTACTTGTACATACCACCCTTCTTGTAAGCCTCCAAGAAAGCAGGAAGCTGTGGTTCCTGTCGCAGACAAGCTCGTGCACTGAACTGCCGCGCCGTCACTAGGTTGGATCGCGCAACAGCCCGACCACGCAGGATACTCGAGATACCAATGTAACTCGACCTCAGCCGCAGATTGCGGAGCTGCGCAGCAGCAATTGACATGATGTACAAGTACGGAGATACAAGGTCGAACTCATCAGACATCAGAAGATCCAACGATGATTCAAATAACCGGCAGAACGCACACCGCCTAAAAAGCGGACTGGCTCCCGCAGAAATAAAATCCGCGCATTTTGCATCTTTTCTTCTTCATCCTTCCAAGTTTTATACTTGTGAGTATACTGCTCTTCCACCCTTTGGACCTTGACTGACTCTGTTTCCAGATATGATGAAAGCCTAGTGTGTTTTATATGAGACGATCGCTGCCCTCTGAGACGTGCGGCTCTCTTTCTTCGGGGAGCTTAAGGGCTGTACGACTCGGGGGTAGGGTTTGTGATATATGCGTTCGGCATACCAACCTTGTTTACAACACGGACGCGATGAAGGCATCTCTGACTCTAAAACTTGAAGGTGTTCCTGGTACAACCATGCATTCGGCGAAGCAGGAGATGTTGGCCTTGACCCCACGTCCTTCGTCTCTGCTTGTCACGGCCGCTGTACATAGACCTGCTCATCTTGGGCTAATGAAAGCTTTACCATTCCCATCTTCACCCATAATTTACTCCGTAGACTTCGCGTATGTCAGTGCAGACAGATCTGGACCTGTTAACTTAAGATTATCGCCAAGCACCGATGGGAATTTTGCTTTTTCCACTGACCACTCAGACCTCGGCGATGAGCTCGCAGGTGCGGCATTTCCTCCCCAGGAGAGCTACCACCTGGCAGCAGATCAATACCATTGTTGGCTAGGGGAATGCAGACTGACATCTGTGCTGCCATCTCAACCCATACAAATCGAGCACATTTCGCTCAAAACAATCATGATCAGACTAATCCATTCGCTAGATATTGAACGGCCTTGGCTCTCGAAATCAAAACGAAATTCTTATGCATATGAACATCAAATGGGCTCCTCTATGGAATACCCTGTGAAAATACTAGGTACTATGTATCAAATTAAATAACTTTTCATGCAAAAATCATTTTTTCCAGCACCTCCTTCTCACCACTGTTCTCCACCAGATTCTTGAAAATACCTCCCTCAATCCCCATCAACTCCCTGGGGGATCCAAACTCAGCAGCATGCCCAGCATCCATGACAAGGATACGATCAAAGTCAGCAATGGTACTGAGTCGATGCGCAATAACCAGTAAAGTAGTTGCGTTGCGACCGAACTCCGCCCGAATAGACTGTTGGATGAGCGCGTCGGTCTCCATATCCACGGCCGAAGTAGCTTCGTCCAGAACCATGATCTTAGGTCGGGCGACGATCGCTCTCGCAAGACAAAGGAGCTGCCGTTGGCCTTGAGAGAGATTAAGTCCGCCTTCGGAGATGGTGGCGGAGAGAGAGGTAAAGATGTTTGCGTTGGTCTTTTGTGTGGTTGCTGGTGTTGAAGCGCCTGTTTCGCTTGGGACACGGGGTGTGGCAGTTCGGGAGGTAAGGGTCAATTCATCGTCGTCGGCCTCGGAGATAAGATGCACTCGTGCAAGTGCATCGTATAATTCTGTATCACCGTATTCGTCGAATGGGTCGAGGTTTGACCGCACGGTTCCGGAGAATAGCACTGGATCTTGCGGGATGATGGCCAGACGACTGCGGAGATCGTGGAGTTTGATCTTGGAAACATCGAGCCCGTCAATGAAGATTTGACCGGATCGCGCTTCTAGGAATCGGAAGAGTGCAAGTGTGAGTGAGGATTTACCGGCGCCTGTGCGTCCGACGACACCGACGCGCTGGTTGCTCTCGACGGTGAAGCTGAGGCCGTTGAGCACAGGTGGGAGCTCGGGGGCATAGCCCACGACCAGATCGTTGACCTCGAGACGGCCCTCTGTGGGCCAGGCAGCGGGTGCATCTGCTCCTCCTTGTTTCTCAATTTCAATATTGGAGTATTCGATGACACGTTCCGTGGCGTTCATGTTCAATTCGAGGTTGGCGTACTGGCGAAGGGCCATTGTGATGGCCGAGTTGTATTGCAGCGCGAAGCTGAGGGCAAAGCCTGCAAGTGAGGCAGTGATACCTGGGACGTAGACGACAAGGCCTGCGGCAACTGTCGAGAAGATTGCGCCAACAAGGTTCATGCGGAAGCCAAGCCAGCGGTTGAAAAGCCAAAGGGTCCACCATGCTTGAGCGTGGTGGTTCACCTTGTCATACATGATCTTGATATAGGTATCTGGCTTGCTGAAAGCGCGAATGGTGATGAGACCAGCAAGACTAGAGCCAAATTGCTCGAAGACTGGACTCTTCGCTGTACTTTCAAGTCGTTTTGTCTGACGCGCGCCGGCCAAGTAAGTCATAGCGAGCTTCAGGCAAACGGCCAGAAGCACTAGTCCAAACAGGATGACCATCGAGTTGACGAGAAGTCCCGCCACCATCACTGCCACTAGGTCCAAAAGCCTGGCAACGAGGAATCCAATGTCGTAGCCAATCCGAGAATCGATCGAGTGGAAGTCTGCGGTGAAGCGGTTAAGGATGCGGCCTAGCGGGACTGTGTCGAGCCATCGAAGCGGTGCGCGGAGGACAGTGTAAATGAGACCGTCGAACAAGTTTCTCGAGGCCCGAACTGCCGAACGTAGAGTGCAGTAGTATCGGAGCGTTCCGAGGATACACGCAGAGACAGAAATGGCGACGTAAACGGCAAGATACTTTGCAAGTTCATCATCTTGTCGGACAGACACAGTTGGTTGCATGGCATGTTGCAATAAAACAGTGTACTGATCATGATGCGACTTAGTATCAGATGTTGATGCTGTCCAGACATTGATCCACCAGGCCTGCAAGAGGTTAGTCATTTTATATCCCAAAGATCAAATCAAAAAGTGAAGGACTTACTCTGCCGATCATGAGACCAGCGAATCCCAGAAAGACCAGGATTGTCGCCACCCACCAAGCGGTTGAGCCACCCTTCTTCATGAAGGCAAGGTAGACGGCAAGTCGCACAGAGCCAGTTTCACGTTTCTCGTCCTCGACGAACTTTTTCGGCGCTGATGGTGGAGCACTACCATTTCCATTCATGTTTCCATCCCCGTTAGCAGCGTGGGGCTTGATAGCTGTACTCGGTCTGTGATGTGAGGTATTTGACAGGATCCGCTGAAGGCCCGACTCTTCCTCTTCATTGATTAGCTCGTGTTCTTCTTCGATTGTAGCATGTCCATTATCTTCAGCCTGTTCTTCGCGAAGAATATCTTCCAGATGGTGTGCTTCTTTCAAATCATCAATTGTTCCAGCATACTTGATACGGCCATTCTCCAGCAGCACGGAATAATCAGTGCGAGGCAGACACAAGGCAACATGATGAGTGACCAAGACGCGAGTGCGACCTTGACCTAGCTCGCCTGTGAGAGCGTGCTCGAAGAGATGACGACCGGTATGGGCATCCAAGGCGCTGAAGATATCATCCATAACAAGGATGCCGGCGCGAGAGTACAATGCGCGGGCGAAAGACACACGCCAGCGCTGACCACCACTGAGATTGACACCGTTCGCACCAATGTCAGTTTGGTCGCCATCGGGAAGCATTTCAAAGTCTTTCTCTAGCGCGCAAGCGAAGAGAACCTTCTTATAGCGTTCGTCGTCATCCGGAAGTCCGAACAGGATATTGGCTTTAATGGTCGCGTTTTCGATCCAGGGGATTTGCGCCACATACGCGATGGCCGAGTCGATGGTCCAATTCGCCTTCGTAGCGAGATGATCGAAGCGCTCGGAAATGGGAGGAGGGACGGGCACCTTGATAGTACCCCCAAGGACGTCACATTCACCAAGGATGGATGAGAGAAGCAGACTCTTTCCAGAACCCGTTCTGCCGGAGATGACACTCAAACTCGTGGGAGGGAACTTCAGGCTCATATCACGAAGAATGAAACGACCTTCTGAATCCTGGGCTTCTTCTTCGTCCGCAGGCCACGCGACCGAAACATCTTCGAAGGCGATATAGTCCGCAGGCACGGTGTTCACAACCTTTTCAGGCGTAGCGAGGAACTCGTCAATGCGATCCGCGCTGACCTTGGCTTCTAGACCCATCGACATTAGCTCAGGGATTACAGCAAGCGAAACCTCAAGGGAGTTGAACACCGCCATCGCCGTGAAGGCCACGGAAGGCGACAAGCCACCGTGGATAATGGCGTAAGTGGCCAAGGAGACAGCGGACAGACCGACTGGACCGAGGATCCAGATCGCGAGCAGGCCGATATCAGCGATGAACGAGGCCCACAAGGCGCCGAGCTCTGTCTCTCGGACCTCTCGGACACGCTTCTGCCACTGTTCTTCCAATGCCGAGAACTTGATCTGCCTGATTCCTTGTAAAACCTCAGTCACGATGGCCAGCTTCTGGTCCCGATGCTTCATCAACCGATCCTGTGCACCCGAGTACTTCTTCGCTGCGTAGACATTCAGGGGCGTCACAAGGGCTGCAACAGATAGACCCGCAAAGGCACTGCGCCAACCGAGGATCTGAACCAAGAAGCAGGCTCCGATGATGATTCTGAAAGTCGCCTGAGGAATGACATAGTTGAAGGCTGCAAAGTCGGAAATTCGTCGCGCATCCACAGCGGCATGGTTGATGATGCTCTGTCTGCTCTTTTTCAAAGCATCCTCATCGTCGTCAGATGGGTTAGTCGCATCACCGCTATCCTTTGATTTCGTATGCTTCATATCCTTCCTGCGCATGGCCTTCGCGAAGACCACAGCCGACAGCTCAGCGTAGATGGGAACTCCCAGTTTCGAATATGCCACCCAGAACAACCAGGCCTCCACACTTGAGGAAACAAACATCAGTCCTCCCAGCGCTAGCACCCAAAGGTACGCAGCAGCCGGATTCCATAACGGAGTACCGCGCAGCTCCAGCGTTTGCAAAATCCGCATGAGCGCTAGCTGAGGTCCGAAGGCCAAGAAGCAAATCACGAAACTGAGAATTGTCTGGGCGACCAACGCTCCGGGATGGGCAGATGCAATTGCCCTCCATAATTTTCGATTTCCCCTGACGGATTCGAGTTTCTCGCGCAGGAAGCCCGCGCGCTTCGAAGCGGGCAGCTTGGGAATATCATCCAGTTCCATGCTCTTCTTTTCGGCTGCATATTTGAGCAAGCCGCCCGCCCAGCTAAAGCTAAAGCGACCAAGCAGCGAGGTCGACAGCTCCCGATCCACGATCTTGTCGTCAACATACACATCTGGGCGGCGGGGCAGCAGCACGGCACACAGTCCGCGCAGAAAGGCGCAGCCAATCTGGGCGCTTTGCAGCCCAACCCAGATGCCGCGGTCAGCTTTCCATCCGGAAGTGATGAACAGGCCCAGCTCTGTGGCTGGGGATGCGATGGCGAATAAACTTCCCCAGAACGCGAAATGGCCTAGGTAGTATCTTGTTGTCGGTCGGGGTTCTATGAAAAAGGCACTTGCTTGAATGGCGAGCAAACACTATTTCGATTAGAGGAGCAATTTTAAAGAAATATTTGTACTCACCCACACACCAAACTGCAGCCAGACTAGTGGAGTCCCTGATTGGTCCAATGTGGTTAAAACGGCCAATGCGAGCGTTGATAGTAATCCCGTCGTGGTGAACACCGCGATCGCGGCTCTTTGCCATTTGTCCGAAAAGGCGCGGAGGGATTCCTCGGTCGCCTCTCCGTCCACATCTTGATAAACATCCTTAGCGAGATCGAGTGGCTCGTAGTTGGCTTTGGTGCGACGAATGATGCTTTGACCAGCCGGAATGCTACTCAAAGCCACTAGTGGCAGGGCCAAATGGCCAGTGAGTGCCAAGAAGTTCATGCTTCAGAGGATGAAAAGGAAGAAAGGACGGCATAGGCGTCGAAGACATAAGAATCTAGCGTAAGGTGACATTGAGCGGGGAAAGAACGCCAACGTGAGTCAACTCAGAACGCACAGCGATAGCCAGGCTCCTGGGCATCTGCATTGACTGAGTCACATCGAGTCACTCGTATCTATCGGGCTCCCAACGGGGTAAAGACCGACCGCCATTTGGGGAATGCTATCTCCGTGCTTCGAGTCCTCCTTACGGAGCTCTCGGCACTTGGGGATACCCTCGGATCCCTTGCGCTGACGGACTCAAGGGAATCCACACGGACCCATCAGAGCTGTTTCATATCCACTTTGACCTCCAGGGCTCCGGAGTCCGAAGGTGAAGCTTGTGGCGCTTACAAATGGACCCGCAGCCCTGGTCGTATTCGCACTGGACGTACGCCGCGCAAGAGGCCGGGCGAATGCGCTGTCAGGGGCAAATGCTTCTTTTCACTTCGCGGCATTGCTCTGCTCACTTTGTCTTCGAGGTTGTTGTGTCCACGAGTCCGGGGGCCCTATCGGCTGTCAGTTGAGTCAAGCCTGCAGGGAAAGTCTGTAGATCACGTCGCTATTTTTGTTTTGCTCAAGTGGACTGCTCACGTCAACATCTGACATTGACCACACCATTAGCTGTGAGTCAGAGTCAGTGGTACGATTGGATGCGGCTGATCGTCGCGTCTGGACAAAGCTTGGAGGCGGATGCGGAACCGCAGTGGCGCCTTCAGGTATTCTTCATCGCCTGCTTCACAGCCCTGGAGATCATATCACAACCTTGTTGAACCTTGGAGCTAGCATTTTGGAGGTTTTGCCAGAATTATAACTTTTTAAGGTTAAATTGTTTCTTGCTGCAAACCTCAAAATATATCTGACCTTGGACCTCGGACGTCGAAACATATTCATAGTCTAGCTGTGACCTCATGGTCGAATTAAACGGTTGAAATCTTGGATATTCCCGGCATCAAAGTTGATTCAAGTTGAAACACTACATGATATAAGCTTAACACATACATAATACCTGATACGTCAATCACTTGCACCCTAGAACTTGGTAGCTCTTCGCCATGCAGGCGTCACTTACAACCACCGGCCCCGAGGAGCAGGAGGGTTGACCGCAACACTCTGCGGGTTATGAAAAACATCCTTCGGGTCGACGCGAGTCTTGATGTCTTGAAGACGAGGCAGATTGGTCCCCCAGTATGCCATCTGACCATCTTTCATGAAAGGGTCAACGTATCCTGGGTAAGAACGCAGAGGGCCCGGAGGACGATTACCGATGACAACTTCATGGAGGCGGTTGAGGAACCGCTTGGCAATGAAGCTGGGAGGATCGAAGCCGACAACGACATAGGACTGCATCCACATGACAGCGTCGCGGTGCACATAGGCCGTGGCATTCATGGGAATGTCATTGATCGCGCCAGCCTCCAGGTCAAAGATGATGAACCATGCTTGGGTACCCTTGGGCGCAGAGTCAAGGTACGTGAAAAAGGTGACCAGGCCACGCTCGTCGAAGAGTTGGTCCGCAGTGAAAGAGATTGACTTGGCGTAGAAGGAGGTGAACAAACCACCCACCAATTGAATGACATAGTCCTCCGCGGTGTGGGCGACCAGAGACAGCCAGTTGGTGATGTAGGCCACATTGCCCATACTCTGGAACGGCAGACCATTCTCCTCTTGGAAATCACGGAATTCCTCCTCCGTGCCGAAGAAGCTGCTCATAATCAGAATCCCATCTTGGAAGATCGTCATCTGGGAGGTGTAATTCCGAGTAAGGTTCGGCTTCGAAATCAGCGTCTGCCAGTCATGGAAGAGCTTCACTCGATCCATGACCCCGCCCTGGCTAAACAGGTACGTGTACTGCAATGCAGCCTTGGGGATAGGCTGCGTGCGAACCTTGAACTGAGTGACGATGCCAAAACTCGCAGCAGCGCCTTTGACGGCCCAGAAGACATCCTGATTCTGCGTGTCCGATGCAGTCACCACGCTGGCATTGGCCAGAACCACTTCAGCCTCGACAACGTGATCCAGAGACATTCCCCATTGACGATCCATCAGTCCATGACCACCGATAGTGAAGTGCCCGCCCACGCCGACTTGAGGACAATCGCCATGGGTCATTGCTCTTCCACCTGCATGCAGGAGACGGTCCTGAAGATCACCCAAATTTGTGCCGGCACCGATAGTTGCAACGTGGGTATTCTGGTCCATGGAGAAATTCTGGAAGTATTTCAGATCGACGACGACATGGCCGTCGACTCCTCCAAGACCTAGAGCACCAAGATTAGCGAGTGATCTCTAGATCTGACATGGTTGCATACCGTAGTTTCCATAGCTATGACCACCACTATAGGCCTGCACCTTGTAGTCAGATTCAACGGCACAGCGTACTATATCCACGACTTGGCTTGTGGTTCTGGGATAGGTGATCACCGCTGGTCGGACAGGTATGGCCAGGTTGTAAGACGGCAAACCGCGCATTTCATACAGGATATCGCCGCGGAAAGTAACGAGGTCAGTATTGTTGCCCACAGCAGACAGGAAGCAGGAGCGCCCTGCAATACTCTGTGAATTTCCCATGGTGAGTCTGAGATCACAACTGAAGGGAATGTCAAGTTGAGGCAATTGGAAGACACCATATTGTAGGTAGGACCGTCGCTGCCTTCACAAGCTGAATACGAGGGTCGCTCATTCCGAATTGTCTTTTCGCTCATCAAAAACACCAGAGCAACAGGTTCGGAGCTGCCATATTGTGTGCTTTTTTTTTACGGGGTCTAGGGACTGTCATGGCCTCACCCTGGCGAATTGAAAATTCCCAACCATCGGTAGATCCCCAAAGAGGTTATTCCAGCCTCATACAACAAATTTGACACAGAAGAAGTGCCAGTACATAGAAGCCGAAAGCGACGGGGAACGAAGCCCGGGGACCAGAACGGCGACGTCAGTGGTCCCCGACGCGGAATGTGCAAATCTGCAAACCCTATATTTCTCCTTTCGAGTACTTCTGCATATTCCATCGTTACTCGAAGCCCAAAAAACCATATATACTGAACAATGTTCACTCCAATTAACACCTCGTTGGGTGCATTGTTGCTATTTCAAGGCTCGTCCGGCCTGCTCTTCCATAACGGTGCTGTCTTCGGCATTTCATCTCTGCTGTCTGGCTGTGCGTTCAATCCCAGTCGGGATAATGTTCCCATCATCGCGGGCCTGATCTCAGGCCTGGTGCCGGTCTACTGGTTGGCACCATCGTTGATACCGAGCTACCCGACCCAACCGGATTCATGGGTCTCGGCTGCCGCAACGATGGGGGTGGGTTTCTTGCTTGGATGGGGAACAAAGGTAAAGTGATAAAGCTCGGGTCGAGCCGAGAACATTGACTAACGTGGAATGTAGAATGGCCGTGGATGTACATCGGGACATATGCTTTGTGGAATTTCACGCCTGTCACCACGTTCGTTTATTGCAACAGCAGTGTTCTTCACAACGGCATTGTTAACAGCAAATTTCGTCAATGGAGGCTCGAATATTCCCTCATGCAACGGGGTGCCATGCTATGTACCGGTGTACCCGTCGACGTCGGAGCTGGGGTTCATGGGCGGTGCAGTCATGCTGGCAGCAATCACCAACTTCTTCATCGTCCCCAATATCGAAAAGTCGGATACATCGAGAATTGCCTTTGCCTACGTCGCTGGACTCGAGTTCGGCCTAGGCTTGCTGATCTCTGGGATGGCGGACTCGGCCAAAGTGCTCGGCTTTTTCGCCTTTTTGACAGACCCCTCCCGTTTTGACCCATCGTTGGCGTTGATTATCTTGTTCGGGATTGGACCATCTTTGTTCGCGTACATCAAGCAGAAGCCGGGACAATCATTGGAGAAGGGGAAACGAAGCGCAGATCCAACGCTCGCTGAATCATGGCGCCTTCCGACGGCGACGGTGGGTGATATCGATTGGCGGTTTGTTGCTGGCGCGGCCGCGTTTGGCGTGGCCTGGGGACTAAGAGGAGTCTGCCCGGGTCCTGCCATCCTGCGGACGGCTTTGCAACCGGTCTGGGGATTGGCCACCATGGGTGGGTATATGCTAGGCAATCTATTCTAGATGGGATTCGCCAGATGGTTCGACTCAAGAAGTGTGTCTGGATTTGATCAGCAGTGTAAATAGTGTAAAATATGTACAGAATCGCGGCCAAGAATACAACATAGTTCGCTCAAAATGACATGCATTGGGTATACGGTGGTGGGGAAGTGAAAAAGGAGCTCGATCAAAACGGAAGAGTGGCTTACAGCTCGGTCTTCTTGTTCAGACGTATGGCCTCCGATGCAGCATACTCTTCATCTCTGCGTGCTGTGGCAGCTTTTGGCTGATCGAAGTAACCTTCCAGCTCCAACCATTCTGCAGCGAAAGCAGTGACAACCATGCTCCAGTCTTCAACGGTATCCATGTCTAGATGTTCGCCGTCGTCGTCGATTGTGTGCCACACTGAGGGGAATCCCTTGAAAGGCGCAAAATCAATGAGATGGAGAATCTCCACGCCCTTGGCAAGGAATGGAATATGATCATCCTGAATTCCACCCGATGGAGTGAGATTGTGGACATCCTTTTCGGTATCAACGAACCAAGGGCTCGACGAAGAAGTCTTGAATTGCTTCAGGGATTTGAAACGCTTCTCCAATTCGCCCAGGCTCTGGTATGCCCAGTGAGTAGTCTCATAGTAGGACAGAATGGTGGGATTCGTTGCGCCCAGCAGGTCTAGAAGAACAAAAAGCGAGATCGACGATAATGGTGTCTTGAACTCGGACATGGCTGGATAGAATTGGTCATCCCAGTGCGTGGCCAAGGCGCGCGCACCATAAAGCGAGTCGGTGGCTGTCCATTCCTTGAATGCCTCTTCGCCGTCCAGGAAGATCACTTGAATTCCATGCTCTCCATCGAGGAAATCATTGAGCCCCTGTTGTTGCAGCGCTGTCCACTTCTTGTCCAGCGCAGCATCGATACTGCGAACAGCATGCATTATCATAGCACATGGCGCTGCACTGTCGATGCCACCAATGAAACCCTTTGGCTCAATCTTGCTATCGTAGTGGGCAACCAACGTCAAGCGCTCAACGTCACCGATTTGTGCCCAGGGAGGATCGCGAGTGGCTATGAAGTTCTTGAAAGGTACTTCTTTTTTCGACATTGGCGTTTTAGACGTCGAGTTCTGGACCTCAATCTTCCATTTCGGCAGTGTTGTTCGAAAGAAGTCCGCGAAATGATTCAGCACCGCTGTGGAACCCGGGGTACCAGGAACGCGGGTCTGGAGTATGGGGGACAACAGAGCGCCATTGTGGATATTGAAATCGGAGTTGGGGCGAGGAAGGGCGCTTAGGGTTTCATCCGATAGTTTCTCATATGCCTGCACACTTGTGAGCATCAAAAGGCCCAGGCATAGTGATACAATGACTGAAACGTTGCGATACGCTAGAAGCATAGTGTCAACTTCGAGCACACGCCGTGCTGTTCAAACACCGGTAGTAGCAATCTTGGAGATCAGGTCTCGCCGTTGAGTTGGAACTGTCGATAAACTGAGCCTGATGTAGAATCAGAAAAGAATGTCGGAAAATGCCTCTGTTTCACATGGGCCCGTCCATGTAGCACAGCCTGGGGGTGATAAGCGGTGGCTATTGATTCGGCAGAAGGTCGATCGCTCCTGATCGCTCTCTGACCGCCTCGCTGTCGAACAGTTCGCACTCATTTCACCGCCTTTCAAATTGGCCAAGATGATCCTACCGCCTGCCCTTTCCATTAGCGCCATAATTATCACCGCCTTCTATCTTGCAGATGGTGATGAAAGCGGTCGGGGAGTTCTGCTGGATCTACACAACTGCAATCACCGACCTCTGCTGTTTCAATGTTGGCATCTCGATATTACACAATGCGGAGCCATCTACTTCTTCAACCCCAACTGCGCATACTGAGGCCATCACAAGCTCAGCTACGGCTTCCCCAGAGTGTGTGGGTGCGGTTCAAGTCGCAAACTCCCCGCCCGTCTCAAAAGCACATCTCGGCTTTTCCAAAAGAAAAGGAAGCAGCTACAGCTACAGCGACAACTACATCTGCAGTACAAAGGACGCTCACTCCGGCAAAAACAACCACACGAAATGGTACGACCTCATGGCCAACTTTCGTTTCTCATGCTGACTCTCAATCATAGGACCACCGGAGCGGATCTTGGTCTATTATGGAGGCACTGGCAGAGCCATATTCCTTGGAACTCTTCGGATCACCACAGTGCTGCTCTTTGGTGCTGCCTGTTTAATAGTTGCCCCAGAAGTCTCTGTGGCGGATTACCCATGGTACAGTGTTCCAGGTGGTATGTTCCATTCCGACATCCTACATTCAACTATTTCCTGACCCTGATCTAGTGATTGCCGCTGGCTCTCTCCCAATGCTGTTTGTTTCATACACCGCCGCTCCATACGTGAACTTTGTCCACTTGGCACTCCCAGCCTTTGCCAGAAAGTCCCGAGAGGCTGCTGTCCAGTATGCCAAGGAGCTGCCCCCTACAGCCGTCCTGTATCTCACCAGCATGCGGTTCAATACCATTCCCCGACAGACAGCTGTGCGTATTGGAGACCTTGTTCCAAAGAAGGATATGCTCCGGCCCGTCACCTTTGAGCACCTGAAGCCCGCGTCGCGACGTTGGTGGCAAGGTAGGGCTCCGACCCACTTCTATACCGACTCCAGCAGCAAGCCTGGAAGACAGACTTCTGCCTTCTTCCCAGAGTTGTGGAATGGAATTTATCAGCAAATCACGAAGTCGAAGCCCCAGTCACGCTGAACGACTCCCAACACCTCTTGTGACAATCCAGTGTCGCCGGTAGACTTGCCCGGGCTGTTTGCGTCATACCCATCGGTTGGCTCTTGGTGTGCCTTTCGATCGTGGTGTGATTCTCTGACACTTCTTAGAAGTGGGCTCATTATCAGGAGGCCATCGGCTTGGAAGTCTACAAACTCCCACCCACCCAAACCTGCTTGGTCTAGAAACCCCATGCAACTTCCAACCAGGAATGGTTATCATCCCTTCAATCCGCTGGGTTTTTTTCTTTCGCCGCCAGAAACCCTGATTCTTTACAATCTTGACCGTGAGCGGTCGGGGAAAGGGTCATGTACAAATATCTCATATGCTGCAATCGAGTCATGTTTCAATTCTGACCTTCACCTTCTACAGCCACAACATGCATCAATGTAATAACACTTTTTCACCTGGTCAGCCAATACCCTACTTCTCTTATACATGCCGAAGAGTTACCGCATAAAAACTAGTCATTCACTTTCATTCAGTGGTACTGCTACTAGAATCAGAAATCTATTGACATTTATGCCTCACTTCGAACCCATTTTCAGCCAGAGGCACTGAGGTCTTAACATGAAGAAATCAGCAATATTCTCATGTGAAATGAATATTCAGCTTCAATTCACTATTCCTAATACTATGACCGGTCGGGCCCAATTCTCAGTGAAATAAGCAAAACGAAGACTAGAAAGTGAAGTTCCTGGCCTTTCCCAGGCTGGCTTAATCTCGATCGCGTTCCCTGTTTACTTTTCAGGGCATTTGCACACTTGCTTTTCTCCTCTTTTCTTTCCCCTCTCACGCCTCCATCATTTCGATCGACGCGTCCCCCATCTGAATTCGATCTCCAAACAAACCTTTTTGTGTTCATAAGAAGGAAAATCATCATGCCTCCGAAGAGAAAGCAATCCGTTCAATCTGGAACTCCTCCTCCTAACAAGAGGAAGAGGGCTAGTTCCCCCAAGGCGAAGGCCGCCCCCAAGGAGAAGGCCGCCCCCAAGGCGAAGGCCGCCCCCAAGGCGAAGGCCGCCCCCAAGGCGAAGGCCGCCCCCAAGGCGAAGACCGCCCCCAAGGCGAAGGCAACTGCCAAGCCAAAGGCGACCCCCACCATCAAAGTCGAAGAGGGCTCTGATGACGTGAAAGTCTCCCAGGAAGAGGATGTGTCTGAGAACAAGGATGTGTCTGAGAACAAGGATGTCTCTGAGAACAAGAATGTCTCTGAGAACAAGGACGTTTCTGAGGACGAGGATGTGTCTGCGAAGAGGAACGACTCTGCAGTCCTTGAAGTCCCCGAGCTGATTCTGTCCGCAAGCCAGACAAAGCTGCTGGCGCTTGGGAGCTACTGGCACGATAGCAAGGGACCCGTAAGTGTTTGATCCTCCCATTTCACATGAGCAATCTAACATAGGTGGCATTTTAGATTGACTATGAACTACTTGCTCGATTCGCGGGACTGAAGACGTCCTCTGCCCGTGTTCTCTACCGTGCTGCTCGACGCAAGGTTGACCTACACATCTCCGGTATGTTACTTTGCCCTCAAATGAAAAGCAATCAGTACTAATTCCTACTCAAGACTTTTTTACCAGTGTGCCACGCAGCCCCCAGCCAATCAAGTCTTTCCCCGACCCTGCTTTCGAGGGCAAGGCCGGCAGGTCCGACGAATCCAGCGACGGCGAAATCCCGTCCAGCCAGACCACAGGTTACTCTGGTGGCAAGCCCGCTATCACTGTCTATGATCCATGGGCGGATGACCCTGTTGGATCGTTCACTGCAACCGAGGTTCAGCGCATGATGGATTCTGATTATGAACTCCCAGAGCAGGGAAGCCCACCTGACACCATTAGCGATTGGAGTTCCGATGTCCCGGACCTCAAATCCGATCCCTCGCAGTCTGAGCCTGCCTCAGGATCTGAGCCTGAGGCTTAGTTTGATCGACGTGTGCAGTCTGGCCTTCATTGGGTCAGGTCTGGTGTTTGTTCCGGTGTTGTGTGCTATTGCTACAGATGATAACCCAGAAAATCCGAAGTTTCCCCTGAAAAACATGTGTGAATCGGTGAATGATCGCCAGGGGGCTTCATATTTGAAATTTGATCAATAGGAAAATTTTAGAAAATGAAAAAAATTGGTGATGAGCGATCTCTTCAGGGCTACTGATCACGTGGTCGGTGGGGACGTCCGGGACGTTTGTGGGGACGTCGACGGGGATACCTTCACTGTAGCTTCGTATGGTCCTTTTTTACTCCTTTAAGGTAATTCATATAGCCTACCCTCCTTGTCAGGAGATTACTATACAACATCAATGGAGCAGCCATGAAAGGCCGCAAATCAATGTGCGACCGGGTGAGGCTCAAGCTGCGAATGTATACAATCTCGCACCCAGCCACCATTCACGTCGGTACTCAGTTCTACTTGCGGTGACCCCCAATGCCTGGAATGGATTTGATCATACAAATCAAGCTCAGTGATCTAGTATTTTACTCAGTCTTGCGGAAACGAAGGTTCAATTTAGCCCAACACTACCCTCTGCTGCTCATCGCCGTAGATTTGTATTCTGAATTTCACTCCATTGAAGGCTTTCCATCGATATTATCCCTAATACAATCCATATTCCATTGATGAAATATTCTGTATTTTAATCATTTATTTGAGACTCGGAGCTGCTAAATAGAAACCAATACTTTCACCATCCGATACGGTCGGAAGAGAAATCCACTGCCTTCTAGTACGATCATATTATCATAGGTCCTCAAATCTATAGAACTTTCCCCTCTTCTGAGAGACCCCAAATATTATGGGTTATACTATTGTAGACATGCGTCACATGTTCGCGACTTGTCCACACTACCCGTGGATTGGAAGTGACATGCCAGTCCCTATAAGAAACCATTTCGAGCATTGAAGTAGAATAGGTCGTGCTTTCCCTTTCAGGCATCTTGCTATTGTGTGCCTGTTTTGGTAGGTCCAGCCGAGCAGAGTGAATCCCATCGAAGAGCTCGTTCTTGTTCAACTTTTCCCTCCTCTTCCACAACAACGCGTACCCACACTTCCTCACATCGATAGTCATGATGGCTGCACCCAAAAAACCCGATGACCTTGATGATCTTCCCAACCTGAATTTCGTTGAAAAGCTGTCTACCGATGACAGCACCGTTTTGCTCATTAGAAACCTTATCGGGTACGATGGCGTGGTTAGTTCCCTGCTTTCATTCCAGTTTTCGAATGCCCCCATTCTCCGCTGAATAGAGACAAGCCAAAAGTTCATACTAACAAAATATATTTGGGGCCTTGCAGATCGACTTTGACAAAATGTCTGTCATTAGTGGCATCGAGCGGTCCTCCATCGAGGCCAGGCATGATCAAGCCCTCATGAACTTTCGCAAGCCGTTCATGGACGAGAACGGAAAGGTGAGTTTCTTGCTTTCATTCCAGTTCTTGAATGTCTGGATTCTCCACTGAATAGACTCAAGTCAAAGGTTCATACTGACAAAATACCCTTGGGGCCTTGCAGATCGACTCTAGCAAAGTGCGTGAGCGGTTTGGAATCGACTGGTCCCCCACCGAATTCATGGCCAGGTATAATCGTGCCGTAACGAACCTTCGCGAACTTGTCAAAGACGAATTTGACGAAGACATACTTCCCAAAGCCGAAAACGAGCCCGAGAAGGCAGCCAAGCCTCGCAAGAAGTCGAAGAAGTCAAAGAAGTCAAAAAAGTCAAAGAAGTCAAAGAAGTCGAAGAAGGCTGAAGATGCGCCCAAGCCTGAGGACGATGAGGCCAAGTCCGAGCAGCCTGTGTCTGCCCCCGAGTCTGACCCAAACACCGAGTCCGACCTCACTGTCCTCAAGACCAAGCCAACTGAGTAACAGTTTGCTCTATCAACAACTTTCGGAACTGTGATAACTCAGGGAGTTCATGGGATTGCTTTGGGCTGGCTATTTGAATTTGAATTGGGAGAAAATGGAATGGGCTTGCTTTATCTAAGTTTGCGAAACACAGTGCCATATGATATTGATAATGCTATTACCTTCAAATTGACATCTCCAATAACACTTTTTAGTGTAGTGAGTTTGGGTGTGCTGGATGTTTGTTAGATACTATGCTGCAAAGATGGTCTCTCTTTCTGGATGTTCACCAGAGCAGGAGGTGGGTTTCTCCTTACAAAGGGACAATGCTTTGTTCTGTTAATACAAAACTTCCAATGACCGTCTCGGTCGGCTTGGGAGACTTCCAAGGTTGATGAGCCCTTCGAAAGCACACCAAATGCTGTCAAGTTGTCCAGTTTGATGCTCACCAGAGAAAACATACATTGCACCAATACAGTTCCTGCTTTCAATTGTCCACCAAAGACGTTACCGGAATCAAAGATTGCCCAACCATCTCCTATTCAGGGGACCTGCATGATGTGCATACTTGCAGCATATTTTGTTTTGCTATAAGATTCCCTCTTGGCCCATTGTTCGTCTCTCTCTTTCACCAACCGTTCCATTCACACTTCTTCCACGACCAAAGCCGAACCATCAATCATGGGGAATACTAAGCGATCCGTACCAAAGCCGACTCTGTCTGTGTTTCCCACGTTGTCAGACCGTGCTGAGCTCTTGATGCCCGCAAATATCTGTACCCCCAAGGTGAATACTGCGTTCGTATACATCGCTCAGACTAACCAGTCGGTTCTCTAGGTCTACTTCGATCGACTGGCAAGTCTCGCAAACGTCAACGCACTAGCCGGAGAAGATGAAGATGAAGATGAATACTGGCGTCACCCGAAAAAGGAAACAATGTCTTGGGCGGCGGCACATGCCGCCGGAGACCCCTCGGGATACCAAAATCCATTTCATATGCACATGAAAGAACTGGCTATTATGTTGGCACTTTGCGATAGTTCTCTGACCATGGAGAGCTCTGTGAATCCACATGGCTCGACAGAGGAACCCGGAAAGAAGCATGAGCCGAACCCAGAGACAGAGATGGGTTCAGAAGACGAGACAGCAGTCTCGGGTGAGGACAGCGAGCCCGAGGATCTCCCATCGGAGATTTGTCATTTGGGTGCCCGGATCGGTGCAACGATAAGTCGACATGCACACGGTCGAATCAACGCACTGCGCAAAACCGCATCTGAGCCAGCAAAGGTAAGCGAATCTGAAAATGAACCTACACAGACCCTTTCCGAGACTAACCACAATATCAAGTCTATTGCGCAGGAATGGAGACAGGAGCAAGGCCGAATGTTTTCCAAGGAAGACTCGGCGGATCCTATCAAGCCCATTGACGAAGACGACAGCTCAAGCGATGAGAGTTCTCAAGGATCGGATAGCACAACTGTCAAGGCTCAACCCTCACGTTCAAAGAAGAGCAAAAACCTCCCTGTGCATATGAGCTGGGTGAAAACGGAGGCGAGCGGTGCTTGGTCAGAGCTGAACATCACATACGGTGGAAGAAGCACATCAAAGGTGGGGACAAAGCGACCCAGAAACACCGACTTCGATCATGAATATGGAGACAGCCATGGAAATGAAGTTTCTTCCAGGCCTAAGAACCCAAAATGCTCGAAAAAAACCGTGAAAATGGCCACGGGTGTCTCCAACGATATTCACCGTGGTGATGGTGTGACTCCTGCCCAGGAAGCAAATGAGCAAGTCAATGGAGAAGCTATGGATGGGCTTTCTCTTGAAGTTGATTCGGTTGCCGAGGACTCTGAGAACTCTGAGGACTCTGATGCCGAGGATAGCGAGGATAGCGAGGAAAACAAGTCTGATGCATGTGTCAGCGCTTGTTCGGGAAATGGTTGGCCGTCGGAGGAGGGAATGGAGTCAGAGGCTGAATCGCCTTGGCTTCAGTAATCAGAGAACTAGTTGCAACTTCCCAGTTTGCCTAGTGGGTGATTGGCGCGAAATTGGCATTTGGCAGGACATGGAGGTTTTACTACATTCCTGTTCTCCTGCTGTTGGCTGATTCTTGGCTCTGAGTTCATTCTATCAAAGGAAAATAGTAAAAAAGAATAAAAAAATAATGACCGTTGACATTGATGTCGCAGACTTCGAGATAATTCAATGAGATACATGCCGCAAAGCTGTAGAAGAAAAAAAGGTGAAATCATATCAAATGGAAAGGAAATAATCGCTAAGGACCCGATGGGCTGGCATACCTTAACAGAAAGGAAAACCGACAGGAGATGCCAGAAAATCGTCAAAGACGGACGGAATAATCATACAACCACATTATGAAAGACAGAGTATCAAAGATCACAGTGCCTCGATAGCCTTCATCAAGACATCGAGACCCCGATCAGTGACATCGCCAGTGTTAGGCTCGTCCTGGGGTGCAGGATCGCGCAAAGCCCAGGCAACATCACTCCACCACCCCAGACCAACATACCCACCGCCCTTCTGGCGATCGAGGCTTTCCTTGAGTCTGCTAGTGTGCTCCCATTGCTTGGCAGCATTCTCAGCACATTCAATGACCTTACTAGGGATTCCGCACATGGATGCACAGTGCATACCGAAACTGCCCTCGGCCACACCCTGCTCAAGCTTGTACAGGAATGCGACGCGACGCTCGGTATCATCCACGTGGATGGCCATACGCTTTGGTGAGATCTCCGGGTGGTTCTCGAACTCGGCGGCAAGCGAGTGGTAGTGGGTTGCGAAGAAGCCAAGTGCGCCGATGTGGGTTGCGATGTGGTGGAGAACGGCCTGAGCGACGGCGACACCATCGTAGGAGCTGGTTCCACGACCGAGCTCGTCGAGAATCACGAGAGAGCGGGGTGTGGCTTCGGACAGGATTTTCTTGGTCTCGGACAGCTCGACGAAGAAGGTCGACTGGGCAGCGAAGATGTTGTCGTTTGCACCAAGGCGAGACATGATCCGGTCGACAGGTGTCATTCGCGCAGATTGGCAGGGAACGTAACATCCGATTTGAGCCATGATCACGGCAACACATGTCTGAAGCTGTTAGTTGATTTCATTGTAGGAGTCGGAGGTTAAACATACCATTCGCAAGACGGTGGACTTTCCGGCAGCATTGGCACCAGTCAACAGGTCAATATTGGCTTGCTTGCCACCGAGTTGGATATCATTTGGAATGAAGTCTTCAACAGAAGAAAGGAGACAAGGGTGGCGGAGCTCCTCGAATTCAAGAACGCTACGCTCGTCGTCCACGAACACTGGACGGCAGCTGGGGTGACCGATGGCTCCAGAAGCCTTGGCTAAACTGATTAGACAATCCAGCTGCGAGACAATCCGCACAGCAGTAAGCCACGTGTTGTAGGACTCATCGAAGCGAGCATGGAATCTCGCAGCGACCTCTTTGACAATTTGGCTGTGAGTCTCCTGTGCTTCTTGCAGCTTGCGGATGAGGCTCCGCAGTTCCGGGAAGTAGTAGCGCTTGACCTGCTTGGTAGCGGACATCTGGTTCCAATCCTTAGGAATGTCCTTGACCTTCACAGGAACCTCAAGCTGGTAGATTTCTTTGCCGTTATCCCGGAAGCAGATCGCAGAGGAGCCTAGGTCCCGGCGGGCCTTCTTGAGTACGCTGTCGAGGTCCTTGTGAATCTGTTCAATTATTTCCTGCGAATTGTCAAAGTCCTGCTCGACGCCAGTCTCGGGAATCAGGATCCCGTTTTCCCGAGCCTTTGGATGATCGAAGGCAGTCTTCCAATACGTGAGAAGAGAGGTCAGATCGGGCATAGCGGCTGTCAGTTCACCAATGATGCTCTCATTTGAGGCTGCACCATTTTCCTTAAGAAGACCCATTGTGTAGTCAATCTGTTCGAATCCTTCAAGGACACGAACGAAATCTTGAGCCTTGCAGTTTCCGGCATGGATTCGGGAAATCAGACGTTCAAGATCAGGCATTTTTGTGAGCTGCGAGGAAAACTGGTCACGAACACTCGGGTCAGCGTTCAGTGAATCAACTGCATCCAGGCGGGCATTGATTCGCTTCGAGTCCACCAAAGGATGGCAGACCCATTGCTTGAACATTCGCTTTCCAAACGGTGTGATACAACGGTTCAGAAGTTGGAAAAGAGTGCCTTCGATACCACCATCAAAGGAGTTCGCGAAGATCTCCATGTTTATCAAAGTCTGGCCATCCAACACAAGACTAGTGGCCTTCTTGATGGGGTCATACCAGGTGAAATTCCCAATGGTGATCAAGTCCCGCTCAATCTTCAGTAGACGTAAGTAAGAGACCATCGCACCGAAGGCACCCATGACCAATTCTTTCTCGCGCGCCTGGCGAAGAGCCTCGGGCCAAGCGGTAACGTTATCATCATCTGTGGAAACGAAGTAGTCACTTGCTTCTAATTCACGAATGGTAATATCAGCTTCCCAGAACTCTTTGCCTGGTTTCATGAAGTTCCAGAGAGTAGTTGGGTTGGTGTTATTCTTCAGGATCCGCATGGCCTTTTGAGAAACACAGCCCTTTTCTAATAGCAGTTCCTGAGGGCGAGTCTGTGCAACGAAAGTCTCGAACTTGGTCATGTCGGCATCGTCTTGGAACTCGGATAAAAAGAATTGACCGGTAGCAGTGTCAACGAATGAGATTCCGAAGGCAGGGAGCTCGTCCACAATGGCCTCCTTGATCGCAACACAGTAGGTGGACATGTCGTCCTGAAGCATTGATCCCTCAACCAGAGTACCCGCCGTGAGAACGCATGCAAGCTCTCGCTTGATAATCTTGTCTTCCTTGGTAGGTTTCTTGCCTTCCCTCTCGCGCATCTCCTTTCCGAGGGCGGACTCGGATTGATCAACGCGAGCGATCTTGTAGCCCTTGGCCACGAACTGGTTCGCCCAATGATCCAAACTCATCTCGGGTACACCGACCATTCGCATGTTGACTCGGTCTGTCAGCTTCAGATCAAAGAGCTGGTGTCCAATGGTGGCGTCGTTCTCATATAGCTCGTAGAACTTTCCCTTCTTGAAGAACACAACGGTGTCCCAGAACTTCTGCTTGATTTCCCAGTATTGTTTCTCGAATGGTGAAAATCGAGACCAGGCGAGAGGAGGGATGTACAGAGTGCGAGGGTCGTAATCGGGGTGACCCTTTGGATTGCCATCCATATCCTTGAGTGAAGCAAGCCACGAGTAACGCTGCTCGGGTTCTTTAATGTGAGCTTTCTCTTTTCTCGTGCTGGCTGTGGTAGTCGAAGCAACAGGTGCTCTTTCCTTGCGAGGCTCCTTGTTTTCCGGATCGAATGCCCATTTCTTCGCCGTGCCAGCCGAGCCCTCTCCTTCCGGTATATCCATGTCTAAATCTTCGTCGTATGGAGCGGGAGGTGGAGGCGATGATTTGGCCGATGATTTGCGTGCTGGTTTCGTAGCAGGTCTCTTGGGCTTTCTAGACGACACCACCTCTTCATCGGAGTCGTCTGCGACGACAAAGTCGTCCATTTCTACCGACAATCAGCTGTGCCCATTCCACCCAGGGGAAAGCTTTCAACCTACCATCTTCCGACATGGCTGCCTCATCCTCCTCCGCTTCCTTGAACTCGTCTTCGCTCTCCGGTTCTGTTCGTCTTCTCTTTGCGGCACGACCATTGCGATTGGGACGGAAGATAGCTTCGTCGTCATCTTCCCCTTCCGAGTCAGACTCCTTATAGCTAACTTTTTTCTGGCCCTAGATCAACCAAGTTAGAGAGGGTCAACAACGCGATCATCGTATCGGGAAACGCACTCGACGTGAAGGCGACATGGTGGAACTCGGCTCTACCTTGGTGGTCTAAAGAAGAAAGAATCAAAAGTCAGAGAGGAAACAAAAAGAGAAGAATGATTATTCACCTTAACTCCATTACCACTTTCTTCTTCTTCGTCTGGAATCGGAAGATCACTACTGGGCACCGGGCTCAGGTCCTGAGCGAAGCTCGAAAAGCTCCGCTTCTGATCCTTGGGTGTCCCCTTCACTGCACTTCCTCCACGCTCTGCTGCTTTCTGGGCAGGGGACGAAGCTGGTTCGCGAACACGGTTTGAGGACGGAGTCGCGGGGGATGACTTTTGGAAGAACCCGAGGATGGACTTCTGGCTCCGCATGTTCTGCGTGTTGGGCGTCGCACGCTTCAATGCGGGCGAGGACGCAGGCGGCGATGAAGCCGATCCTTTTGCCATTGTATAATTTTATTGCACGGAAGTTGTGGTGAAGAAGGGAGAGGCGTGGAACACGGGTGATAGCAGATAACGCGGACCGCGTCGACGCGTTAAGCACTTTGGACCTGTCTACCCGCCTTGCTCCACTCAGTCTTGGGAAAATATTATACACATTGGCTATTCTATAATTACACATCTGGAGATTCACATTCATGCCTTGGACTCGGTTGACTCCGTCGATTCCGTCGTTTCGGCGGCCTCGGGCTCGTTCAGTTCCTCCCATCCAGGAGCAGTGAGCCCTTGCGAGCGGAATTCCTCGTCGCTTACGATGTTAACAGACTTGAACTTCCACTTGCCCATCTTGAGCATCAAGAGGTTGCCGTTTAAGACAAACTCCTTGGTTTTCTCGGCGCCCCAAATACGGATGGGGGTGAACGACAACTGGTCGGTCATCGGGCCACTGTCACCGGGGCGACTTCCAACCTTGGCGCCATTGTTCACAATGACACGATGACCCTCACCCTTGGAGGAAACAAGGCCGGCAGACCAAAGAACCTTGTTGAATGGCTGATTGAACACTAGTGATTCAGGCAGGGTCACTTTCATATCGCCCATGTTGGCGAAGTTGGTTTGGGGGGCATAGGGGTTTCCGGATTGGGGTGTTTCGAAGCCAGCAGTGATGGATCGCAAATGACTGGCAGGAGGAGTGGAGGTTTTGGGGAGGGGGGTAGGGGCAGCTGTCGAGCCTCGTGGACGGAAGAGCTGACGGTGTTGGAGAGCGACTGCGTCGGCTTCCTGCTTGCCGTGCACAAGCTCGACAAATTCAGAGGCGAGCGCATGCTGTGCAACGCGCTTTGATGGGTCCTTATTTTGCTCTTCCATGATTTTGGCGATCTCAGGCAAGGGAATGAAGGTGAACAACTTGAGGTACCGTTCGACGACGTCGTCGGGCGTGCGCACGAAGAATTGGTACAGTTCGAATGTAGAGGTCAGGTCCTTGTCAAGCCAAACAGCATTGCCTGCAGACTTCCCAAACTTCTCGCCATTAGGTGCGGTGAGAAGCGGCGTGGTGAAGCCGATGGGGTGGTCGATTTTGGACTCAAGCGGGTCACGGACTTGCTCGTCCGCAGTATTCCGACTGATAGACTTGACAGCCTCCATACCGAACAGGATGTTTCCATACTGGTCGGCACCTCCAACTTGAATTTGAGTTCCCTTTTGGAACATAGTCCACCAATCCCAAGCTTGCAGAAGCGGGTAAGAGAACTCGGCAAACGACATACCGTCGCCTTCCAGTCGTGTCTTGACACTGGGAAAAGTTAGCTTTTAACTGGACCGCCATAGTTCAGCAGAACTTACGTATCTCTCCCAAGCATGGGACCAAGGCGCATGTAGGCACCGAGATCTCGCAGCACTTCAAGGAACGGCATTGAGTTCCACCAAGTATTATTGTTCGTCAAGGCCCGCTTCCACATCGGCTGTCGTTCGTATCCGTGTCTCCGGCCGTACTGCTCAATACTGGTGCCCAGTTTCTTGAGTTGCATATGCATGCTAGCCATGTTGGCCTTTCGGATCGAAGAGTGCACTGCATCGCGGCCCTTCAATCGACCACTAGGATCGCCGACTCGAGATGTAGCACCGCCAAGCTGGATGATGTTAGTTGGAGCCCGCATCATCATATGCAGATCATGCGACTCACCAAAAATGTAACTGGTAGGCCCCAGACATAGCCCCAGGCCAAAACCATGAAGGGAAGCATATGCCCAACATGCATTGAGGGAGCAGTCGGGTCAATGCCAACGTAGATGCCAGCGCGTTTCTCCGTGAGGACATTGTGCAGCAAGTCGCGTTCGCTGGAAGATTGAGAGTCAGTCCACGTTCCTCTTAAGCCAAAAGCTCAATTGGATCAATATATCCCACTCACCCAACCACATCATGAATCAACCCTCGTGCCTCTAGGTGTTGCGCAAAGTTCTGTCTCTTCCCTGCCTTGATCTGCCTCGCAAAGCCAGCCCACTCCTCTTCGCCATCCTTCATACGTTGAATGTATTTTTGTGTAATCCATCTTTGCTGTTGAAAGCATGTGCTGGGTCGGGGAAGTGTAGGTCGATTGGTATTCGCGCGCAATGGAAGTGCTGTCGCATTGAGCCCGCGTGCTCCGGCTGGGATTCGGGTCAACATATTTTTGATGGGCGCCCGCCTGAGCGATGCCGTTTGTGGCCTCATTGGGCCGGTGTACAGATGCGAAAAAAAGAAAATGCTGGTTGGACTCGAGTGACACGATCAACAGCTCCGAGATTCTTTTCGATAAAGCGCGGATCATTGATGTTCCGGCTCTTATCGCCGTTGATCCTCCAGGCCCCGGCCGCAAGACACAGATCATCAACATTCCCGAGCTCGGCATCTATGAACTGAGATTGATATGGATGGAAACTTCAAGGTTAGCGCTATGGCAGATCCCACCAACAATGGGTCCGACATTTAACTCATATACACTTGCACAAAGGCCTCATTACTCCAGCCGCTGTCCAGCTTCATCGCCTTCCACGCTGCCTGAATATCAATCGCCAACACGTTAGAACCCTCTCCACCCTCCTTCCAGACCATTTTCTGGGGCACGGGTTTCCCTAGGATCATGACCATGAAATCATCCACGATGGTTCTTTCCTGCAGATCCGATATATAGACTCCGACTATTCCCAAAGCCTTCAGGCTGATGTTGAATCGTAAGCGGCCATTCTCAACGACAGATACGTCGGAGGAAACCACAGCAGAAGCACCAGTCATCTTACCCAGCAGCCCCAACACGGCAACATGGGTCAAACTATTACCGGGTACACTGTCTCCGTGGCTCTCCTTCATTGAAAACGACAGCGTAGGATACGCGGTAAGGATCTCCCATCCTTTCGGCTCGAGCACGATCGAAACCAGTGAATCCTGGGTCAATGGCCGCAGGAGATTCGATATCTTGCCACTCGTGTGTGCGCGGACGATATATTGCCCTCGAGAATCCTCATGGACACCAGGGAAATCCATCAATGAGACAATACTCGATGACTCGTCAGACCGGATGTTGAAAAGGCCCAAGATTCCACTGCCCGTTCTAGCCCAGCCGGTGTAGCTCCCAATGCGCAAGACATGTCCTTCGTTGTAATCGTGGTACATGTCGATAGTCCGCCCAATTACGCTTGGTCGCAGAATCACTGTGGTATCCGTTACGGTCTGGGCTGTCATTTGATCAAGCAACGATAAATCGTGTTTTCCGGGCTCGTCAGTGATGTAGATAGGTCCGCCTGATACACAGCGTGCTGCGGCATGGAATGATGCATATGGGTGGCTTGTTTGAAACATGTCCCAGTCAGGCAGCACGTTGAGATATCGGGTGAAGAGGGAGTTGTGTGCGTTGCAGAAAATGTGCCATGGATGGGAGGCAGGGACCTCCGGGAAGAAGTCATCGGAGTTTCGCAAGGGTAGAGTTGGTTTGTTGGTTGGCATTTGTGAATGGAACATTATTTGTGGTGTCATTGAGCCGCATGAGATCGATCGAGTGCCAAAATGCCGAAGTGAGGCGATAGACCATGCGTCTTGGTAGGAGGTCATGAATCTTCTGCGGTCTGCGGGCTCTTCTAGCAGGTCGAGGAAGAATTGGCAATCAGTTTTGACTGAGTCGACACCAGCCGAACTGAGATATTGATAGAATTCGTTGTAGAAATGCTGAATATCGTCAGGGTCAATGGTGACAATTTCTCCCTCCGGTAGATTCTCGGCAATGGGACCATGGGCTGCAGAGTCTTTGATCTTGACTTGCTTGGTCTTGAAAATCCGTGCTAGGTCGCCATTTGGTGAAATACCTCCCCAATACCCGAGCAAGGCATGCCAGACAGCGATGTGTCCGATGCGAGGGTTTCTTTGGCGAATCGAATCCACAGTCTGTTTCAATCCTTTGGGGAATCCTTGTGAATGCGCTTCAAATCGTTTCAAGCCTCGCCTGAATTGTGATTGCCCTTCGTTGTCATTTGTCTGCCATCCATCATCGATGATCAGATTCACTATATTGATTCCGTTCTCTTTGAGTGAATCCAAAGCGTGCAGGATCTTTTGCTCTGTGAGCTCCTGCCCGAGGCCATTCCAGGTGCAATATGTTAAACCATCAAACCACTCCGACAACCACTGAGCAGTCGGATCCTTTTCCACGATGACCACGTCGTCTCCAGGCGGGGACAATGGAGCCGGCTCCTCGAGTGGAGTATCATAGGTTTCAGCGAACGGTCTGACGACTTTCCGTGCTTCGTAGGAAACAGCACACATCGCTACTTCAAAGTCTTCTGCAGCTGCTACCAGCACATGGAAGCTTGAAGGGTCCGTATTGTCGCTCCTCGCGTTGACGACGAGCTCGCCATCTGGGCCCGACCGGAAGACAGTTAGTATGTCATTAATTCCTGATACCGCCAAGAAGACGAGATGCACCCTATCCGTTCGTAAGAAAGAGCAAATTATAGCATCTCTAGTGAGTTGAAAATTTTCTCTTCCATGCCTAGGCCCCAGCCATGGGCTCCAAACCCGCACAAGGGAAAGATACCTCGCGGTCGATGAAGGAGTACCCAGGACAATTTGTTCAAACGAGGATGTCTTTTCATTGGCCGGGGCTACATCGCCCGTGATAGACCATAGCAGAGCCCCAGGTGCCTCACTAGATCGTGAAACAATCTCCACCTCGTCCGATAGGTTATTGACATATTTTCCGAGGTGCTCTCTGGGCTTTGAGCCCAAGTTTTCGGCGGACGCTATCGCAGAGACCCCAGAACTCTGGGGGCAGTAGATAATCTCACCATCATTCACAGAATGCTTCTGATTAGCCCACTGCCAATCTGAATCAATGCCGGTGCGAAACCGGGCTGTGAATTGCGCATGGCCCCCTGTCGAAGGCAAGGTAATCTCTCCCGAGAAAGCGTGACGATGGTAGTGATAATCACATTGTCGACCAGTTAGTAATGATGCATGTTCTGTGCTGCATTCTTGTAATTGCAGGGCTGTCCATTCAGGACCAGTGATGTTGTGCCAGATCTGCGCTTCCCAGTCCTGGTCGGGGAACGAGCTGCTGAATTCAACCGTTACGGTAAATCGCAGCTATTTCTATGTTAGCACGTTTGCATTCATAGAGTATCTATTGCTCTATCGCTCGAGACACTGGGATGATGGAGCCGATAAAACCCACCATGTCCTTAGTACCAGCTTGCTGAGGTCGTCGGACACAGGTCATTTGACCCAGGGGCGGATAGGATGTTACTCGAGCAAACATGGCTATTTGATCAGAACGAGCTGATTTCACGGGCTGTCGGGCTGTCGGTGTTGGGCCTCGAATGGGCGAGGTTGAAGTGTTGTCGGCCAGCATTGAGGGGTAGAGCCGGTTCACGATGTGTACATTCAAGACAAAAGTGAGGGGCAAGAACTCCGTATGTTACTTTACTTTTATCAAGCCTGGTCAAGTTGTAAAGAGTGATATGTCCGGGTGAAGTAAATATCGTGAGTTGAGGTGGCTTGGAAGAGGCGGGGAACACCTGCAGCTCAACGCCTCGACGTCAACTTTCACTTTTCATCCTTCAATGTTGTCGGTATCCCTCTTCAATGATTTCTACTCGGTTTTCGAGCTTTTTACGGAATTTTCATAAGCCTGCCAAGCTCATCAGCGCGGATTTCACATATTACGGGGCGTCCTTCGACCCGTCTGGGCAAAGTCCCGGTTGATGTCGAGATGCTCGAAACCACAACATTTACTTGATTGAAAGATCTCCAGGCCTGAATTATGTGGTCGTATGGAAAGCACATCGATATACCAAACGATGAATGTACGTGCACGAGACCAATTAAAAGATCGATGAATTCATACATGGATCAAACAGAATCAATCTGTCGCCCTTACACACGTGTATTATCTACCTAGTTGACCTTGATGGCCAACTTGCCAAAGTGCTTTTGGGCCCACTGAATGCCAGGTTAGTTGTCAATCATGGGTATCTGGGATGAGAATCAACTTACCATGTACTCATAAGCTTCCTTTGTCTGCTCAAGGCTGAACACCTTATCATCCACAACCGGGTGAATGTTGTTGGCCTCAATAGCTCGGACCATGTCCTTCATGAGAGCCTTGCTGCCAACATACACACCGCGAACGGTGCAGATGTGCGTCAAGGTCTCCAAAACCGTTGGCTGGGTCTTGGGGTCCACACCTCCGAGGAAGCCAATGACGCTGATAATACCTTCCAGCTTCACACACTTGAAGCTCTGCTGGAGGGTTCCACTGCCGCCCACTTCAATAATGTGGTCCACGCCAGTCTCACCGGGAGTCAATTTGCGAGCTGCCTCGCCCCAGTTCGGCTCGGTCTTATAGTTGATAACATGGTCGGCGCCGAGCTTCTTGAGCTTCTCGGCCTTCTCGGCAGAAGAGGTGGTCGCAATCACTGTTGCACCTGCTGCCTTGGCGAACTGCAAAGTTGGTTAGCACGACTATTCTCGGGCTTGCGGAATTGAATGTCAATCATACCTGCAACCCGAAGATGCTGACACCGCCAGTTCCCTGCACGAGGACGACCTGACCCGGCTTCAAGGGCTTCAGTCCATACAGGGCATTCCAACTGGTCAATGCAGCGCATGACAGGGTGCTCGCTTCAATTGCCGTCAGGTTGCTGGGGGATTTGACGAGGCCCTGCTCGTTGAACACTGCATATTCGCGGAGAGTACCATCGACGGCGCCGCCCAGACCAGTGGCTGCGGCATGTGGGTCAATCGCACCATATTGGTGACCCTGGTTGAAAAGAGTTGCGACCTGGTCTCCCTTCTTGAACTCGACCACCTTGGATCCGACTTCGACAACTTCACCAGCACCATCCGAGCCTGGGACGACCGGGAAGTTGAGCGCGAAGGGGTATGCGCCCTGTCGCACGGAATGTGGTGAGCTGCTGAAACTTGGAGGGGGTGCGACGAGAGTCTTGAAACTCAACTTACCTTGGGGATAATCAAGTCTCGGTAATTCAGCGAGGCGGCTTGGATCTTCACCAGCACTTCATTTTCACCGACTTTGGGGATGGCGGCATCCTTATAGACCAGACCGTCGAGGTCATGCTCCTTATCTTGCACGACCCATTGTTTCATAGTGGAAGACATGATTTATACTTGTCGATTGATCAGGAATCAAGTTATTTGCAAGAAGAATGAGCGGGGGATCCGACGCTTATATGTGAGGACCCTGACGTAGGTGATCCGCATCGGGGTCCACCTGTCGGACAGATTACAAAGATGCCCAGGTGGGATTCTCAAACCCCGGATGTTGAGAGGGTATTCCTCGGAGACTTATTCTAATGTGCTCGGTGTAATTGAATCCACAGATTGGAATTTGAGGATGTACCCAGAGTGTTGGCTTTACATAGATGGCTGTGACAAAATTCTTCAAAATAACACACAAAGATTTCAAAACCTGGAATAAGATTATGCGCCCGTGGGGGGAGTTTGGCACATTCAAAGGCCGTTCATGATTCAAAGTTTTTTATGCTGCAGTACTCCGTACTTCATCTCCGTATATAGTACGCTGTTTTTTGTTTTTTTGTTTTTTTCGAGTCCATAAAATGCCAACTTTGGAAGAACGTTTGGCTCTGACGCCCGATCACTGAGGTCACAATATAGCGAAGTATAGAAAGAAGGCTAAGACTTAAATGGAATAGCCCACTGTCGAAATTGTGCAATTTGATACAAATATCACGAGCCAATGCCCACGCAATGTACAATGCACGAAATAGCCGATGGCGCGAGATCGACCCGCGAACGATAACCATGTCGCAGTATCCTTAGAGCGGGGTGGTCGCGACATAAATAGCTCGTAACCCCTCTTGTCGAGGGCTTGACTATTTTCCCTCATTTCTCGAGCTATATACATTCGATTCTCGATACCATGTCTCTTGGAAGAACCTTCAAGCTCAACTCGGGCTACCAAATCCCTGCGGTTGGCCTCGGGACCTGGGTATGTCTTTTTCGGACAATCGAGCGACAATACTAATTTCATTTTCTACAGCTCTCCAAGCCTCATGAGGTTGAGAATGCGGTCGAATCCGCCCTGCGCAAAGGATACCGTCACATTGATGCTGCTGCATGTTATCAGAATGAGAACGAAGTAGGAAACGGATGGAAAAAGTCCGGTGTTCCTCGTGAAGAAATCTTTGTATGATCAAACGCGTCCTTATCTACTGGACAGGGATTAATGCATCTATAGATCACTAGCAAGCTGTGGAACACCCACCACCACCCCGACCATGTGGAGGAAGCGATCAACAAGACGCTGAGCGACCTCCAAACCGACTATTTGGATCTTTACTTGGTATGAACATCCACCACATTCCCTCAAACATCCTCTAATCGACCAGATCCACTGGCCCGTCGCCTTTGCTCACACTAATGAAACCCTCACTCCGACCGACCCGGTCACGAAGCGATTCCGACTAGCCGATGTTCCGGTCTCCGAGACCTGGGCTGCTCTTGAGAAGTTCGTCCAGGCCGGCAAGATCAGAAGTCTGGGAATCAGTAACTTTACCATCGCGGCGACGAAAGAGCTGCTCAAGACTGCGCGGATTCCCCCTGCCGCCAACCAGATCGAGGCGCACCCTTACTTGCTGCAGCCGGAACTCTTCTCGTATTTGAAGGCACAGAACATTCTTCCTGTTGCATATTCACCACTCGGCAACAATATCTACAACCTCCCTCGGTCAGTGGATCTGAATTTGCCTGTACAGGACTGTACTGATCGAATATAGTGTGGTCAATGACCCTGTGGTTGAAGATATTGCCAAGAAACTCAACAAGGATCCTGCCCAGGTCCTGATCTCTTGGGCCATCCAGCGAGGCTCTGCTGTCTTGCCCAAGAGTGTCACGCCTTCTCGGATCGAGAGCAACTTCCAAGGTATGCATATCACCTGGAACTGGAGGATTTTGCGCTAACGAATACAGACTTTGTTATTCCCGATGAGGAGTTTGCGGCTTTGAACAAGCTCGACAAGAACACACGCTACAATTATCCATTCCGTTGGGGTGTGGATGTGTTCGAGGAATTGGGTGCTGCCGAAGCCGAGCGTCGCGCCGAGGAGCATGCTGCGTCTCAGCGAACTAATTAATTTAAGAAAGGGTGATTGTATAGAAACACACAGCAATATAAATTACTTTTTCGAAATTCCAAGTTCTTCAATGAGCGGTTTCACGAAAGATTCCCGAGGTCCTTAGGTACTAGGTAGTCGTGAATTTTAGTGTTCGAGTCAGTGAAACATATATGAAGGTTGGATGTGAACACCACAATCCACATCGGAGATCTCGGCCCATCGCTTCCAATGTTCGTTTCTTCCCATTGAACCACATTACCTTGAAAAACATAGAACATTGCAACTCGCCACCATGCCAACCGTCAAAGGAAGCCGAGTGACAAAATCCAAAGTAAAGAAGTCCCCAATCCGACGCGTCCCAAAAGGTAAACATGCGCGACTCTAAACAGACCCATATCCCAGCTAACACAACCAGTCCTACCACTGGTGGAACGAACAAACGCCCTACCAGCAGAGGAATTCATCACGAAATACGTGACATGCGATGAAACCAGTCCCAACACAGTGGACATTTACTCCGCCGACACAATCTCCGACTCGGACCTAGAAGCATGTCTAGATTTAGTGGAGCAGACATCCAGCGAAGCGTACACGGCCTCTAGCACCGGGTGGTCGCGTCCGAAGAAGCGCAAGGAGATGAAGCTGCCGGACATGAAGTATTTGATTGTGCGGGGCGAGTCGTCCGGGCCGTCGGCTCGGGATGTTACTGGGTTTTTGTCGTTTATGGTCACCTACGAGGACGGGAAGGAGGTGGTGTATTGCTACGAGATTCATTTATCGCCGACGGTTCGGGGGCAGGGGATTGGGAAGTTGTTGATGGAGAGGATGGAGGGGGTTGGTCGGGCTGTCGGGTTGGAGAAGGTGATGTTGACGGTGTTCAGGTCGAATGGGGTAGCGACGCGCTTTTATGAGAGGCTTGGGTATGGGGTTGATGAATACTCTCCTGGCCCGCGCAGATTGAGGAATGGAACGATTAAGGAGCCTGATTACTTGATTTTGTCAAAGGGGTTGAAATGAAATTGAATGCTACGTGATATGCAATGAGAATATAATTTACACTTGTCGCACTTCGGCGCCCTTTTGGTCGGGGTTCTGTTGCTCCCACTCGTCCCGCAGGGCTGCAAAGACTGTATCCGCCAGGAGAATAGAGATTCCTAAGCTCCATACCAGAGTGATGGCGTAGAAGAAGTTGGCGTTTCCAGATCCCGCGTAGATCCAGAGATGGTAGAAGGCGGGGCCGAGGAGACTGGAGTATAGGATCGCCGAGACCGCGAAGAAAGTGTATCGCATTACTGCCGGGGGTTAGGTCTGAGACATGACACAGAATGGGGTTGGGGAGACTCACGTGGGAAGAGGTGTCGGTATAGTGGTAGCACGGCGAAGAACAACGAGGCATCGGAAATGCTAGGGTAGGGCTTGAAGATTGCAAAGACACCCAAGAGCGACGTAATGACAAAGAGCGGCTGTCGGTGGAAGCGAGCCGTAAGGCCGCCGACATAGCTGGCCAAGTGAAGCCAGAAGACTCCAAGGAAGAACTCCCGGAAGGAGTCGAACATCTCGATAAAGAAGTACCACCACAGACCAACGTTGGGGGTCAAGTCCGGAACCAGCAGATGGAAACCATATGTGGCGGACATAAATTCCCAGAAGTTGCCGGTGATCAGGCACGATAGACCCAGGAGGCCCGCGATGCTAGCGAACAATAGGCCGGCGTGTTGGACAACGTACAGGGCGACCTTGGGTGCATTGGGTTCTTGAGCCCGCCGATCATAGCAGAGCAAGACCAAGGGAATGAACAAGAGCGCGGGGTAAAGCGACAGGTATGAAGCAAAACCGAGAGCTAGCATAGCATTGATGCTATTTCCCCCCACCGCATTGGACACGGCGAATAGGATTCCCGACGTGGTGAAGACGCTTGTTGACCTTGCTAGACATGTCGCAATCGTGAAGGGGTTGAATAGGAACCTTTGCAGGTCAGTATTTCGGGATCAATGGCCCAACTTGATGATTCCACATACCATGCCGCAACTGATACCCCATCCCACCGCACATGCTGTCGCACGGCCGTGTGTAGCCTCGATTTGATCGATTGGCCTGATTCAGATATTTTGAGCAATGCGTATGCATTCAAAAGATCGACCAGGAAGTAGAAGACGGCGATTGGCAAGGGCGAACTCTTTGCGTCTGGGAGGAGAGCGAACAACGGCAATAGGAGTGGAGCCTGGACCGCATGGCGTTGTCAATTGATGATACAGATGGCTGTGGGAGAAGGATTCCACTAACCTGGTGAAAGACACCTCCATCATATGGCGATACGTTCCTGGTATATAAAAACAGACCCTCTTGGACTGTACATGGGTCAGTTCACGGTCTAGTCCCATGTCGGAGACACGTACGGCGTTTGAAGCTATTAACTGGGGTCGAGACCTCCACTCTCCCCGTTAACAGGTCGGACAAAGATGGAAACAGGCATATCAGCAACAGACGCAGCACAAAGGCAGCGCCAAAGACCACAAATTTCCGATCTATCATGGTTGACGGTCAGTTGTTGACATCCGTGGTCCCTTAGGCTGGCTGCTCTCCGCCTTCGCACGGACCACCCGGTGCGGAAAGGAAAAAAAAAGTTATCGAGAAATTTTTCTTCTTCTTATCAGCCGATTGCATATCCTGACCACTTTTCATCATGGCGAGAATTAAGAAGAAGGGTATACTGCTTGGACCTGATAAATCAATTCTATGCTAACATTGACCCCCAGGTACCTCTGGCTCGGCCAAGAACTACATTACCAGAACTCAGGCCGTGCGCAAACTGCAAATCTCTCTGCCAGATTTCCGTCGCCTCTGCATTTTCAAGGGTAAGGAACCCTGTTTGGGATGTTTCGATTGAGTCGCAAAGTTAACAAGATCCTTGATCTCAGGTATCTACCCTCGCGAGCCCCGTAACAAGAAGAAGGCCTCCAAGACCTCGACTCCCAACACCACCTTCTATTACACCAAGGATATCCAGTACTTGTTGCACGAGCCTCTGCTCAACAAGTTCCGTGACCAGAAGGCGCTTGCCAAGAAGATCGCTCGCTCCCTCGGCCGTGGAGAAGTTGGCGATGCGTCCCGTTTAGAAAAGAACAACGCCCCGAGACTCACTTTGGACCATGTCATTAAAGAGCGCTACCCGACCTTCATCGATGCTCTCCGTGATCTCGACGATGCCCTTTCTCTTCTTTTCCTCTTCGCTACCCTTCCTTCCTCCGACCATGTTCCCGCCAAGACCATTGCGCTCTGCCAGCGCCTCTGCCACGAGTTCCAGCACTACCTGATCATGACCAACTCGCTGCGCAGGTCATTCCTGTCCATCAAGGGTATCTACTACCAGGCTACGATCCAGGGACAAGATATCATGTGGCTCGTTCCCTACCGTTTCGTTCAGCGTGTCAACGGCGATGTCGACTACCGTATCATGGCCACCTTTGTCGAATTTTACACAACCCTTCTGGGCTTCGTCAACTTCCGCCTGTACTCTGGAATTGGTCTGAGATACCCCCCTAAGTTTGATACCCGCAGTGACGAGAACGGTGCTGAGTTGGCTGCTTTCACCCTCGAGGGCCGTTCAGTTGGTGATGTCCCCAAGGCCATCGAGGCCGGCAAGGCTCAGGCCAACGGCAACTCTAACAAGGAAGTTTCCAAGGAGCTCCAAGCCAAGGTGGACAAGGTTATCAAGAAGGCCGGTCTGGAACAGAGCACAGATGACACTGCCATGGACACCACGGAAGAGAACACAGATGCCATCGATCGCTTCGAGACCGAGGCTCCCGAAGCCGACACCCTCCCCCAGCCCTCCATGAGCGGCAACGAGGCCGGTGCACTCTTCGCTCCTTTCGTGTTCTACATCTCCCGTGAAGCCCCCAAGGCTCCTCTGGAATTCATCCTGCGCTCCTTCGGCTGCAAGCGCGTTGGCTGGGCCTCCGTGCTCGGTGGCGGTGCTTTCACCCACGACGAAACCGACCCTCGCATCACTCACCAAATTGTCGACCGCCCTCAGCTCCCTCAAGAATCCCTCCCTGCCATTCCCGATGCCGAGACCTCCCAAGTTAAGCCTGGATCCCGCATCCCTGGCCGCACCTACATCCAGCCCCAGTGGGTCTGGGACTGCATTAACGAGGGCAAGCTGCTTCGCGCAGACCTCTACGCCCCCGGTGCTACCCTCCCTCCCCACTTGAGCCCGTGGGTCAAGGCTTCCCGCGGCGCTTACGACCCCCGTGCCACTCTCGCCGAGCAGGAGGAGGAAGATGAGGCCGAGAATGCCGCCGAGGCATCCGACAGCGACGAGGAGATGGAGGATGAGCCCGCCGTTGAGGAGAAGGCCGCGTCGGACGACGAGTCCGTCGATGGAGGCATGGACGTTGCCGGCACTGACGACGACGAGAGCGAATCTGAGGAGGAGGAAACCGAGGACTTCGGTGGCTTCGACGAAGAGGCCGCCTCCGAGTCCGAGGATGATGACGAGGCCGCTCGCACCCAGCACCAGAAGGAGCTTGAAGCCGAAGCCGCTGGTCTGCCCTTCACTGCCGGTGCTACTGACGAGGCGTCCAAGAAGAAGGCCGCCAAGGACAAGAAGATCGCCAACAAGAAGCGTGCCGAGGAGGAGGAGCTCGACAGACAGAAGATGATGATGAGCCGGAAGAAGCGCAAGCTGCTCGAGAAGATGATGTACTCGAACAAGAAGACCGCGGATGAGTCCGCCAAGCTTCGGTCTAAGCGCCGTAAGCTCGAGAAGGGCGAGAAGGGCGACAAAGCTGCCAAGAAATAAAGCTTGCATGTTAGATAATGCTTTTCCGGGCGTTTGGTTTGGATATGTCTCATGTATAGGCCCTCAAAAATTTGTGATTGAAGTTTAATGCTATTTATCGGGATTATGTCCCAATTACATGTATACCTCTTGTTCAGTGCAGTCAAGGATTTGCCATCAAACCCAAGGAGGAGATACTGGGAGCTGCCTCGCGCCCCAAAGTGCTACTCTCAAGATTTGACAGTGACACTCTAGCTAAGGTGCCATCTCTTTCACAATCTCAGCTGTATTCACCTGATCATGGATGTACCCAGTCCAAGAACATTTAAGGTCGTCTTAATTTTCTTCAGCAGACCGTACATCACTCACTCGCCGCACGACCTTGGAGAAAAATGAGCGCACTGGTTCTTGCAGCCAGAGTGGAAGAGCTCGAAGAGCCCCAGCCACCGAAAGGTGCCCAGGCAGGACAATTTGTCCACTTTTCCGAGTGAGTATATGCTCCAAAACAGCTTCTGAAACAACCCTTGGATTCATGATAGGTTGGCGGAAGGTGTTCTGGTATCGGGTAAAGCCTTGGATCAGGGGAGTTTCAACCCAAAGCGGGTGGACAATGCTATAAACACAATCAGCCTGGGTCTCCCAACGTTCTCGAGTTTCCTACTCACCTGGTTCGCACATTTGGAGCTTGATACCAATATTTCAGTTCCTGCCGAAGGCCTTCGTGGAAAGCAAGTGCGCTGGCTTTTGAACAACAATAATCGACCATTTCGCCCACGGCGACAAAACTTGCCACACTCGCCATCGTAACGACATGGCCTCTGTTCTTGCGGATCAGTGACGGAAGGAACTCCTTCAATATGAGGAAATGGGAGACGATATTGACGTCGAATGTTCGACGCAAGTCCTCCTCTGAGCTTCCAAGGATGGTCCCATGATGAAAGACCCCTGCATTATTCACGATGATGGTAGGTTCCCCGTGCAACTTTCTGATATCAGATGCTGCGTCTGAGATAGACTTTGTTGAAGAAATGTTCACTTGATAGAATGTGACATTCTCTGGGAGTTCAAAATCCGGCTGGACGATGTCGAGAGTCACAACGCGAATATGCTTCGCAAGATCCTCCATGATTTGCTTGCCAATGGCACCACTTCCGCCGGTCACAAGGGCTAGTTCATCATCTGGGTTCCAAGTTTCCTCGGCTTGAAAGTTGTTCTGAACCTGCTGTGAGAGCTTTGCGCTGAGACAGTACACGACCACCGAGCTGGCCACAGCACCCAGCAATATGGTGATGGTTTGATTGAGAAAGAGCATGGATGCAAGCAAAGAGGTCCCCGTGAAGGCGATATAATATCGGGTCGTCATGATATTGCGATGAGCATTTAACAAGGATGACGGTATAATAATGGCGATCCTAGGCGTCCGCGCAGATTGACTGGAGGGTTACGCTGGCAATTGTAGAGACTCCCCAGCTTTCCCGGGGGTTTTGCGGCTTATCTATCGTCTCATCTGTAAAGAAGACTATCCGCTACCTAGGTCACAATCATCTCATGACTCGTGTAACTACCCGATAGGGACGTGCAGTGTCAAAACTACGTGCCTCATCGCAGATTCGTTAGTCATTTCAAAGGTTCCAGGCCTACATAATGTACTGAGTATATAGCCAGAACCCCGGGGGTGACGACCGAGAAAGTGTGTGCACGGGGGGCGTGTAGGTAGAGATATGTGACATGGCTGCATACCTAGCTCATGGATGGAATGTGCTTGGTGCAAGGCAATGGGCGCTTATATTTTTCAATCACTCGATGTGTGAACATCGTTTTCAATATTGTTTTCAACGTTCCCATCCACCTGGATCACAGTGGTTCAGACCCCGGGAATCGTATACAGGCCCCTACCTAATATACACATTCAATGTACTTTCTAGTAGACATCCACCCTCGAAGGCAGTACGATATCTTACTTGGGGTCTATGCTTTTGGCTGGGTTTGTTCTATTGGTCTTCCAAGTTTGAGTGCCATACCTGAATTTGATGGAAAGTTGCCACCCAAGCCGCTCTGAGGTGTGTTCGAACCTACACGGAAGTGATAGATGATAGCTTCCGATGTCCAACTGAGCTGGAAAAAGAATTGGTGAATGCCAAACTTGGAAAGGATGTCCTCTTCACCCCGCCGGGTATGTACTTCCGGGGCTAGATATGATATCAGTTTATTCACGAATCTTGGAATGCTAGTCATGCGATCCCTCAACCCACAATCCAGTATCATAATTTCGATATTGCACAGACCATATTGAAGCACCTAGTAGGCCAAATGTTTAAACACAGGTTGATCAGTATATAGTTTGCTCGCCGGGGTGTACATGGAAGTTTGCGCAGCCCATAAGGTTCAGCGACGGATCGGGCCGGGATAGGGCAGAGCCAAGGCTGGAATTTGGCTTCTTTGAATCCATCTTCGAATTCTCGGCGAGCATAGCTGATCGCACCGTATACAGTACATGATATGCAATGTGGGAGGAGGTCACACAATATATTCCAATTGAACTTGGAAGGCTCGGAAAGCGCAGTAACCCCAGGTCATTCACCTCTCAACTCACCTGGCACTTTCTATGTATTAAAACTAACTCACGACGACTCCGAGGCCTACCTTTGAGAGCTTACAAGTTCCCGAAGTCATTTTGGAAGCTGCACGGGCTGCTGTACCTTTGACCTTGCCTTGACCTCTTAAATGACGACTCTATCAACATGAACATTGCAGTCACAGGTATAGTGACATAAAGTAACTAACGGAGGATATTCATTCATTTGCCAAGCTCAAATTAGTGCCCCGTTCTAAGCATACGCTTTGATACTTTGAGAGCGTGGATGTTCGCTACCTTGTTGATATATATGCATGTCCAAAGTACGGGCTTTTAATAATCATGTAACGAACTCTTGAAAAGAGCCCTGTCAGTCACGTAGAACGCTCTACAGAGTAATAGAACAAGGTATTAAAAGTCAAACACAGTGGTTAGTGGAGGTAGAAAAACCCATGCTCGTAGAGAAACCACGTCTGCCTTCATGCCTCAGGCGTCGAACTGGGGCCTGGGCATTTCAGGATCATGGTGGCAGCGGGATTCAGCAACACACACTCCTTTCAGAACGTACTAGTCTCTTTCTCTTATTTTTGTATCCCTGGGCTAGTACAATGGCCATCTATGCCCTATAGGCAATAATTCTCCCATCGTCTTGTGCTTTGACAGACTGCCAGCGCGCCCAGGGCTCTTCCGAGGTCGTCAAATCGTCATGTGTTCGCCCCCAATGTTAATCCAGAATACCTGGCTCGTGTTGGAATGATTCGGGTATATTGACATCAGACAAAGGAGATCTGCAGATTTCCATCCCACGAGGCTGAACAAACCCCATCGACGAAACAACATGGATGACTGCAGACACTCCTCGCACGAGCGGATCAGCGAGCGAGATCACAGTCCATCTCTGCCGGTGTCGCCCACTGATTTCGATGCAGATTCACGTTCAGCCGCCTCCTCGGCGTCGGCAGCAGCCTCCCCGCTGGCCCAAGGTCCATCCAGCTCACTGCACAGGCCATCGGAAGCGATAGCCACGATTTTCTCCGCCATGTCTTTCAGGTAGTATCCTCCGTTCTCGGAGTGGAGGAGACCGTAAGGATTGGCCCTGACGTAATCGTCGAGGGATTGCATATCGTGGAGAATAACGACATCCGTCGGCGGTGTGGTATGGTATCGGGTTAACGCTTGAGCCATGGCTGCTATGGGGAATAGAAAGGGAATAAGAAGGCGACAAAAGAGCCTCATTGTCTGTTCAGTTGATGAGGTTGGCTCAGAGATGCAGGGGGCTTGGCCCCCGGGGCCACGGCGATATACTATAACCCGCGACATACGTCAGGCCACTAATCAGGGTTAGTGGCTGTACCTGAACAGGAGTAGCCAATTAGAACTCGAGGTGAGTTTCTTTGTCTGAGAGAACGAGAGAAATCAGGCTATTACCTAGGAGCTCCGTTGAGAAAACGCGGAAAAGGACCGTGATGTCTCTAATTCTTCGAAACCACCGACATCAAAGATCGGGCTTTAACAGGCCTACTTTCCTAGGGCTCACTATGAGCTGATCTGTCGCAAGTATTTCTGACCTTGAATATTCAACATGAATCGGAGTAATGACCGAGCTATTCGATCATACCTAGGTATGCGCAGGTGACCTCATCTGCTTATCCATGGTGACTCCATTGTTCGTGGTTTCCGCGATCAACTCTTTGTCAATTCGTCTTCAACGTCGTGCTACCTTCTGAAAGTAATTCATCGCAATCTTCGATGCGAATATCTTTCATCCCCTCCAATTGCACCGACATGGCGCGGTTAATTCAAAAGCCAGAGAATCATGCTCACAACATCCGCGTTTACGATTCTGACGGAGCCTTGTTGGCCTGTAAGGGTCTCTTTGGGATATAGAGCAAGCGCGTGCCAGCTAACACAATGCGCTTCCTAAGCAATCCACGTCCGGCCCGATCTATCACTTTATATCACCCATAGCATGCTTTATCGATATTGCTCTTTTGCTGTTCTCATACCGAGCCAAGAGGAATGGGGCATATACTCTTTGATAGATACGTGATTGGGATAGATCCAATGGTAAGTGACTATGCCACCGATCACGTCAACAGCTAGCCCAGGACTAAAACCAGACAACTGAAGGCAGACTATAAAGTGATATTCTTTGGAAATGACTCCAATGGCTGGGGTGGAAGGCGTCTCAAGGACTCCGCTATCCACGGTGCCAACAATATCCCGGGCGTCCACCCATCCTTCTTACAATGGCATCTAAGGATGTGTGTACTGGCAAACATGAAAGCCAACTCGGGGCCTCGGTCTCCCTGGGAAGTAGATCTTGGGGAAGACGACATGGGCCAAATCCTTGAGCAGCACGATGCTAATGAGCGCATGGAAACTGAGCTTTTTACGCGACTTGGAGAGTACGTGGTTTAGGCTTTCGGATTCCCATTTCTGAACAGGCATACATCACCTTGGAGTAGATTTCCAGCGTGCTTTGAAGTCTTCGTTTGCAGCCACCTGGGCATTGGTAGATAGCTAATCTCTTCTTCTTACCTCTCTCTCTCTCTCTCTCTCACACACACACTTTCTATCACTCTCTCCTTTTCAATATACCAAGAAAGCTGCTTCGACGTAATTTGTCTGAGCCTTTACACTTGCTTGCCAACGGAAACTCGCTGAAGAATAGCCCATTCCTCTTATCAAACCAGTCACCCCCCGTTTCATTTGAAGTTCCCTTTCATCAGTACAACCAACTCGATAAAGATGGATTCTAGCATCCGAGAGCGCCAGTCTGGAGGCCCCTTCAGGTTCATGGCCAAGTTGACTGATCCGACCAACTGGGGGCGCTGGGTCCGCGCTTTCAGATCTACTGTTGAATCCCTCGATCTTAACTACTGGATGCCGATCAAAGGGAAATGGCCGCGGCCAGCGGATCCCAACGATGCTGAAACAGATGCCTCTGCGGCGGACTTCCTCGGAAAACAAACTGCAGAAGGTATCACCCAATCGCCCGATTTCACAAAGAGGGAGGCTAGGACTTTACTAAGAAAGACCGCCCTAGGTATCATTGATGTTCGGGCAGCAGCCGCTCGTCGCCGGATTACTATTGCATGGAATCGTCGCAATCTGGCACTAATCCATGATTGTGTGTCTGTCGACTTGCTAGCCCCCGATGCACTCACTTCCCCCGAGATTTTCGAACTTTTACGACAGATCGACGACGCCACTATCGATTGGCTAAAATATGACAAGCGGCAAAAGTGGATTTCACTGGTCTACAACGGTTATAATCCCGCCGAATTCGTGGAGATGTGGGAAGATAGGCTATCGGACTACCGGATTATTTTCCCATCTGAGGCTCACCCAACCTGGAACACCTGCTGCTTGATCTTCCTGAATGCGGCCAAAGCCTGTCCCGAAGTGAGCCCATGGGTGAATTCATACACCATGGACTGCCCCAAGAGAGAAAAGCGGGACCTGGAAAATCTGTACAGGGTCTTTATTGATGCTGAGACCCGACGCATTTCAATGCTGGAGCAGTCTTAGCATAGAATAAACGGTGCCCCTCGTCAAATGGGGGTTAATTTTTCTGCTTGCCCCTCGATTCTTCCTACCATGCAGTCAAAGATAGTTCTTGAAATAGAGCTCCTGCTAGGAGGATTTTGATGAAGATTCAAGACCTTGTAGAGCATTTACGGATCAAAGACCTTCCCGGGATTCATCAGCCAGAAGGGGTCGATGGAGAGCTTGATTCCACGCATGATAGACAAGCTTCCTTCTCCCACTTCCTTCTCCATAAATTCCTTCTTACCCAAACCGATGCCATGCTCGCCCTAAATGCGAATGAGCAATGATGCAAAATTGAAGGAAGAGGATAGATACTTACAGTGCATGTGCCCTCCATCTCGATTGCGCGATGAACCATATCATGAACGCACTTGGACACCAGATCCCGCTCCTTGGCGCCATCGAACAAGATAGTCTCATGGAAGTTGCCATCACCGACGTGACCGAGCATACTGCCAAACAGACCTAGGCTTTCAAGATCTTTCTTTGATACTTCTGTTCAACCAATTAGCTCAACGTCAACAACTCCGAGGTTTCAGTAGTAACACCTACCAACCAGATCTGGAAGTCGAGATAAAGGAACAGCAACGTCAGTGGACCAAACCTCATGCCCTGATTCTCTCATACAAAGCATGCTCCATAAAGCCTCCTTCCGGGCAGACCAAAGTACTGTCTGCTTTGCTTTATCTTTTTCCACTTCCAGCTCACTCCCTTCGTTGTTGCTCACTATTTTCCGAACATCCTCAATGTTATCCTGCACTCCAACCTTGGTACCACTGAACTTGAAGAAAAGAGTCGGCAGCTTTTCCCACAACCTACCCGTGGCTCCCATCTGGTTGATCACGTCCATTTGAACATCGTCTAGTATCTCAACGGCTCCGACTGGTATGCCCTGACGAACAATTTGGGTAGCCGCATTAGCAGCGGCTCTCATGGTTGGGAATTTTGCCACGCCCACGCCAGTTGCTTGTGGGATATTCGCCAATTTCAGTGTTGCTTCTGTCACAAACCCGAGTGTTCCTTCGGAGCCGGTGAAAAGGCCGTTCAAATTGTAACCGGCCGACGACTTGCTACTTTGAAATCAACATCTAGCCAGCATTGTGATCGGGTTCAACATACCGTGGCCGCTTTCGTGTCTTGATGATCCTCCCATCCGGTAGAACGACTGTCAGATTGATAACCCAGTCTTTCATAGTTCCATACCGCACAGCGTTGGTGCCACTGATTTGGAAAAGTCAATGACTTTTCTCTTTCCTCACTTTAACTCAGAGGTCAATCCATACCTGCAGTTGGTCGCAATCATTCCGCCAATCTTTGCCTATGTTATGTGAGAAATAACTCGTCTGCAATGGGGTTGGAACATACCGGTGGTCCCGGGTCCACAGGGAAAAATAGGCCACTTGACTTGATGGCCTCGTTCATCTCCATCCAAGAGACAGATGGCTGCACAACAATATCCATACTGGAAAAATCAGTCCGACAATGCAAATCGAATCACCCTGGTGGGGTTGTCATCAGCGGAATGCACTCACTCTTCTGGGTGAAATGCGACAATGTCGCTCATGTTCATAAAGTCAACGCTCACACCCCCAAAAGGCGCCGAGAAATGGCCTTCAACGCTCGACCCTCCAGAAAATGGGACTGCACGTTCGGTCAATTTCAAGTCCCCGCCCGCTGAACTTGTACTTACTCATGGGAACTTTGTATTTATGGCAGATTCGCGCGATCGCAGCAACCTCTTCAGTGGATTTAGGGAACGCAACGGCAACAGGAAGACGATCGATATTAACAGATGACCATTCAGAATAACCATGCATTTTCAGGTCTTCGTCATCGGTACTGATACCATCTTCGCCAAGCTCTTGTTGAATTTGTCCGATTGCCTGATTGTTTCTTGAGTGGATATTCATTTGACCATGACAGTTCAGAAACTCACTATTTTCATTTCATCAAGTGTAGCATATTCCGGTTTCCGCTGGTCTTTCCTGGCGTTTTCACGGTTCCCGAGCGTATATACAACACATCCGGTGAAGATGGATGCAACAGAAGCAGCTACAAGAGGCATGGACCACCCTGGTGGTGTCGGGCGAGAATTTGATGCATGATCTGCGTAAAGACGCTTTGAAGAATGTGCTGCATTTGATGGTCGTGGCGTAAGTATTTGCCTCCTTGAAAAACCAAGCAGTCGCCGGCTGGGCTTAAGTGCAGAGAAAGATCGTAACATCAGGGAAGTTTCTGGCGTTCAGGGTGAGATCTCATTCGATTTACACCGCGAAACTAAAGAAACCTCGGAAGAAAGAATGACTTTTGCTTTGAGATTGAAGTATTTCAGGGCCGCATATAAACTATATACCCCGATGAAGCAATGTGAATGCAGGCTAATCGGGCCCGGGAATTTCCCGGGCATCCTAAAGGGTCCTGAGGCCGAGTATCCGAGTTGATATTTCATAGACTCGGTGACCTCGGGAGTGCTGTCGGGAACTACCCGGCCTGTATCATCCAGACTTCCCGGCTCAGACCTCGGGAGCCGACATGAATGTACATATATGCCCACCTTGTCACGCCTTAGGCCTGGTCTTTCCATTTCAAGGCGATGAAAGAGACGTACAATTAAACAGTGAAGAGTAAAACCAAGAGATTTTCACGATGTAAGCTTGATGCTAAGCTCAGATCCATGGAGTCCCTCTGACGAAACCACTACAGGTATACTGCCTCCTATGCCTTTTTCGAGGCCCTCTGGGAGCTCGGAGTTCACAATTGCTTCGTCAACCTGGGCTCCGACCATCCCAGCATTATGGAGGCGATGGCGAAGGGACTCAAAGAGCGCCCTGATCGCTTCCCAGCAGTCTTTACCTGCCCCAATGAGATGGTAGCCCTCTCCATGGCAGACGGATATGCCCGGGTAACCCAAAAACCACAGTGTGTGATCATCCATGTTGATGTTGGTACCTCCGGTCTTGGGGCTGCCATCCACAATGCCTCAACTGGCCGAGCACCGGTTCTAATATTTGCGGGTCTATCGCCTTTCACAATGGAAGGTGAGCTGCGAGGTTCTCGCACTGAATACATGTAAGTGTCCGCTGATTATGCGATTTCATGCGCGAGACCTGACAGTTCGATTAGACACTGGCTGCAAGATGTTCCAGATCAGAAGCAAATTGTTGCGCAATATTGCCGTTACGTCGCGGAGATCAAAACTGGAAAGAATATCAAGCAGATGGTCGGGCGTGCTCTCCAAATCGCGACAAGTGCACCAATGGGCCCAGCGTACTTAATGGGAGCGCGTGAAGTCATGGAACAGGAGATCGAGCCATACGCCATTCAGCCGGCGCACTGGATGCCTTGCGAGCTATCGGCCCTTCCATCATCGCATGTGGAAGTGATTGCGAGCCAGCTTGTGCAAGCAAAAGAGCCACTTCTCATCACTGGTTATAGTGGTCGGAACCGCGACTCGGTCGATGTATTGGTCAAATTAGCCAACGCCGTGCCTGGCCTACGTGTGCTGGACACTGGAGGTTGTGATATGTGTTTCCCGGCTGATCATCCGGCCTGGTTGGGGATGCGATATGGATCGGACCACAGCATTGAGACTGCCGATTTTATCCTCATCGTGGATTGTGACGTTCCTTGGATTCCCACTCAGTGCTCACCGAAGGAGACAGCAACGGTGATTCATATCGACATCGATCCACTGAAAAAGATGATGCCTCTCTTCTATCTTCCGGCCGTTCGAAGATACGCCGCTGATGCTACGACAGCTTTAAATCAGCTAGCCTCGTTCATCGATTCTTCGGTCGATCTCCAAACCTCTTTGACATCCGCTAGTCAACAGGAGAAACGTTTGTCTCGCCAGGAAAGTTACCAGGCTTTGATTGATACTCTAGACCAAAAATGTGTCCCTCCCCCCGATGCGACTACTTTCAACGCCTCATTTCTGTGTCAGAAAGTGAGAGAGCTTGTTCCAAGCGATACCATTTATGCAGTCGAAGCGGTCACGAACTCGGTTCTCATCGCCGATCAGATCCGCGCCACGAATCCAGGCCAATGGATCAACTGCGGCGGAGGAGGCCTTGGATGGAGCGGTGGAGGTGCTCTCGGGATCAAGCTTGCCGTGGACGCAGCAAACCCCGACAAGAAGCCTCTCGTGGTTCAACTTGTTGGTGACGGGACATTCCTCTTCAGCGTCCCGTCGAGCGTGTACTGGATTTCCCACCGGTATCAGATTCCCATTCTCACAATCGTGCTCAACAACAAAGGTATGGATTGAGATTCCATTTGCATTATTTGTAAAGGGCATATTGCTGACTCGAAATCTTGGATAGGATGGAATGCGCCCCGGCGCTCGATGTTGCTTGTTCACCCGGACGGACATGGATCAAAGGCTGATAATCGAGAGTTGAATATCTCGTTTGACCCAAGTCCCGATTATTCAGGCATTGCTAGAGCCGCCAGTGATGGCCATATTCATGCCGCCCGAGTGAAGGATGTGGCTGATTTAGTCCCAACACTCCAAAAAGCCATCGAGATTGTGCGCGGGGGAACTTCGGCAGTCATAGATGCGCATGTTGTCTAATTGACATCAAGTAGCACCAAATAGAAATGAAGAAGATGAAATGTCAGGCAGTTCAAAGGAATTCACTGGTCAACTGGTGAAAATACATGACGTAATACTTCCCAATGCAGTTAGCCCCGTCGGGTAATTCCCGAGATCCGCAATTTACAAATGTCGGGACTTTCCCGTTATACCTCGTCGTTTGTCTTTGACCTGAGATGTCGGACTCATTTAGTGTACGTGCTCGGCCTTCAGCTGGATGGAGTTAGGCTCGGTCTTTGGTGTTCACTTACTGATTCCACAATTGGCCAGGCGAATGCAGAGCTCAGCCCGACTCGGGCTCCATCCCCCAAGCGAAGACGTGTCGCGCTAGCATGTCAGCATTGCCGAGAGCGCAAAGTCCGATGCGATGGAGAAAGACCTACCTGTGGTGCGTGTCGAAAAAGAGGAAGCGCAGGGCAGCCATGCGAGTATCTGGTCATCGCAGACACGGCAAAATACCAAACTGAAAAGGCGTCAGTGTCTCTTCAATCCGCTCCAAGGACTCGGCTGACAGGGGGCATGTATCTAGATACTTACATTCGTTGCGGACTCACATTACAGATCTAGGGGGATCGCAACCCGTCTCATCCCTTCGGCAAACCGAGCCTGTCCACCCGGGCCAGGATAGTCGATCGGGACAAGCCTCTGGTGGAACCAGCTTTCCCATGTCTCTTGCTGCCATGGGCGCAGCAGTTCCAGGTACACCGGATACGACTTGTCAGGATCAATACTATGGGCAATCATCTCTCGCGTCGCTGGTTCATCAATATGCCCAAAGCTCACCGGGCCAACACTCGGCACGGTCTAAAAGTTATCAAGAGACGCCAAATAGCATGTCGCCACCATCACTACTACCTTGTGCCAATGGTCCCCTGTCCCCAAATATGGCTACCTTGATCTCGGACGACTTCTCGCTTCCGCCGAGGCGACTCGCGGACTGGCTGCTTGACGTGTACTTCACTAATAATCACATCTTTTACCCCTGGGTTCACAAGGAGAGTTTCATGGCTACATATGAAAATATCTGGACCAATAAGCCGAGCAGTGCTCATACGAGCCTCCCGGATGTCGGTCTCGGGGGTATCAATTGCCCATTGGGCGTGTTCCATTGTGCCCTCAATGCAATGTTCGCTATTGCATGTGAGTTCTCTGACATGGAACCTCGCGACAAGCGAAATTCGTCTATGATGTTCTACGAACGCATGAAAAGCTTAATGAATGTCGACATTCTCGACAGCGGTAGCTTGGCCCACGTGCAGTCGCTTTTGATGATCTCGATATATTTACAGTGTACACCATTCCCAAAAAGATGCTGGAATGCCATTGGTATGGCACATAGAATGGCTGTGGGTCTGGGTCTGCAGAATCGTCGACAATTTAGTGGTCTTTCCGCCTTGGAGAGGGAGATGCGGTGGCGAGCATGGTGTGCATGTGTGCAGATGGATGTGTATGACCTCGACAGATTCATTCCCTGGGGTACTACAAACTGACCATTCTAAAAGAATTATCAGCATGACAACCGGACGGCCGCCCATGACACATGATTATTCGAACGTCCCGCTGCCCTCGCCGGTTGACGATAGATATCTAGCCGCCAGCAAAGAAGGGTCTTCACAACCGGACGGAATCATATCAAAGAATCAATTCTTGCATCAGAATATGAAACTTATCGGAATACTTTGGAAAGTTCTATTAACGGTCTACCACAGTGGAGATGAACCTACGAGCAGACAATCTTCGCCAACGCCCGAAAGCGATTTCAAAGCTATCATGGAGATAGACCGATCCTTAGAGGAGTTCGAATACTCGCTTCCCGATGTCTTCGCATGGAAGCTACCCAATGTCACAAGTCCTGATCGCACATTCCGACGACAATCAAATGTTCTACATGCAAGGTAAGAGGACCAGAAACAAGGGAAGCGTCTAATGCTCAACTGTTTCTAGATATCTTCACCTGAAGCTACTGCTATACCGACCAACATTTAGCACCTACTGCTCAAATGCCAACTCACAGCCTGGCCAGTCCAGTTCCTGGTCAGTGATGTACCAGCAAAATGCGGCTTTGAGGTGTGTGCGAGCTGCTTGCGACCTTATCTTCTCTCTTTCAAGGGCCACAACCGAAGATTCAACAGGCGCCTGGTGGTACGGAGTATTCTGTGCGTACTATATCTGAGATCTTGTGTATAGCCAGATTCTGACGTGTCATCAACCTACAACCCAGACCTCATAAGTGCTGGAGTCGTTTTAGTTCTTGTCGAATCAAGTGGCGCCGACTTTCCTGGTATACCGGAAGGACAACGAGACTACTCCTGGAATGAATGCCTTGAGACGCTGGATAGAATGGTTGCGGTACATCCATCAGCCAGAGATTATCATATTGCGTTACATGATCTCAAAAAGAGCCATACGACAAAGGCCAGTCGAAGTAAGATGCTCTTCCCTTATATTATCGCAATACCTAGAGTCTCGAAGTCTGACCTCATATTTGCAGCAAACACCGGCATGAGACAGTTCCCAGCTAGCGAGGCCCCTGGTCATGAAATTGAAGGAGAAGGGGAGAACGTAGACCAAATGCCGTCTAGCGTGATCCAGAGTGGCGAGATCGATTACGAGCTGCCTAGTCCGTTCTTCCATAACTGGGAGGCGGAGCTCAGTGATATCATGCTTCCTGCGCACTTCTTACAGAACCTTGACGACGAATTGTTGTTGCCAAATCTATTTTGATTTACACAGAGGTCCTTAGCCGAGTGATCTATGATATGTCGTTGAAGTTCATCTAATATACTATCAAGCAAATCAAAAATCATGTTTCTGCTGGCTCTCTTTGCTTTCTGCTTTTACTTTCAAATTCTGTATGCAGAAGTGGATATGCCCCCCGTTCCGAACTCAAATGGGCCGCGATTCTTTATGCTTCTCCCAGACTCACGGGTAATTCCCGAATGGACTTTGGCCAGAATCTCACTCCCCGGATTCTAATTCTGCGCCGAGTCGATCATTCCCACTCATTGCTGTGCGGGGCGCAGATCCGGGGTGAGACTGACCAACAAATACGCAACCAATGATTACCATTGTGGCTGCACGGCAGTCGATATCGGCAAAATGCCCATCAAAGATATCGTCAATTGAACCTTGGAAGCTATTAGGGGCAAAATGAGTCTGAGATCAGCCTCCGCCCTCCATGATTGGCTTCCTGACTTATGATCGACCCATGAATTGGTATAAGGGCGACTTTCCCATCGAGCTACCATGCTTCCACACGTTTTTCACCCTCAGCAGACAATTATCTTTGTGCAACAGAGGCCAATCGTATCAAATTTCATCGATATGGAGTCTTCAGAACTGAAATCGAGCAAGACGGACCTGGAACATTTCCACTTGGATAATGTTGACGCAGAGAATCTCTCGGTAAATTACACCAATGCCGAAGAGCGAAAAGTGGTCTGGAAGTGTGACTTGCATGTCGTACCAATCCTGATGCTTCTTTATTTACTCGCCTTTTTAGACCGCATCAACATCGGCAACGCGCGTCTTCAGGGCCTCGAAGATGATCTCAACATGGAAGGGGCGCAGTACAACTACGCTCTCTTCATCTTTTTCATTCCGTACATTCTATGCGAGGTTCCGTGCAATCTGATCATGAAGAAGCTAGCCCCTTCTACTTGGATTAGTGGAATCATGGCAGCGTGGGGTAGGTGCACCCTCTCGCAATTGATGGAATACTTCTAATTAATGGACTCATACGCTTAGGCTGTGTGACTATTGGACAAGGCTTTGTTAATTCCTGGTCGGCGTTGATGGCATGTCGTTTTCTGCTTGGTGTGTTTGAAGCAGGATTCCTACCAGGTGAGTGGCTCTGCAATACAAAACTCGCATTTCTCACTGATAAGCTTCTAGGCTGTGTGTATTTGATCTCTACATATTACAAACGATTTGAGCTCCAATGGCGGCTGAATCTTTTTTTCAGTGCCAGTATTATCTCGGGGGCCATCAGTGGAGTAAGACATCTTTTATTCTTTCATGTCAACTTGAAGCAATCAAATACTAATTCGAAGTACTAGCTACTCGCATATGGGCTGTCCTACATGGATGGCGTGTGTGGATACTCTTCGTGGAGATGGATCTTCATACTCGAAGGGATCGCAACAGTGGTGGTTGGACTCGGTGCCAAAGTCCTGATTGTCGATTGGCCCGAGGAGGCAAGCTTTCTGAGTGAAAGAGAGCGCACGATTCTTCTCACACGGCTTGGATCTGAGAATGACATGTTCCCAATGAACCGACTCAATCGGAATGCCGTGTGGAGGATTTTGAGTGACAAGAAGATCTACCTGGGGTATGTGACGCCATCAACTTGACAAATTTGATCTGATGAATACTGTGCAGTATAATTATGTACCTTGGCACTTTAAACACTGGCTATGCGGCTTCATTTTTCATCCCTACCATTCTCCGAGACATGGGCTGGACTTCCTTGATGTCACAAGTGATGAGCATTCCGATCTACATCGTTGCCGCAATCATGACCATCTCCACCGCTTATTTTAGTGATAGGAGCAAACATCGATTTGGCTTTGTCGTGGCCGGCTGCGTAATCGCGACGGTGGGCTACATCATGCTTCTTGCGCAAGCGTCCATCCCCGCCGGCGCAAAGTATTTTGCCCTCTATGCAGTTACGGGAGGTGGTTTTATCTCCCAGCCGATTCTCATCGGATGGCTCAGTAACATTGGCGGACATTACAAAAAAGCTATTGCCACTGCGATGCAAATCGGATTTGGAAATTGCGGTGGCTTTGTCGCCAGCAATGTATTTCTGTCGGCGGAAGCCCCGCTGTATGTTACGGGTTATGCAACCAGCTTAGGTTTGATCTGGCTGTGTTTGATAGCGTCTGTGAGTATGGTTCTACTTCTCTGGAGAGAAAACAGAACAAGGGAGCGAGGAGGCAGAGATGAGAGATTGGCTCTTGGACCGGAGGAGTTGGACAACTTGGGGGATGACCACCCTGGGTTTCGCTTTAATTACTAGGTAGAATCCTGGATCGGGTTCTTTTCTATTCAGACGGTGCTCGCTATTTCTTACGATGGGCTTCTTTGGGATTATTTGACATGAAATTGGAATTGACTAGTGAATGAGACCTTCACGGTTGGAAAATAAATTTATGTTCGGTATTGTTTCTTTGTTAGCTGAAAGTCATAGGAAACACTTTCCATCTCACAGTATGGCGAGTGAGCTTCCGCACCAACCTAAAAAGGCCGGGCTCAGCCCGGTAATGGGCTGTGTTTTGGGCCGGTCCGCGGGCCCAGTAGGGGGCTCTTCCGGGGGTCCATTGGGCCCAAACATTACAAACAAGTCAATTCCCGAGTCTTGGCATCTTTGGGTAATTTTGTACTACACTTTTGGGGACATAACGTTGAATTATCCTCAAAGAAGCATTTTTCCAAGGTTTTACACCACATTCAATTGTAAAATTGCAAGCTACATAGGTAGGTAGAACCGCCGTACATGAAAACCATAAACCAGCAGCTTTATGAACGCCAAGACTAAGTTTACGCATAGAGCTGGGCTTCCCCGGGCCCATTGGGCCTCCGGTAGTTCTGGGCTCTGGGCTGGGTTGGGCCCCCGACCGGGACCTCAGGAGTCCGGCCCAGCCTGCAACACCAGCCATGTAGTTATTGACATGTCAACGAATTCTCTAGCTTTAAGGTCGCTACACATTCAGCCTGCTCCTCAGATTGAAACTCGACCGGTTATCAAACCAAGGTTTAGTTCCACTGAGTGAGCCGGTACCCCAACCTAAGAGGTTCGGGCCGCGAGAGATACCTCGCTCAAGCTGTTAGAAATGTAGTCCGCTAAGCAAAGAATTTTCTCTTCCTCCAGACGCCGACCAATCAACTGAAGGCCCACAGGTGCACCATTATAGACTAATGGATCATCTGAATTTTGTTTAGTTAACGATGTCGGGTTGACGCAAGCCTCGAAGGTGTAGACTTACATTCCCAATGAGCATTGGAATCATGTCCCCGACCAATATTCTCAAGCTGGTCTATCTTCTCATTAGCGTGGGTGACAGGAATCACGACGCTCGTATAATCCAAAACATTCACAAAGCTAGTATACCCGACATGACGGAAGCATCCTGGGATAACAGCCGCGTGAGGCGCCGTGGGGCATATGATCGCGTCGACTGGTCGACCATTTCGAGTAAGCTTCGATGTCGAGTTCCAGTAGTCCAAGTATGTTTTTTGATATCTTCGCTTTCTGATATTCAGGGCAGCAATCTGTGCGGCCTTCATATGTGTGGTTTTCGCCACAAAGCATTGTGGGAGCTGTGGCTCGCCCGAGGAAGCAAGATGGGTATGGACATCCTGCCCGCCATCTAACTCAAAAGTTTCTTTCTAGGGAGAATGAGTTTTGAAATAGAATCACATGCGACCTTAACTTACCGCGATAGCATGCGCAATTTGGTGGGAAGGCGGACACCAATCAATAACCTGCATCCCGTCAGTCTTGATTCAACACAAACTTCATGGCCTACCCACTTGATGACCTTTTTCTCTCAACATCTCCTCAATAGAATGCAAGGCTCTCTTGATTGGCGGGTGAGGTACCACCACCTCATCGTGGCGCATAATGGCAAAGGTGAGCTGAGAATGATCTCCACTCGTGAAGTTCTGAATTTGCTCCTCGACCGAGCTCCGCCATGGCAGCTCAAGGACCAGAGGGTCGTGATTCCAGGGCTCTTGTTGTAAAACTGCCTTGACTAGCAGCTTCAAAGAGCGAGCTGTGGTAGCCATGGGTCCAACCACCGACAAGATAGTGTTCTGGCCGTCCATGGAGTTTGCTGCGCCTTCGTACGGCAGTCTTCCAGCGGACGGACGCAGACCAAAGATACCATTGAAGGCGGCCGGGACACGTATGCTGCCACCTATATCTGTGCCAAATCCAGCAGGCGATCCTCTCAGCGCAATCAACGCGCCTTCGCCACCTGAACTTCCTCCGCTTGAGAGATGGCGGTTTTTAGGGTTCCAAGTGTATCCGATGATGTTGTTGGCAGTTTCGCCAGCCATCAATGTAGTAGGCACACTTGTTTTGCAAAATAGGACTGCTCCGAGGCTCCGAAGCTCTTTGACAAGCTCACTTTCGAAGCTTCGGGCATTCGGATCGTCTGGTTTGCCTTCGAAGGTCCCAATCCATCCCACGTACCCCATCGTCGTTTCAACTCCCTTGACGTGGAACTGATCTTTCAGGCTGATTGGGAGGCCGTGCAGAGAACCCATGGGCTTCTTGTGCGTTGCAAAATACGCATCAAGTTCCCTCGCTGTGCGGAGTGCCTCTTCGAAGAATATCTCATGGAGGCAATTTACCTATGCGGGTGTCAGTTCAAGTGCTCAATTATAGTATGAGCAGATATGATATGCAGACCATTTGATGCGCAAGGGCCGCCCGGTGACAGAATGCCTCGGTGACCTCGACCGCGCTCCAGGCGCCCACGGTTGTCTTTTCGGTGATGGACACGGCATCTGCCTCTGTGATTTCCACCTCCCGGGATGTCAGATACTGCTGAATATATAGACCTGTACAATCCCGTAGCTCGCTTGGAGGTGGTAAAGGATTGGGCATTCTCCATTTCTGCGGTATTGCATCGAGAATATCCTGCTTTTTCGTTTGAGCTAGGACTTGCCAGCCATTCCGCTTGTTGATCATCTTGCGCCGGGTTGACTCCTCGTGTTGAAAATCACGATCGCGTCCAAATTCTGGACAACGCTGTCAATTCATTTCAATTCGCTTCAATGTACATTCTCCACCCGCCATGTAGCGTATAGCATACGGAATTCGGGAACTTGCCGGTCCGATAGCTCCAGCCCGGGTATTACCCGAAGGTTGTCGGGTTCCTTCGTCATTTTCTCGGCGAAGACCAGTCCGGATGTTCGCTGACATAGAGCATGGAAAATCTTTGTTCCCTAGTGAGGCATGGGGAATATGAGAATTCTTTTTTCTCGAGAGATGTGTAGTCCGGAGAAAGTCAAGACCCTTCATCAATATTCAGGCCTCGGGCAGAAACTAACAGATCACGTGGATCCTCCTTGAGCACACCATCGATACCTACCTATTCACTCACTTCTCTCTTCTGCCATAATATTGTTGCACTTCTGTTTATTCAATCTGCGCGAAGCCGTTTGGGTTTCTGTCTGCATCTATCGCTGGCATCGCTGGCACCCTGGATGACGCTTTCGGGACTTTTGGCCAGCCTGACTTTTCTGCATCACTGTATCTGCTGATGTTTGGGTAGTGATGCAGACAACTCTCGCTCGCCAAAGTCTCCAAAAGCATCATCCCGGCGGTCGGCGATGGATACCAATGGAAATCCTAGCGGCGAGTGAAAAAAGGCCTTGAAGTCCCGTTGCGACTGTTATTTCTCGGGATCACAGGTATTTCCATTCCGGTTATTCTCGCCCAATCACATCACTCGGCCCTCCCGCAGAGCCGCAACTCCGTTTGACATCGCCAACACGGGCAGTTTCCATGACCAGAGGGCGACTTCGTACGTCGTGTGGAGATCCAGCATATGATGTTGGCTCAATACAAAATGGTTTCCTACATTGCGGACATCAAATTCATGGGTCTGACCCCACCCGAGTCCGAGTCGAGTTGAGCCCGCATATACAGAGTACCTCACTCACAACAAGCCTTCGACGGCGCCAAGTTGGCCAGGCATGTGATTTCATGCCATTATAAGGGACGTGGTCATTTGCCGACCTTCGCCGAAAGGTCAGCACTAATAGCGCCAAGGCCAAGGCTGACATGCATTCCGCCCTTTGAGGCTCGGATGGCCGGATATATAAATGATGGAGCATCCGCGGGGAACAACATTCAGCCAAGTGACTCGAAAGCTGTCAACGATCACACCTCTCGATACCCTATCCCCTCTCCGACCAATCCTTCACCCACAATCCACATCTACCCAGGTAAACTGCAATAGTCACAACATGTCTAAGGTTGTTATCCATTCTGAGAAATTCAAAACTCGATCTGCAGTACTGACAAAGGCCCGTAGAGTGAAATTCAAGTCGGCTGGTTCATCACCAGCAATGGAGGTTTTGTTGGTGAACAGAAAGTCATTGCCATCAACTTCCCCGAGTACCAAGTCGCTGATGGGTCTTGGGTAAACTGGGAAAATATCCAGGGTTACAGACAGGGGGCGTGGGACATGGAGGCATTTGGGAATTGAGACGATGTTGGATCAGCGCTCAAGTTCAGGTTACATCGTAATTAAATGAGGCCCACGGGCTCTAAGTTGTGAAGGCGAGGACCATGCAACTTTGAAACTTTGGAAGGCATCCGATAGTAACCTTCGAGCACAAAGGTGAGATATGAACATGTCTAACCTAGTATCATGACGACATTGTAGATAAAAAAAAAGTCATTCTGAGATTCGTTCAATGTAGAGTTCTACATTAGGGGAAAGAGAACAGAAAAGAAAAATATCCAAGTCTTAAGCGCACGCTGTTTTCATCCGTATATGCCGAAAAGAAAAAGAAAAAGAAAAGGAAAGACGCCAAGTGTCACATAGGCCATAAAAGAGACAGTGAAGAATACAAATTGAAGGACTGCATGAAAAGGACGAGGCCAAATGAACTTCAATAAGCTTGCAACTGCTATCCTCTCCCGATAGATCAATTGGAGCTAGAAACAAGTCGTTTGCTTTCAGGGTCTTGTGATGCTGGCAGCTCATCATAGTCACATCGACAATGACGAGCCTTCCAGCGCATAAGCGCGACCCAAACATCGGTAGTGAGCAGAACTTGGATTCCAACTGCCGTCCAGGCCATGCCCAAGAACCCACTGCCGGAATCGGCAGAGAAGTCAGGGCTTCCACTCTTGGTAATCAAACCAACAAATTGTGTGGATATTAATGTTGCAATTATCGCGCCAATGGTGAGCAAAGCAGTGCTTACCTAGGAGTTGTTAGCAAGGTTTCCTTTGAGCCGAACATGGTTGTATCAGTCTTACCACTAGGCTGAGAATTTGCAAGTTAGATGGCGGTAGGTCCGCTGGTGAGCCTGGGTATCCGGGGGGCGGATCGCTGTCATCCAGAGGACTCGGTGGTCCTGGGGACCTCCATGTGTAGCGAATGGTGCTTAAGCGGAGGAATATTGAGATGGCAACGGCACATGTTCCCAGTATGAATAGCAAGGCCATAGCCTGGCTGGTGGGTGCCAGAGCCAGGAAGTCGTCTGTGAGATAACTGGGGAATTTGGGGTTGGCACCACCAGAATTGCCGTTGCCATCAGAATTGTCGTCGGCATCAGCATTTTTATTGCCATCACCATCTCCGTTGCCATCGCCATCTCCAGAACCATCACCATTGCCAGAGCCAGCACCATCTACGTTGCCCCCAGAGTTTCCTATGGCATCGGAGATGGCCTTGCCCGGATCAAAAATGGAGAGTGGGTTTAGATCTGAACAAGCAGTGATCGATTTCTGAAGCGTGGTTGTCTTTGGGTCATCGTTGACAATGCACTCTTTCTCATATCCATAGCAATATGACATGAGATAAACGCTGATGAAGTCAGGAGCACCATCCTGAGATATTTTCGATGTATCAATCTAGAAACAAAGCAGTTAGCCCAACTGCCCCAACGATCTTGACCAGGTACCAACATTTAGAATGCTTGCAGCAGGGAGCATCTGGCGAGAGCTACCAGCAAACAAACATAGAAATAGCAGAATCAAAGCCACCAGAGACGCTATATTGCCCAGCAGAGGGCGGAAATAGATCATCTTGCGGGCGTTGTCTCTGGTGGTTTCAAATCACATCGAGTGTCTTGGAGTATTCCGTAGGATTAAGTTTGCAGGGGTCTGAGCAGACGAGGGTCGGTAGGAGAATTGATTATGTCAATTGGGCTGCATCCCCAGGTGTATACGTTGTCTCGGATAGAGTGCATCGTAAGGTTTCATTGGAATGAAGGAAATCATTTCCACACCAGCCTTATTTGCCAGCGTGGATCGGAGACCCGAGTACCTGGAATATCTAAACTCTCTGTTGCGAATTCTAAGACATTAAATTCTCAGGATATACCAGCTCATCAAGTCACCACGTTTCTAACCAGAGTTGTGGTAGCTCTTGGTACACCACTACCTAGGTAAAACTGGGCCCTTCCCAATGCCGATGTCTGGTGTATAGATCGTATGCACCGTTACTCACCATCTTCCTTGCATTCCTAGAACGATGAATGGAATTCCAATTGCCACCAGACCGATCCTCCAAATACTTACAGCAGTACCGAGAAAGCATTAAGCACATATTGGGGAGATTGGCCAATTGCGCATGGCCATCTGCGCTCGCCTTCGGCACCTGTATCTCATTCGGCATTTACCATCCCTTGTGAACAATCGATCGATCGACCCACTGCTACGGAATGTGAACAGATCATCCTAATTCAGAGCCCACATTCCATCCTGGGGCCTCGGTTCAATTGTTTCCACCTGTATCACATTGATATATCTACCATTTTCTGGATTAGGATTGGATTAGCGTGTTTGCAGGGGTATTCCCCACCCTGAGAGTATGTGCATTGCATCGAAATTGTGCACAACGCACTAGAAGATTTCTTGCCAAACATTGCAGCATTAAATATGGACCTGGCTACAGAAATATGATATATGCTCGCATTCGCACTCGTTTCTGTGTCTCGCTTTACCCTTTCCCGAACGAATTCTGTTTCCCAACACCACTCCTACGTACAGCACACAGAATTCGAGATATGATATCAAGTTTCTCATGGCAATTTTCTCAGCTGGTATTGCTCTTGATTATGACCAATTTTGTCTCGCAATACCCAACTCTGTCGCTCGGAGTGCGCGGCTAATTCAGAATTCCAAGCAGAGCTGAGTTTACAATAACCTTCACGTTGGTATTCATTCATAAATAGAAATGAGAACGGCAAGGCTTATTTAGTTAAGGCTATACATAAAACTCCGAATGGCTGAACTCAATTCTCAATAGGTGCGATCGATAGAAAACAAATGTCATCTCCCGGATCTCGAGATTGGGTGCAATTGCCTGAGATACTCAATTGCATTACAGTAGCTTGCAGCTGGATCTTGGAGCCTTGATAATTGAAGAATGATACACTATATTTACCTTCTACATACAAGTCAGTACCACCCGTCGACGCCCTAACATGATGATACAGTACCTAGGTATGTAAGTCGAGATCAGCTTGCTGTACGGATACAATGCGTCTCTATATGGAGCCAATGGCGGCAATGAAACCTAAAATTTCTAGATCTACATTCCTGCGATATGGTGTTAGGAAATTGCCGACAGCCAATTACATTTTACCCCGGGCCACTATGTACAGTATCGAATGGGCACGATGACCTCGGTGTGACCATCATCGCATTGTTCACAATAAACATTCACACCAGAGCTGATGGCTTTTTGTTTCCACAATCGCACTACATTGGCCTTTTACCCATCCCACATAGGTACGCGCTGATGCGTCCAGAAGGCAGAGGCGGGCGCAGTCAGACATCAGGTACACGAGATCATTCAAGCACTGCCTACAAGCCTTTCATTTAGACCTCTAACTTTACAAACGGATATTTTGGACGATAGTGGAATGCACCACAATACCATTAATAATCCTTATGTACATAGACTTTATGCGGCATGCCGAAAGGCAAGGTCGTCCTGAATACCTGGTTCATGAGTATGTTGCAGAATTCGGGTTGGACGCCCCATAGTGATATGAATAAAACCTCAAGGGGCCATTTCACCACCGGCAATTGTGTCTATAAAGAAGTGTGCTTGTGCCCAGCCGACTGCAAAGATTTCAGTATATGTGCGTTGACTACACAACCTGGAGCTCTTGTGATCATACGGCTTTGTCTGAATATACTAATCTCTACTGAAGGTTTGAAAACTCACAAGATGGAGTCACCTTTCCTAAACTTAAAAAGAGGAATGCGTGTCATCATTGTTTTCGTGGCTGGGGATATTGCTAGAAGAAAAGGGTTTCGCGTCTAAGCAACGACAGCAGGGGCTCGTCTCCAAAGCTTCAGGGGCATAGGGCCAGGGGTAAAGTTTGAGTTCTCACGGACTGGAGGGTTCCAATCAGGGTGCGGCAAAGCAAACTCGTATCGGTGGATCAATGAAGCAACGAGAACCGTTTGCTCTAGGTAGCTGATGTTCCGGCCAATGCAACCCCGTGCACCGGTGCTGAATGGAATGAAGTATGGCTGGAGGGCCTTGCCCTCTTCGCCCAGCCATCTCTCGGGCTTGTAGGTTTGATTGTCCTTGAACACAGACTCTTGGTGATGCATCACATAGGATGAGATGCTGACTGATGTGTCGGGAGCAACATAGTTGTCAAGTATGGAGGTTCCTTCCATAGGGGTTCGGCGAGGGAGTCCGAAGACAATAGGTGGCATCATTCGAAGACTCTCATCTATGCATGCCCTGAGATAAGGTAGGTGCTTGACCTTTCCATAAGGGGCGACAACCTCATCCTCGTCCAAGACCTCATCCAGTTCCTCTCGCAGCTTGGCGAGACACCTGGGGTCCTTCAGCAGGAAGAACATGGTGTTACGAAGAGCGATGGCCGTGGTGTCATGTCCCGCGTTCATCATGATACTGATCTCGGCAACGATTTCACCAAATTCCAAGTTGTGCGGGGTGCCATTCTTGTCTGCCATGATCGCCGTGAAGAAGTCGTCCAATTTCTCGCCGTTCTCGTGTCGCTTCAATCGTGTGGTTGCACGGTTGTATACAATGCCGGCCCAGTCCTCGTCCAGGCGCCACCAGCGTCGATAGCTGGATGAGACTACCTTGCTGATGCGGCGGATGGTGTGGAACCAGTCGTAAGCCCAGATCAGTCGGAAGGCTGCTGTCTGCGTCGCAGTGTGGCATTCACGGAACGAGACTTCTTTGATTGTGCCATCCTTGCATTCGGACTTGATGGTGTCACTTCCTTCGTCTAGGAAGCCGAGATCCTCACTCAATCCGATGTTGGCGATCGCAGCTGCGGTCCACAATACCGTCCAGTTTCGGTAGTCCACGGTGAGGTCTTCTTTCTTTGGGTTCTGGTTTGGGGGGAGCGGATCGGTGCAACGCTTGTCGAATGCCTTGATCAGCTTTCCGCTGACTTCGGCCACCTTGAATTCCCACTCCTCCAGGTTCTTCACAGCGTAGGCGCTCGAAAGTACCTTTCGCTTTCGGGCATGGTCCTTCTTGTCCACCACGTCGGCCAGATGGTAGTGGCTGCCCACGTTCTCTGAGTAGAAGCGATCTTTGATGCAGTTGGAAGTGTGGCCGTAGATATCCTTGATGGCGTTGGGATGTGAGAAGGAGAGAGAGTTGGGTCCGATTCGCAGGACGGGATGCTTTTTGTGGGCTTCGAGGAGATTCCGTGAGCGGAAGCCTGTATGTGATTCATAGATCAAAGGTAGATCGGAGATGCCAGAAAGGCGATAGAAGTTGGGATATTTCCTTAGTCCCTTGGGGTCGTAGAAGTAGTAGATGACCGGGTATACGAAGAAGTACCCGATCACGGCCAGTCCTAACGCGATTGCGTACATTGTGTGACAGTGAAAGATGTGAATGTATTCTTCAAATGGACAGCGATGTCGAGTCTGATATAGGTCTTGGGATGCCCGTGGTGTTCAAATCCATGAAGACATATCTCGGCGAGAATTGACTGATTCAGTTAGCTTCGCCTGGGGATGGCCAAGAGAGGCAATGATCGCCATCTTTGCTCCAGCTGTTGCCAGCAGATCGTCCATCGACGCAGATCTTTCGCACGCGGGGTAAATAACTACGTTAAGAACGGCAAATGGGTCCCATCTCCCTGCTTCGGCTTGTGGTGATCGCGGGGTACGGGGTATCGGCGGGGTCATATTGAAGCCTTCTGACGACCGCACACAGGACTTAACTCGACGAACCTGCGCAAAAGGGCATCGGAGGGACTCTAGAGACGGCATATCCTGTTCACAGAGAGATAAAAACTAGTATTCTTCCTGTTTTCTCAGTACCCGATGCCGCGATGATCGGAAATTGACGCCCGAGTCGAATTACCCGCGCAAAAGTCGTAGATCTTGAGGGTGTAATTCTTTGTGGTTCCAGGGTTTTGTGAACTGCATGTCGGACTGACTATCTTCACGGCCAATGGAAGAATCCCGAAATCCAATGCAGCCGTGACCGAGTGATGCGGAGTATATGGAGTACGGGGTTGAGGCGGGGAATATTCCCCGAAGAGAATGGGGAAATCCCCCCCGACAGTCGAGACTGTGACACTGAGACATCGTCTGTGGGGTTCACAAATACGGAGATTTCTCTCAATTGCATCATGTTTGGAATTGCGGAGAGAATCGCCTATGCGAGTAGCAAGTGGGTGGGTGGGTGACCCTCATATATACTAGCAGGGCCCCGGAAATCATTCCAGAGTTTCAATTCTGACTACTCTACAACTTCGAAAACCAGTACAATACTTACAATGGCATCTGTCTTGCGCTTTCGCACAGTCTGGGGTATCGCCCCTGGTCCCAACTACGAGCACTGGGCGCAATGGTTCCCAACCCTCAAAGCCCAAGGATATGGTACATATGACCTGTCGCATTGAATTTCCGTTTGCTTGTACTGACTCTTGATTCTTTCCAGCCGGCGTTGAAGTAGACTTTACAGATCTGGAGGACCTTCCGGCCATTCGTCGTATTGCCGACGATGCTGGTCTGGAAATCAGTGTCCTGTGAGTATTTCTACTGTCTCCTTCCGTATCCCTCGAAAGCCTGGAAGCGACGTCAAGCTGATATAGTCCCAGAATTCATGCACAATGGCCTAGCTACGCAGGTCCCAGCCCTGCAGGCCCCTCCCCCAAGGACCTTCTGGCCGACTACCAAACCAAGTTGAAAATCGCCCAAACTCTGAAGCCGTACAAAATCAATGCCCACTCCGGATGGTGAGCCTCGAATCGCACCCGAACAGATAAACGAGGAACTGACGAGGATAGTGAGCGATGGACTGTAGACGAGGCAGTCCAATTCTACAGCGGCACTCTCGACGTCGATGCCGAGCTCGGACTGACCGGCAAAGTGTGCCATGAGACGCACCGAAACACAGCCTTCTTCAGTCCCGACTCGACAGCGCCTGTCCTTGAAAGAGTGCCGAAGTTGCGCGTCACTGCCGATTTCTCTCACTTCGTGGTGGTCTGCGAGCGTCTGTTGGATATTTACGAGGAAGACAAGGCCGCGATCCGCACAATCATCCCGCATGTAGGACACATTCACGCGAGAATGGGGACAACACAGTCATCTCAATGCCCAGAGCCAACGCATGAAGCTTTCAAAGAAGAGAGAAGATACTTTGAGAGTGTCTGGAAACAAATTATTGATGTTACGGCCACAGCCTCGGAGCCGATTACCTTTGTCCCGGAATACGGGTGAGTTGAATCATTTTGACATCCTTTTGATCGCTATGTCCAAGATCTTTGAATAAGCTGACAATTTCATGTTAAATTACCAGGCCCTTCCCCTACCACCCGTTCAATGCTCAAACGACTTTCTCGGATGTTGCAGATAGCGAAGGTGCTCGCCTTCATCCGATTTTTGAAAGTCATGCGAAGGCGGCCCTTGCATCGCGCAATTAAAATGGCCTTTCCTTTTGCCAATAAGGAGCAGGCAGTAGACAGCACCCTCGCCTGCTTATTTAGACGATCAATTTCCACAGCTGGAGAAGCTTTATTCTCAATTGAAGACACACATATACTAAACTTCGATGGTTCAATACCTCCAGTGAAATCCTTTGCAGCCTAGTGTCACTCTCATATAAGAAGCAGGGGGAAGCGAGTAAAAACACGGTACTTCAACATTGCTGGTTTAGCCCACACATTCCAGGATTCGGTGATGTTGGAAGGAGGTTGCAAAAGCGAATTTAAGGAGCAAGTACTTCTCGCTTTGAGAATATCGCAATATCTTTAGCATTTTATATTATAATCGATACAACCTTGGAATATTTGCCAACATTCAAAGAGTAAAATATCGTGCAAACGCTTCGCTTCATTGAAATGTGACACGTTGATCACTTGCAAATAGTTACAATCCCCACAGCTCCGAGATCCCACACCTTCAATTCAAAGATACTTAGGCTGACTCCTCATTTTGGACCCTTCGGGAATTTCTCATTTCCTTCCCATACCCTCGTTCAAAGATTTCGCGGATCTCCTCGAGCTGCAAGCCAGTCACTTCCGGATAGAAGAAATAGATCCACACCCACCCAAGGCCACAGATCCCAGCATAGAAACCGAATGTTCCAGAAGGCGTCATCGACTTCATCATGGACAAGAAAGTGCTGGACACAATGACATTACTCGCCCAGGTAGAACAGGTCATCCACATCGTGCCCATAGAACGCACCTCCAGCGGGAAGAAATCGGCACTCATCCACGCGGTGTTGCCGACCGACACACCGTAGAAGATAACAAACCAGAGCAAGAATATCAGCACGACGATAGCCTCTGGCTGAGTCCCACTCGCGCGGACTTCCATCGTCTCGGTATCGACGGGGAGGAACGCAAAAGCGACCGTGACGGCAATAAGACCAGCGCACATCCCCCATGAAGTGTAAAGCAGGAGTCGGCGACGACCAAGACGATCAACTAGCAACACATTCACGAAAGCCATGACTAGATTCGGGGCTGCGACGATAAGTCCCACGGCTACCGGGTTGCTGAACCCGACCATTGCGAAAAGTGTCGAGGAATAGTACATCAGGGTGTTGAATCCGGACATCTGGGAGAAGACCATTAATCCGCATGCACTGAAAAGCGCCCGCATATTAGCGGGTACGCGATGCAATTGGATAATTTTAGACCATTTGCTTTCATTGTCGTTCATTTGACGCGCTTCCTCGCATGCGTCTTGGATCGTGCCCAGAATTATTTCAATCTGTCGCTCTGTGGCGTGGCCATAGATCTTTCGTAGAACTTGCTTTGCGTCCTCCATTCGTCCATTGTAGACCAGCTGCCGGGGGGACTGTGGACACAAGGGTAGCAGGATTGCAAGAATAACAGATGGAACACCGCCCAGTCCAACCATGTACCTCCAGCCATGGTCGACGGATGCAAAAGCTGCACCAAGTGCGTAAGATAGGACCTGGCCAGCTGTGATGCAGATATTGTTTAAGCCGATTAATCGGCCTCGTGCCTGCGCTGGAGCCAATTCGGCTACGTACAGAGGGACTATCATCGCGGCGGAACCGACACCCAGACCGACGACAAAACGACCTACTGCCATCTGAGGGATCGTGTAGGCAGAGCCTTGGAGAGCGGCCCCGACTGTAAACAGAGCACAGCCGAGGTAGATGGGAGTTTTGCGACCAAACTGTGATTGTTATAAGCATTTACTTCCTTCAGGTCACTATGTATGGAGGATTCTCACCTTGTCGGCTGTGAATCCAGCAAAGATAGCACCGAAGAAGGCGCCACCAGAACAAAGGGAGGTAATCATTTCCTTTTCATTGTGTGTGGGTGGTCGTCCTCCCAGATCGTTTCCGATGTAGACCAACACCGCCGAGATGATCCCGGTATCATACCTATATCTTCATTAGTGACTGTATCTTTTGGCATGAAACAGGAAAGTAAATATCCTACCCAAACAAAAGACCTGCTATTGAAGCCGTGAGAGCAACCATCCATACGAACCATCCCAATGGAATGTTGTTGATGTCTTCCAGCTCGCTTGGAAGGCCTTTCCCCGGTTTAGAGACCGATTCAATATGATCCGCTATAGGATCCGATGACTTATCCGTAGCCATGAAGAATTGTATAAATGTGAAAAGAATGAACCAGAAAATGCAGATTTCCTTTCTGTGAAGCGGGGATTGGATGTCCCTTCGTGGGAATTATATAGGATTGCCCTCTGCGGGCGCAGCGTCGGGCATATCTTGGCCATGGGCACTTTGCAGTATGCACTACTAGCCCCGGATCGGGTGCGTCAGATGCGGGGAAGATGTAGGCAAGTGTCAATCCCCGGATTCTGTGTGGACGGGGTATACAATGTCGGACATGGCACATCTTGCAGCTCGCCGGGATGGTCAACCTGCGCCGGCTACTGCCGCACAGGGAAGCAGATGATCTGATAGGCAGAGCCTTCGGGGGCAACTTCCCGTTTCACGAGTCTCCACTTCGATGGCATCGGCATTTGCGCTGTTGATCAGAGCAAGTCGTCGATATGCATTCAACTTACTGGCTTGGTACGGATCAAGAGACTTGGTCTTCGAGCGGAGACACCCTAGGAAATCAATCGGAATGGCTAGAATGAAGAAGACCAGGATCCCCGATTACATGGCGTAGGCCAAGGACGCATCGTACACGGCGACATCATAACTTCATATTCGCAGTGAAATCGAGAGTGTAGCTGAGCGTTCCAGGCTTCTATCTTTCGCGGCATGATCTTCGACGGGGATGTTAGGGGGCTAGCAATGTCGGGCACTCATCGCGGGCGATGCACATAGTACTGCATCTCTCTCTTCCCTGCCTTTGGGTATATTTCTCGTGCTGAATTCAGACACCGAGATTCAACGGACATGGCGCATCGTGGCTGATTATGCATGCTCTGGTCGCGAAGCCCGGGGCCCCGGCGATTCCCGGCGATGACCCCCAGCAGGCGGCGCCGCATTCCACGGCCTCGAACGTCCCAATAACCGATAGGCATCACCATGAAGCCTATATTCAAGGCTGGGCATGATCTCTGTTGTTTTTTTACTTCAGAGAGTCAGAGATGAAAGGCTTAGGATTGGCTGATGGGGCAGACAGCCAACTCGATCACACCGGCATCCACTGGATGTCATTCACAGAGAGTAGGTGATTGAATGATGTTCAAATAAAGTATCTCAGACCTCAGACCTCAGACCTCGTTGCGATCGAATAAAATCCCCGATGTCGGGAAACTGCCCGAGCCCGGTGACTCAACCTCGGCTCACACCCGAGAGGGGATATTAATTCACCTTCTACTCCATACGCTTCTCGACATAGTATTCAACCGGTTTTCATTTGCCGAGCTCAACAATGGCATCAGTGCAAAGTCAGGTGGGATGGATAGGTACGTATGCGATCGCTTGTACCAAGACTTGCTAACCATGACCAGGCTTGGGGAGTATGGGCCTAGCAATGGCCAGTAATGTTCAGAAATATCTCCAGCGAGAGGGGAAGCCCGTATTAAAATCCTGGAATCGGACAGCATCTCGCGGTGCACCCCTGGTATCCCTCGGGGCGATCGAGTGCGAGTCAATCGCCGACCTTGTGTCCCAATGCGATATTGTGTTCATATCGGTTCGTCGGCTCTGTCGGCTCGACACCTAGTGCTGTGCTGATTGAATGCAAGACTAGCGACGACGCTGCGTTGGTGGCCATTGTGGATCAGATTCTGGCAGTTCCAACTCTCGAGGACAAGGTCTTTGTTGACACGACTACCGTTCATCCGAATACGACAACAGACACGAGCAATAGACTCAAAGATCGAGGCGCGCTCTTCGTTGCAGGTTAGTCCCAGCAGTCATATTATTGTGTAATGCTTCAATGCTCATTCAAGTATTAGCACCGGTGTTTGGAGCCACGCCCGCCGCGCAAAGTGGATCGGTGCTAATGGCCCAGGCCGGACCAAGTGATGCCATTGCCACAATTGTGCCGTTTGGAAAAGGAGTCATCGCGCGCGATGTAATGATCGTCTCGGACCAACCAGAGAAAGCCAGTATGCTCAAGACTCTCGGGTAAGATCGGGCAAGACTTTCAAGTCGACCTCTGCTAAAGACAGCCAGGAACTTCATTGTGGCTGGCACCATGGAAATCATCGGAGAAGCGCAAGTGCTCGCCGAGAAGAGCGAGCTAGGCTCCGACACCCTGGAGCGACTGCTTGAGTTGAATTTCCCCGGTGTTGCCCATTCCTCTTCCACGCGCATGACTCAGGGGGTATATTTTCCGGAAAAAGGTAGGACCACCATTTCGGGGAGCTATGATGATGCTGACGTCGCGAATCAGGCCAGTCGCCTTGGTCCAGCTTGGACCTCGGGATCAAAGATGTCCAGCATGGGATCACCTCCGCTGAGAATGCGGGAACGAGACTCAAGGTTGCGGAGGTGGCTCTGGAAAATATGCTGCGAGCCAAGGCGTTTTCGGAGGCACAGGGCGACCAGCCCTTGGACTCATCGTCCGGGTATGGTATCATTCGTCAGGATGCCGGACTTGACTTTGAGAATTCGTTTGTGCGAGAACGAAACGCGCGAAGCGAGAAAGAACGGGAATAGCTGCACGTTTCCGAGACCTGGAGACGCGTCGGGCTCACGCGTCTCGGTCGCATTTTCGGGGTCGGCCATTATTGTCTGCTTGTGCTTGTGTGGGTGATTTCCCTTCTCATGCTCTACACGAGTCTATCGCTCCGGTTGGAGGTCATTTCAAAGCTGAGGGAGAAGTGAGCAGAAGCAGCCAAGCTGAAGTGGAAACTGGGGAAGCCTTCCACTTACTCTGACTCCCTGGGGCGCTTTGGATTATCGACCATCAGAAGAGATGTTTCTATAGCGCTGATTGTCTTTGTCACTGTGATACACCGAGGAATCCCTACGCCCAGGAACACGTCACGCATGCACACCCCACTGTCGATCGGGATTCTTTTGCACTCTTTGCATAAATTGACATGGGTGCAGAGGTGGCCCTATCCAGACCGATATTTTGGTATCCATGCTGAGTCCTACCGTCGTGATTTCTGAGATGTGTTGATCCCCGGACTCGAAGGGAAGAGAATTGAGGCTTTTCGGATCGCGATGATACTCCGCCCACATAACCAAATCCTCTCAGTACGAAGTATCACATTAGAATTGATGTTCTGCACAGGTTCAGCCCTGATGAAATTAATCGAGATCTGCGCAGTAATCGAATCGATCGGGATCGATGGCTCAGCTTCCCCGCCTAATGTACGAACTACATCATATCACCTGAAATTCATCCGACCCTATGCAACCTCATGTACTTTGCTGCACTTCATGAACCTCGGAAGTCAAACTGATGTGACTCGTTCGATGCTATCCTGGCGCTGACGTCATAAGCTGAAGTTGCAGGCGACTGTCGAGTGCAATATACATACGGCGTACGGAGTATACAGAGGCCACTTTGACTTGCTTGCCGATGCAGTATGCCCAAGTTCTCATAGCTACTATTACAGTGGAATGACCGTTCAAAGAGGTAGCCAGGTCGAAGAAACCCCTCTGTTCAGCTGAATTCGCCCCACAGGTGCATTTGGAATAGTTGCATCTTCAGTGACCCACCAATTCACTGACTTCCAAGGTTTGAATCCTATGTATACGGGCGTACGATTCGAGAGCGCCATTTTCTGACCGCAACTTGATCTGTATCATGGGATCTGCAATGCAAACTTATCTCATGACTGACGGAGAGGCGACTTGCAACCCAGTGGTTATTTAAAGCGCCTGAAAGTCGCTCAGGAGCCATTAAAGAAAGACTTCACCAAGCTTCACTACTTTCATACTTCAAATCCGAATCGACAGACACACAATGGCCGAAGAAACCTTTTCCAAGACCCCGGATGATATCTACAACGTAATTATTTCGTGTCGAATGTATCAACCCAGATCTCTGACAATAACAGAACGTCTACTATTCTCGAGAGTGGATTCAATCCCGCATCGATGACTTTGAAGAGATGGTATGTGAAGTCCTCGACTTCTCTATTAACCCGATTCCCTGGTGCGCATGTGAACCGAATTGCTGACCTCGGATTTCCGTAGGATACAAACAACAACCGTGGGCGGAACCGTCGTTCTACAACCAATGCGAAATGCTAATCCATGAACTCATCTAGTGTCTCTCAGTCTAGAAGAGCTCAAGAAGGGATGCAAAGATAAAGACCCTAAGATAGATGAAAAAACGATCGAGTTGGTATTCAAGACGCTTGATTATGATGAAGACAAGAAAGTCACACTGGCGGGTAAGCTTACTGAATTCCCAGAATTCTGGCTTTTGTACTCTTGGGTGCTCTGAGCTACGCTAACTTCAATTGCAATAGAATGTATTATCTTCTCCATGGAATTGGATAGACAAGGTCAAAACTACAGAGACGCACTCGTGCTGTAGACTCATTGCAGGCTGGTTCTAGAATTGAGCTTAACACATCTCAATCGATGGATTTACCTTTTAGTACATCATGCTTGGTCCCATTCTATATACATTTGACAATTCCAGCAATTTCCTGAGGTCCAAGGTTCCCATACTCAATGAAACTCAAGGGACAATTTTGAGCTCACGGTCGTTTGAGTCACTTCATTGTACCTAGTATCAGTCTTTCTCTGTGTTTAGATAGCCCTGCACCCGAAAACACAAAGTTCTTTTCTCTTTTTTTTTTTTTTTTTTTTTTTTTTTTTTTTTTTTTTTTTTTTTTTTTTTTTTTTTTTTTTGTTTTTTTTTTTCTCCTCCAATTTTCTATTCTTCTTCTT